CTTCTGGACTTTCCTACCAAAGCTAACAAGATTACTCAACCTCTAGCGCAAATAACTATGTATGATTCGTAGCATTTACATATATTTGATAGAGCCGCTGACAGTATACCTAGGGCGCAGTTTCCCACACTATGTGCGTTGCTTGAGCATTACTGGCAGTTTTTTTTTCCACCGTTTTTGCCGAGTTAGTTTTAGCGAAGGATATTTTGAGCTGTTTAAGAAACAATAACTTCGAATCGTCGCCGGATAGATCCTCATTTGTCATTCTTTGGGATTATCCTGTATATGCATACAAGGAATCTGGACGCATAGAAGTTGTTGTGTCGTATTTATTTTGCGAAGCGTAGCTGGCCCCTACAAACTAAGAGACCTCATGTCCGGTGTCTGGGGGTCCCCATATATCTAACCCCTAAGGTACCCTCAAAGACATTTATTCAAAGAGCTTTTACTTTATGAGTGTAATGACCGGGTTAAAATACCTTTCGGGGTTAAAACCTCCGACAAGCATCTCCGTCTCTTATAAAGCATGAGTTTCCTCTCGCTTGTAAGATCCTATTGACTGATCTAGACGCGAAACGAATAGCTTTAGTGCTAAAGACCGCGGCAGTCGTTTCCGTTTTTCAGTCGATTTTGAATAAGCGTAGAACACACTGCAAAGCTAGATACAAGAAGAGAAGTGGTACATTTACCTTTCGAAAGGTACATGCATTTTAGTCTCGATTTCTACTGGATTACCCAGGATACACTTGTCCGTGCAGAATGTAGCAATAGAGCCTTACAGCCCTTTGGAATATTGATCACGTAAATAAACATTTGAAGGTGAATTAATGCCTTCCTGGGTCAAGTGAACTTCCTGCTTTTTAACAGGAACTGGGTCAGGGATTAGAAAGTCATAAAGTGCCTCCAATCCAGAACTGAGTCGTTGCATCTTGGTTTGGGTACATCGAAATTTGGGATTGACCGCGTTATACAAACCAAAGTTGTCCTCGTTTGGTACGGCTGCGTTTGGCATGTTCCCATTGAAATCACAGTCTCCTTGTATGGAACTGTCGATAAGCAGAGGGAAATGCCCTTTTTCATACCAGGTTCTCGCTGTGCAATTCACACACTCATTTCCCCGGATGTTGACATATTCGCACCGTCGACAGCTCTGTCTCACCCTGGGTTCGTCTCTGATGATGTCAAAGTCTTCAAGCGAGGCTTTCAGGTAATCTGTATATACGAGGTTATCTGTGTTGTATCGGCAAGTAGCTCTCCAATGAGTCGAGTGATCAGTAAGCCAAAGGAGGTAGGGTCGTTTGATGAGGTAAGCCTGCCAGTTCCGGGTATCGCCATTGATAACTCGGTAGTCATCGTAAAACACGAGGTCTTCCTATAAACAGAGAGAGTCAGCTTCAGCTGGTTAAGATCGTTGTTGTATCCATCAACTTGAGATAACTGCAGCTGGGAACAAAGCTTATGCTGGGTCGTGTAATTAGGTACGCCCGCCAATTTCAATTTGGGGTATCACCGCTGAACGCACCTTGACCCATAAATTCATCGTAAAACACTATATTTTTCTGTTGACATATTGGTCAAAGTCATATTTGATTGTTAAAGTTTCCACAAAAAGAGGTGTAATCCCCTCCTTAAGGAAGCAATATGAAAATGAATACCTTTCTTCTTTGGGGGCACTTGATTTACACACTCTCTTGAAAAAAAGGAAAGTGGCCCTACTAACGGTAAAATCTAAGGATAAAAATTACCTTGAAAAGATGTTTTTTGGACAAAGCGAAAGATTCCATCAGGTTCCAAGCGAACTCAACTTCTGAATCAAAATCGCAGAACACTCGGAAAACTTGATTGCTACCATCAATGACTGTGTACAATCCAGATGAGTGATACCCAGCTGCTTTGTAATCCTGACAACTTCCCAGTCGAGTCTTGCAATGTTTCCCAACAAACGACTCTGGACAGGAACAGTTGTACCTAACACTCGTGGGCTCACAGATTTCAGTGCAGTTCCTCCATTAAGACAGGGATTGTTTCTGCAGCAGCCATTGCCACACGTGATGTCACCGGTACATGGAGCGATGGCGATGTGGGTAAGAGCCTTATATAAAAAATTAATAAAACAAAGTAATGTGATTTTTATATCACTGTGGCATATCATGACCTTAATTTGAATGTGACTTATAAATGTCATATTGACCTGACTTACTTAATCAAATTCATAACAAGTCACTCTTTCTCTCCATTTCTAAGAAATCTCCCATGTTTCAAACCACAACGCTCCCATGAAACCATTTTTTTCAATTGTATTGACAAGGGAGATAACTGAATGTCAAATAATCGCTAAAATCAGCAAAGCAATGATGTTGCAGCTAGTTATGTTTGGCGTCAACTGCCTTCTTATTCACGCCTTTGATCACAAAATCGTAAGAAATGGATTTCCCATCCTCAGCGTTAAACACTCTCTCCATGAGATAATATTGTAAACTGCGGATGATCGATATTCCAGTAAAGAAAAGATGGTCGCAGGTGAGCGACAAGTAAAATGTTAAATTTTAATGCGGTTTCTCTAATTACAGCTCAAGCACCCGAGGGGATCACCTCTTTATTTGATTTTTTATTTTTCTTGGTGTTTTTTTTCTTTTTGAGTTTTCATTATTTTGATCCCATTTTGAAATTTCATTTACGCAAAAATTCATCTCTTTTTTTTATCGTAATTTAGGACCCTTATAAAAAAGGAACTTTAAATGTAGAAATGGTAAAAGAAATGTTATTTTTTCGAGTTTGAGTGTTCTTTTTTTCATGGTATATGAAAGTTCATCAATAATTTCTGCAGCTGTTTGCTCGAGTTTATAGGAAACAATGTATCAGTTTTGGGGAAGAAATTAGCATCCAAGACGAAGAAGAATGTTGATGTTTGTTCTTGAAGTATGTTATAATCTGATTTACTGCCCTTTAAAAAATTTCTTAATATGTAATATGAAAAATAAACATCTACTATTTCAAGAAGTTTGCCGCGCAATTTTGTGTCATAAAAGTACCTTACAAAATCATAAGAATTATTACCTTAGGAAGATATTTTCTTCGCAGTTTGTAATAAGTGGATCCTGAAGTGTTTGTCAATGAATTCTTGTCCATAAAATGGCTGCCTTCGTTCAACTCACAATATTTGGTTTCGTTCTTGATTTTGTAGTTTATCGACAAACATCGACAGTCGTTTGTACACCACAAGTAGCACTGTGCTGGGTTTGAAGTAACGGAGTTGTGAAAAACATGGCCTACAAACTCTTTGTCTCGATCAGCATCTTGATCAAAAGAGATCTTCTCACATTTACCAGTGAGACAGTTGCACTTGACTTGCACTTGACATGAGAAAAGAGATCACTGATAGAAACATTAGGGACCTTGAGCACGGTAACGCTGAGGACGACGATCTAACAATTTATAGTTTTCGTTCGAATTTCGTGAAATCCGGATGCGGTTTACGGTCTCTAAAGGTGCCACACCTCAACTTCAGCATAACGAATGTGGGTAGTGTTGAGTTCCAAATGGAAACTGTAATAATTTGCCGTCGGCGTTTCCGTTCTCAGATCACGCAGAGTCAAGTGATTTCAAGTTGTTATTTTGCAGAGGACGGTTAAGAAATGCACACAGTTTTAAAACGCATATGCTTAGCTATTGTTCTGCCCACTATAGATCTTTTTTTTTGTCACGTCCTCGTTGCTGTCGCCGCTTTCCCTATTGTTACCTTTTCCGGACCCAACTCGAGAAAACGATGTTTCTCATGATAACGTCCTTGCGCAAATTTCTTCATTAACTTTCAATTTGATTAACAAACCCTGTTTACGATTCTAATCAAATAAATTTATCAAAAACGTTATGAAAATGCGAATATTGAGTGCTTGGAAAGTGCTAAAAGCAATTGAAAAAATTAATGTGTTTTATACTTGATTGTCATGTTACATAAACAACATGCTGTAATTATTCAAATGAAGATCACCTCTGCTGAAACCCGAACTTCATGTTTCACCTTACCTAAACTCTGAGCAGGTTGTATAAAACGCTTAAGGCTAGCCAAGGTTTAGTAAAATTTCTGAAGCTTTGTAAAGAATCTTGCAGCGTGCTGTCTATTACGCTTAGTTTTGTCTTACATTGAGACCGTCAGCATAATGTACGATTTTATACAGCAGAGAAACCCAAAACAGGTTTAAATTTTATTCCTGTATTTTCACTAACCGCTTACCCAAGAGGTAAACGGATGAAGTTGATTAAGCTGAACAGAAAAGGGAATCAATTTTGGCACAACAAAACATAGTCGACAAATGAGGTGAAAATAAGCACACGAATTCTTACCAGATTACTAAATGCAAATTTCATGAAACGCCGGCCCTCCTTCCGTTGTCAATGAATTTTTGATGTGTTTAGTTCAAATTGTGAAGGGAGTTTTTCGACCAACCTAAGAAATAACCTTTTTTTCTATGTATTAAGAATATTTGCAGTGTGATAACAATTTTACATACAATAGCGTTTGATTTTAGGTAGGATTAAAAAAACCAAAGCCGTTTTATAACTTGCTTGGTGAGCGATAAAAGACTGACGCTAAATAAAGTATTAGGGTTGAAGTAACATTATGCTGGAGAATGCCTGGGGGAATTGCTGTTGACCGAATTACTGATTTCGTTCAACTCGCTGTATTGCTGCTTTTTTTTCACTTGTAGTTTATTAACAAATATCGACAGTCATAGATGCAGCAGATGCAATACTAGGCAGAGTTTGACGTGATTTAATTTATGGTATCATTCATAGGGTTTATTCGTTTCCCCTCTCTCCCCTCTCTCCCCTCCCGTTTTCCCTTCTTTAGAAGTCTCGCTACGCAGAAAACCGTTTTCTGATAAGGTTAAGGGATTTTTACTCCCATTTTTTCTACTACCCAGGGAGGAGGAACTGCCGTAAAGGGGGGGCAGAGCCAGGCAAACAATCAAAATCTCTGAGTGATAAAGAATGAGCTGTTATCTTAACCCATACTGATCACACCACGTGATTTCTAGTGATCATGAATTACTTAGTAAGTATTAAAGTCTTGAAGCACACGGAAACCGAAGGGAGGGCATCTAATACATGACCGAACGTCAGATCAGAATGTCTTCAGTGAAATGAGAAAGTGCAAACTATTACCTTCTCTCTTATTTTATTATTCCAGTAATTAAAAAAGAGCAGATTAGCTGTATTTTGTTGTCAGTTCTGTCAAGATCGATTGTCGAGCTACAAAGTGCATTAAATTTAGAGGAGAAAGGAAAAACAGAAATAAAGAAAAACCGAACTTTATTTTCTTTCATCAAAGACTCGAGTCTTTGTCTCTTAAATCCTATCACCCTTACAAGTGTTAAATCGTACAATTCTTCGAGTGAATTACATTAAATCAACTGCCTGCGATGAAGGTATTTCAAACCCTTATCTTATCTTCAGCTCTCATGAGGAGATAATGGCCCCAAGTGTCCTGTTTATAAGAAATAAAAAAAAAAGATTAACATAAAGTGATCAAAAGAAGAATATAATTTTGAGTGGTCGACGGAAAGAACAAAAAGATCTTTATTAACGTGAAACATTAAAGTTACGACAAAACACAATTGAACGCATCGTCATTCAGGGATAACAAAGAATTTAAAGGGAAGTAAGATTGCCTTTACTAAAGAACAAGCTCCCAACATAAGAAATCTACTGGGAGAGAATTAGCCGGATTAAAAGGCTTTAGATGGGCCATTTCCAGGATACACACTGTAGTATGGTAGACAAAAATGTTTCTGATTTGCGTTTTTTCAAAAGTCTCGAAAGTGTATTTTTTTTTGTTGGTCGTTCCTTTTTGCGATCACCAGATCCTCTCTTTTGACTTACAGTAACGCCCCACGCTCCTTAATTAGCCAACTTACATTACACACCAAAGGTGTGTGTACACAGCATTCGTAGGTTCTCCAAACGTAGTCGAGGTTTTTATAATGCTTCTTGCAAACTTGGTCCAGCTCCTCACTAACATGTTCTGAGTAACAACCGGAACAACCGTTGTATTCACAGTATCTTTTGGCCAAAAAAACTCCTCTCCGCTGCTTCTGGTATTGCTCACAAGCATTCCTTGTTTCGATATCACTTTCTAAAGAGAGACAAAATGTGATGAGTCCCTTTTCTTTTTAAACAGTGTTTTGTCTTCCCCTCCAACCACTACCTGGGCACTCCCTAGATTTCGCTCAAAAAGTTACGTGAATCCAATGAGGGTATGGCTTCCGGGTTTCGGAGTCATATGCCTATGCAGGTTCTTTTCCAGTGACTGGGAGGGGTGGCTAATATGCCACTAATTTAACACATATGTTTTTGTATTGTTTTACGCTGGATGACACGATGACTAAACTCTTACAATTTCATTAACTTTCGCAGTCAATTTGTTCGATAAACTACTGGATCAAAAAATGCAACGGGAGAGAAATGAGAATTTGTCTTAGTGGGTTCTGTTGTAGTATCCGATTGTTTTTTTTTCGATCATTCGGAGAGCGAAGTGAAATGAAACCAAATGAGTTTAACTATTTTTCTTGTTTATCTGTTTTTGTCCTTAAGAGGAATTGAAATCGCCAGACCCAAAGTTATCAGATGAAAAATAAGGCAGTCCATATTCGTTAAATAATCACTTCATAACAGAAATAATTGTACCGTATCTCATAAGAAAGTAAAATTCGCCTTGTTGCAGGGAATTTGTATTCAAGTCCGCATTTAGTCCAGAATAATAATGGAGCCGGCGTCCTTGAAGTTGATAGGTTACGAATCTGATCCTGGCAACATTAGCCGTTTAATACGACACGAAATGAAATGACTAAACATCTCTGATCGTATATGAAAGCGATCCTCGCAGTTATGAATACTTCTTGAGAAACAGTGAAAATAAGGTCTAAAAAAAATTTGGCTCGCACGAGATTTGAACCCGGACGGTATCGCAGAGGTCATGCGTTCAAATTGCGTACGGGCCTTATTTCCACTACTTTTTAAGTAGTGTTCATAACTGCGAGGATCGCTCCCATATTCGTTTCTTCAACCGCAGTTCACATATATGATTTATATGTATATAAATGAATGTGGGGGTAGAGTCTACCTTGGCATAAAGTGCTCAATGCTGTGGTAGCAGAGCTAAGTATACATAACTTAAAGAATTAAAGAGGACGCATCGATTCTCTGTGACTCTGAGTTTCGCGCCTAAGCGCACGTCAGAGAATCGATGCGTCCTCTTTAACTGATTCATATATATATATATATATAATTTATATATATAAATTAATATATATATATATATATATAAATATTATGAGAGGAAAAAAGGACGCAACTACATTTCCCGACAAGCCTGTTTCGTGAATCGCTTCACTCTTCAGGGGTTTAATTTTTTAATTTTTAATTTTTAAACCCCTGAAGAGTGAAGCGATTCACGAAACAGGCTTGTCGGGAAATGTAGCTGCGTCCTTTTTTCCTCTCATAATATTTATTCTGCTCTGCTTCAACGTATTGAGCACTGTTCCACGCGAAAATCGACTTGCAGACTTCCTATATATATATATATATATATATATATTATTTATTCACCACTGGGAGGGTTTATTTGGAACCAACACAATGACCATGGCGTTGCCCCGGTATCGCAAATGTCATGAGTTCAAATCTATTACGAGCTAAATATTTTTTCCCGTTCTTGATCGAGATAGAGCTTTTGAGGCTACAAATAAAAAGTGAATTAATTTGCTTATGAGTAGTACTGTGTTAATCACTTGGGAAAACAATTGAGAAAACGCCTGTGATCATAACATGTAAAACATAGTTTTGCCTTGGCTGATGAATGAGTTATCTTCAGTTCAGCGGTAGAGCATCTTGCCGCCAACTCGGGAGGTCTGAGGGTGAATGACATTCCCCGCCGATCCGTCGACTGAACTTAAATTTTACGATCTCTATTTTTCTTCATATTTATTCTATCAGGATTTACTTTTGTTGCGATTCACTTTCTTGATATTCAATCAACAATTACTTGGAGCATTACATTATAAGCCTGTCGTAGTGGTATGGCACATTATCTTAGAAGCCATGGTGAAGCTTACGGCCGTTCTGCCTTTAAACATATAATGATTTGGGTACTGCTACAAAGATGTAACGCCACAGTGAAAGCCAAAGTTACTTTCGGTAAAAGTAAATAATTCTCCGATGCACCTCTCTTTAAGAAATATTAGATCACTCATGATGCCATTGACACAGAAATTATTCTGCCAAAATAAATAAAAATCTTAAAAATATTCTTCACCCGTTGAAGTTAAATCAACCTGCCTCTGAAACCTTTTTTCAGTTGCCGTTTCTGTTCAAAGAAAGTAATAGAGTGGGGCCTAACTGATTCCTTTTGTTTAAAATGTGATTGTCCTACTCCCATCCCTCTCCCAATCAATGTTGACAGAGGAAGTTGTCATCAAAGAGATCATTTTCGAAATCACCATGGCGAAGGGGAAGGAACGACTGTATAGCGAAAAGAAGGTCTCATAATTTGCACATCAAGTGACATATGTCTGTGACCGGGGGCAATCGCCCTAAACGCGCAGAGAAATAAACGAGAATAGGAAAACTTCAACTAACTTTGTCATTTGATAGAAAAATAAGAGCTTCACCGATTACGAAAATTTTGGTGCCAGCATCTCACGCAGTTATGAGAGGGAAACAGAGAGTTTGCGGTCAGCGTTTTGACGAGAAAGTGGGTGAGCAAGTGTTTCATTTTACGCCATATGAAATATTCCTCCGCTCATTAGAAAAATTAAAGACTCATACTTTTCAATTTCCTGACAACAAAATTTCAACTAAAAGATAAAGGAGTGATGGATAAAATGCAGTTGCACAATTTGGATGAAAGAAAAAAAAAAGGAAAAAAAAGACACTCTGGAAAAGAACTTTGAATAAAAGGTGTCCGTAAAATGCAATTTTGAAAGTCGGAGGAGAAATGCATAACTAGAGTAATATGTCGTCCACTTTTATAGGCGACACTCTATCTTTGAGTTACTAAAGTTGTTTATTAGTATGAAAGTGTCCTACAAGTTCTGATAAAGAAAGATACAGCGAGAGTCATGTCACGATGCACCATTTGCAGTGAATCAGAGGAGAGTCTATAATGAATGAATGAATGAATGAAAAACTTTATTCATGTGTCAAAGTCGATCTAGCCGAGGGTAAAAAACCCTCTACTAATAGGGGACACCTAGACTCAATACAATAAGTTAAAATTCGACTAATTTTACCATTTACAATAGATAAAATTTAAATACGTCATTGACATTAAGAACTAAAAGTTTAAACTACCTTATTTAATACTCATTATTAAATCAAATAAACACATAGAGCGTTCCCTGAGCTAGATAATTGTTCATGTGCTACATAGAACACAGTTCTCACAATCGTATTCTAATTTAGACGAAAGGTTAGTTAAACAGATCTGTTTTTTAAAAGATTGTAGAGAAAGTGAGGTTTTTATGTTAGTTGAAAGTCGATTCCACAGCAAAGGGCCAATATATCTTAGGGAATGTTTTCCATAGGTAACAGTATTAAATCTAGGAAAGTGGAAATCTGCGCCGCTGAGGTTGTATGTGGAACTTTTCAATGAAAACAAATTTTTGACAGTCGGTGGGCACAGATTATGCCTCACTTTAAACATTAAACAAGCTATATCCTGTAGCCTTCTTTCATAAAGAGATTTTAAATTAGCCTTCTTATGTAATTGCTCATATGTGGATTTACTATCTCTGAAGACTGCACGCAAACCCCTCTCCTGAGTACGTTCAAGTGAAGTTTTCAAGTGCGTACATAATGAATGCATCCAATAAATATTCCAAATATTAATTAACTATGCCAGTTAATAATTACTTCACAAAGAATCTATATTTACCAAGAAAACGATTATGGACAATTCTCTCGCAAAGAAATATAGACAAGCATGTGCATTTCTATCTTTACAATTATAAATAGTTCCAGATGTAAAAATTAGAGTTTCGGTTACTACTAGTATCATAGCTTTTCGACAAAACTCACTGATATATTCTACAGTAGTTGTTGTATAACTCTACAAATCTTGGACCTATAGAACTTCCATTCATAGCTAACGGTGCGAAAAATTATTATCTGTGAATGCAGTTCTGCATTGTATTTCTTCGAGAGAATATCAAACCGAGTACAAGAAGAAAAGCGGTAATTTTACCCTTCGAAAAACATAAACATTTTAGTCTTGTTATCTGCCGCCTTCTTGAATCAAATTGAATACACTTTCTTATGCAGAGTGCAGTAATTGACCCTAATGGTTTCCTGGTCTTGTTTTGAGTTCGATGAATTGCGACATTTGCTGATTTTCGAATAATATCAGTAATAAGTCAACTCATTGTGAGATGACATTTCAAATCAATAGATTTTGGTATCCCATATGTACATATGGAAAAAAAATTTGCGTCTTCCTTACGTTTAGTTTGTAAAACGGAGCGAAATATTTTTACGGTCGTGACGAGAAAGGTTTGGGTTTATTACGCGACTCGACTAAAGCCTCTCTCGTTTTTTTCAGTACCGCTACTATCGCGCATTTACTATCACGCTTTGTTTTACATGCTAAATGTCTGGAACAGGTAAGAAAGGAAATAGGTGGAACTTCCAAGGACTTAAACTGAGAAAATGTAATATCTTGAGGGGATAAAATGGTCTCTGCCTACGTCTCGCGGACATCTGCATTTTAACAGGCACCAGGAACCCAACAGGCGGGAAAGTCACAAAGTACCTCCAATCCAGAACTGAGTCGTTGCATTTGAGCTTGAAGTACAACGAAATTTGGGATTCACCTCTGAATACAATCCAAAGTTGTCCTCGTTTTTTACGGCTGCGTTTGGCGTGTTTCCGTCGAAATCACAGTCTGCTTGTTTAGAACTGTCGGTATGCAGAGGAAAATGCCCTTTTTTATACCAGGTTTTCATTGTGCAATTCCGACACTCATTTCCCCGGATGTTCACATATTCAAATGGTCGACATTTAGCCACATCATCGGAGGGTACGTCACTGATGATGTCAAAGTGTTCAAGCGAGGCTCTCAGGTAATCTGTATATACGGTGCCATCTGTGTTGTATCGGCAAGTAGCTCTCCAGTGAGTCGAGTGATTTCTCAGCCAAAGCAGGTTGGGTCGTTTGATGAGGTAGGCCTGCCAGTTTGGATCATCACCGCTGATAGCTTGGTAGTCATCATAAAACGTGACATTTTTCTGCAGACAGAGAGGGTCGACTTCAGTTGGTGAAGATCATAATTATATTTATTAATTACATTAAGATCATTGCAACTAGAAACAAAAATTAAACTGGCTAAGATAACCCTGACAATTTGGAGCATTACTGCTGATGGCCTTGCATCTGGATGATAATAATAAAAATACGATTCCTACTGTTGACAGAATCGGTTGTTGTCAATATTAGTTATCATAACTTCCAAAAGAAACCAACGTAGCTGACGAAGCAAGCAAATCAAGGGACCAATGTAAAAATGAAAAAATAATTCATTTTGGAGGTACTAAAATAATAATCACATCCTCACCACCTTCTCTGCATAAATAACTAATGATAAATGGTCTTTTCTCAGGAGAATTACCTGGAAAAGATCTTTGCTGGATAAATTAAAGGACTCAATCAGGTTCCAAGCGAAACGAGGCTCTGAATCAAAATCACAGAACACTCGGAAAGTTTGGTGGCTGTCATCAATGAGTCTGAACAGTCGCGACCGGCGGAACCCGGCTAATTTGTACTCCTGACAGCTTCTTCTCAGCCAACTCTCGCAGTGTTTTCCAACAAACGGCAGTGGACAGGAACAGCGGTATCGAACACTTGTGGACTCACAGACCTCAGTGCAGGTTCCTCCATTAAGACACGGACTGTTTCTGCAGCAGCCATTGCCACAATTGACGTCACCAGTACAAGGAACGATATTATTATAACCCTTATATACAAAATTGATTAAAAAAGAATATGTTTCTATCGCTATGCTATTCTTATGATTTTAACTTGAATGTGAGTTTAATATTGGCATGAACGTGTCTTTTCTCACCAATTTATAAAAGCATGTCCTCTTAATTTTCAAGAAGTCTTTTGGTTTAATGGATTCCGCGTTGGTCCATGAAAACTATCTTTTTTCAATATTATGAACCAGTGAGATCACCCAATGGCGAATAATATCTGATATCAGTGAAGCAAAGGGCTAAGAGTTAGTTACATTCTACCTTGGTCGAGTCAATCAGTATCAGTTCAATGATTTCCAAGTATCTGCTTGCGCAATTGGAATTGGGTCACCGGAATCTCATGGAAGCTCAGATTTACCCACTCTCAATGCAATTGTTCTCTTTCTCCTTGAAATTCGTTGGAGTTTTTATTCTTTTTGACGACATTTTGATATTTTCAAAAAACGGAAAAGTTTTATTTCTTTTTTTTTTTTTTTTATAGAAATTTAGCGCTCACATGAAGAGGGGATCTATCCTTTTCTAAGTTGCTCTATTCTTCAGTTTCTCTATTCGTTTAAGCAAGTTAATTTTTTAGTTTTTAGTTTGTATCTCTCGTATTTTGTCCATTATTTCATTTGTAGATTTTTTTTTTCGATATTTTTCGCTTTGTTGATTTTGTTTTTTGTCATCTCTTTATTAACACCACTTTCTGCTCTTTCACGCGATTTTGTATCTTATTCATTAGTTGTCACCTGTAATTACGTAATCACTAGCACCTCGATCTTATTTAAAGCTCTTTTTTATTCAAAAGTAATAAATAACTTAAGAAGGTCTTTGACCAAAACGTTTTTAAATTTTTTTCCTTTTTTACGTCAGAAGTTGTCCATCCTCGCGTTTTTTTTTAACTCTCTCTATATATACATATACATATATATAAACACTTTTTATCTCGATCAAGATGAAGGCTACAAAGATGCTTTGTAAAATACTATATGACAAAATAAAATTTTGTACCTTCGTGGAGTATTCTCTCAGCAGTACGTAGTAGATGCTTCCAAGGATGTTTTTCAGAGAGTTCTTGCTGTTTAAATGGCTGTATTTGTTCAACTCGCAATATTTGGTTTCGTTTTTGACTTTGTAGTTTATCGACAAACATCGACAGTCGTTTATACACCACAAGTAGCACTGTGCTGGGTTTGAAGTGACAGACCTGTGAAAAACATGGCCGACGAGCTCTTGGTCCTGTTTGGCATGTTGTTGCACATTAAAATGTATCTTTTCACATTTTCCTGTAAGGCAGTCTCCTTTAACTTGCAAAACTAACATTAATATAAAAACAAACTTTACATCCAACATTGTTAACGTGTTTACATCCCACTCGAGCAAACAATGTTTCTCGTGATGACTTTCTCGAACAGATGGATGAATAATTTAGACATTGCCTTTCTTTTATAGATCAATCGGGATGTGAGAAACTAAGCCAATTAGGTTAGTAAAAAGATTATCATGTTTTACAACACGAACAAACTAATTAAATTAATATCTTCTCGCTATCATGGCGACCAAATGACTCCTTTAATTGTTTTTATAAAGATCACCTCCCATGAACCATAACTCGATATTTCATTCTACAAAACTCCGAGCGTCTACAAATCAAAACATATTTCTGAAAGCCCGTGGTTAGAGTAAAGTGGTTGTGGATTTGCAGACAATTTTGTGGTTTCTATTCTAGCTTGTGCATATTTTTTATCGTTACTACAATTGTTGAAAATATCTTGTGCTAATGAAGTTGAACACAGATCACTCGAGAGAGCTCTATTGATGTTTAGCCTTTTGATATGCAAATTCATTGAAGCATTTCTTATTAATCAGACTCGCTTTTCAGTTATGTTTGGACTGAAAAAGACGAAAGAACGTAAGAGAAAAGTAAAATAAATGAAAATTACAGAAATTACGGCAGAAACAAAATGTCAGGCAGAGTTCCACCATCATGTTTTTTGTTAGCCGATGTAATGAACAATGATTTGACGACTGTATAATATTTTCATTGGCTATTAATAATTCAGCGGAGGATCCAAGGGCCTATTTCTCGAAGGTTTTCCTAACTAAAAACGAAGCTGTTGTGTTTTCCTTCAAGATAGGGGTTCCAAAAGTTTTGAAAATTTTACAATAAAACTATCAGCTAAAGAAACAAAATGGACTGGTTAGGGTGCCATAACCTGCTTCTCTAATCTTAAAATTTTGATTTTAAATATTGCCTTGGGTCCGTTAAGTTACCGGAACTTTCGTGAAACGTATCCTAGGCTACGTTCTTCGCTCTGTACCCTGTCAGGCCTGAAGCTTTTGCAATGAACAGTAAGAAAGAGAGAAAATAATGTTTATTCTTTAGGTCATCTGCTTAATAGACTCAAGATATATGGCTACTTCGCCATTAATATTACTTTAGGGGGACACCCGGAGAAATTTAAAGAATTTTTAGTTTTCTTGAAAACTGGCTCGATCTGCGTGATTACGTTTCAAGACACTCGCCAACAACATTACTTTCGGGGGCAGTTGGGGAAATTGAGAGACTTATCATCTGTCTTCACATTTGGCTCCATTTGTCTGGTTACCTTCTTTAAAACTGTCGACGGTAAGTTTTGTACCTTCTCTGCCATAACCATTTACAGATCGATCTTTACGTACATTTGCAATTGAGCCAACGATTCACATTCAACGGCCTTAAATTGAAATGGGACGATGAGATGATTTTCGACTCAAACCTTATCGTGTTGTTTATATTTATTTTAACTTAGTTTGAATAAAAGACCTTAAGTCATAGCTGTACAACCTCACCACATCTATATAGTAATCTTTATTGCACGCTACTCGTCTAGAAGGTCAATTTTTACGCCTAACGGTTCAAGTTAGCCCCGTTGAGACCCTCGAATATGATGACATGAACCCCTCCTATCAAAAAATTGCAGTTAATACAGTGGTCACATTACCTCAGTATGTTATAAATCTTCTATAAAAATCATTCTATAAAATTCAAAGATCTTAGTTGCATTTCTGAATGAGCTTTTAATCAGATTCTAGTTAGTCTACTTAATCAAGCCTGCCCTCCCCCCTCCCCTCCATTTGCAAACTGAGGCCTTATAGTTATTTTAAAGTGGTAGTATGACTACCGCTCAGCCTTCCTGGGACGCAAAACGTATCCACAGCTTCCGCCCTTTGTCGAGATTTTTTATTCACAGCTTCCTTTTGACCCAGGTATTTTTACAGAGCCTTTCTGGGAAATTTAAAAAATATATGCGTAAGATTAATTTTGTAACAGCTGAGATTTGTATAGGAGGTAAAGTTGACGTTTCTAGCGGTGGCGCTTTTGAAAATTTCCAGTACTAAGTCTAACACGTGTAATTCAATAAGTATTCAACGTGGAGTTTCGTTGAACACGACCACAGAATTCGCACGGATGGCACTACTTGAATTTAAACCGTCAACACCGGCTCTACAAAACGATGAGAATTTTCTCTTTGGACAATCTTGGAACATACCCCTTACTTACGATGACATGTATCATCTGTTGTATTGTGCGAGGCGTGTGGCATGGCTGCGCCGTAGACACTGACATAACCGCTTGGATGAACAATATTTAATTGCACATTGTTCTGGTTCAATAGCGAGATAATGGAAGTTTTTTCATGCATTAATTTTCCCTTTGCTGAGATGCTAGTTGCAAAGTATCTGGGCATTTATCTCAATTTAGTTTGTAATCAAATGAAAGTTAGGGGCCATGGAAGGAGGGGATGGAGAGGATTTTGGGGAATCACATGGTTTTCAAGGGGGAACGGAGGGTGGGGGGGATCAGTTGTCACCAACAGGGTATAAATGAGGGGCCTATAGAAAATTTACTGTCAATTTAAGTGCCAATGAAGGGGGGAATCATAAGAATAAGAATGAGCAGAGCCTGATGGGAGATCAGGTAAATGTTTTCTTGATACAACCAAAATCCCCGCCTCCCCTCCCCCTCCCCCCACTAGACTTTAATAATGACCAGTCGCTACTATTTCTTAAGTGAGTTTTATTCTAAAAATTGGTGCAAAAATTCTACTCAAATCATAACTCATATGGTCTGCCGGTTCTATTTCTCGATGTGCTGCCAAATGAGGAAGGACGAACTGTCGGTTAGATCTGCTGTGTTGTTTGGTCAGTGAACTATTTGCCTCCGATCCAAAACTGAGTCGTATCATCCAGGTTTGAGGTACAACGGAATTTGGGATTTGTAGTAGCGTACTGTCCAAAGTTGTCCTCGCTATATTTGGCTGGGTCTACCTCGCTTCCGTCAAATTCGCAAGATCCGCGCCCGGAACTGTCCATGTGAAAAGGATAACTTCCTTTCTTATACCATGTCATTGCGGTACAATTCACGCACTTATTTCCTCGGATGTTCACATATTCGTAGGGTCGACAGACACCTGACACCGTGGGTACGTCTCTGATGATATCAAAATCTTCAAGCGAGGCTCTCAGGTAATCTGTATATACGATACCATCTGTGTTGTACCGGCAAGTAGCTCTCCAGTGAGTCGAGTGATCTCTGAGCCAAAGGAGGTAGGGTCGTTTGATGAGGTAGGCCTGCCAATTTGGGGTATCACCGCTGATGGCCTGGTAGTCATCGTAAAATGAGATGTTCTTCTATAGACAGAAAATTTCAACTTCAGTTGGTATAGATCAATATCACATCCGAGAACTTAAGATCTTTGCAGCTTGAAACAAAAATTAAGCTGAACTATTTTGTAACGTACTCTTGTCAAATTGAAGCGTAACCGCTGATGGCGCATGAGTCTGGATAGTCATTATGTATAAAACAAGATTTATTTCGCTAACAGAATTATTCGAAGACATCATTAGTGACGAAAGCTTCTAAGAAGAGAGACGAACTTAACATACGAAAAAAAATTCAAAATGATGAAGGCATTTCCCATTTAGGAGAACAAAATTTTCATATCCTCGTTATTTTCTTCAGACGAGAACGTACAGGATATAGTTCTTATAGCTTTAAAATCTTAATAAAATTACCTGAAAAAGATGTTTGTTAGACAAATTGAACGACTCGATCAGGTTCCATGCGAACCCAGGCTCAGAATCAAAATCACAGAATACTTGGAAAGTTTGGTTTCTGTCATCAGTGACGGTGTACAATCCAGAGGCGGTGGACCCGGCTGCTTTATAATCCTGACAGCTTCTTCTCAGCTGAATCTCGCAGTGTTTACCAACAAACGGCACAGGACAGGAACAGTTGTACCGAACACTTGTGGGCTCACAGATCTCACTGCAGGTTCCCCCATTAAGACACAGATTGTTCCTACAGCAGCCATTGGTACACGTGGCGTCATCAGTACATGGAACGATGTAGTTAGGAACCTTATATGCAAAAATTGATAGAACAATAAAGCATTTTTTTTATTACCATATTATTATCATGATAATGATTTGTCTTTGACAGAAAAGTGTTCCTTTCACCTAGCTTTTTATTTTCTCAAGTTTGCAAGTAATCACGGTTACTCCCGAAATCTCTAATTTATATACCGACCATGCCATAATAGTCCTTTGAAATTACCCCTTTTTCAGTATTTAAACAAGCGAGATCACCCAAATATTTGTCAAATATTTGCTAAAACTGATCAGTTAGTCTTTGATTTTCTTATGTCTCTACTTTACTTAGATAAATTTCGTTTGGTTAAAACAGTTACATGTTTTACCCCGCAATCGGGAAAAGACGGATTTTTCCATTTTCGGGACAAATTTCTTTGTACATTTTCTCTACGAAATAAATTCTATTATATTTTTGACCTGCGAATGATATTCAAGTTATCCTCGCTGGTGAGAAGCTCTTGCACCTGCCAGGAACAGTTCCTTATTTGTTGAATGTTTCTCCGTTAGTTTTCTGATTCCATTTTTGTATTTCATCATTCGAAAGATTCATCTCTTTTCATAAAAATGTAGAAAAGGAAATGGACTTTCAAGACCCGAATAAAACAGGACCTTAAAATACAGACTGGGAAAAATAGTAGGTTCTTGTTTTTTGAAGTTTTTATATTTGCACAATTATATAAATCTCCCAACATCTTTTGCAGCTGTTACCTCGGGCTCAAAACGATCAATTTACTCTGTTTTGAAATACTTTTGGCCGGGGAAGACATCAGCATCCACAAGGATAGGTAGTCATAATTTGTTTTAGTTTTGCTTCTGATTAGTTGAGAATCTCTTCTGTTGATCAATTTGGTTAGAAAACGTGGAACTCATAATCTTAATTTAAAATAGATTATCAAACAAGTTCCTCGGAAACCACTTCACTTTGGTACACCTATACAACCATTGATATTTATTCAATATAACTTCCAAATGGAGTTAAAGTGCAGCACAGCTGTAAGTATATAATTATCTAATAATACATTTATTTCATTTTGCACTGTTGACACGTATGCTGTGCGGACCTATTTTTATAATTTATCGTGAGGCAGAAGCTTCTTCGGTTTTAAATATAACAAATGAATTGCTAATATCTAAAGAAAAACCTGGAATCATTCATGGTAAAAATACCTTATGACATAATAAAGTTTAATAACTTAGTAAATTCTCTTCTTTCGCTGTGCTCGCTCGTGAGCTATCGAGTTAAACACTCGAAGAAAAATTCCACATCTACCCGCGCCCATACTATATAACTTTATAAAGTTAAGTACCTGTGGAGTATTCTCTCCGCAGTACGTAGTAAACGCTTCCGTGGATGTTTTTCAGAGAGCTCTTGTTTGTAAAATGGCTGCCTTCGTTCAACTCGCAGTATTTGATGTCGTTCTTGACCTTATAGTTTATCGACAAACATCGACAGTCGTTGATACACCACAGATAGCATTGCTGTGGGTTTGAAGTGACAGAATTGTGGAAGACATGGTCGACAAGCTCCTTGTCATGATCGGCGTCTCGTTGCTCAACGAAAGAGATCTTTTCACATTTTCCAGTAAAGCAGTAGCCCCTTGAAAAACTGAAATGAGTATACAAAAAGACTTCGCAACCATCATTTTATCGTTTTCACACTCCACCTAGGGAATGATGTTTCTCATAATGTTCAGTGAGCAGATTACTTATTTGAGATATCGCCCATCCCTATGTGTCAATCAACGTTTAATAAAAACCAATCAAATGAGTTCAAAGAAAATAACTTCACAATATGAATATTCAAGGCACAAGTGATAAAATTGATGTGCTTAATATTTGCCAATTATGGCGCACAAATAATATGATATAGATCTTCTACTTAGAACACTTCCCACGCATAAAGACACAACTTCAAATTTCTTCCTTCCTTCCTTCTAAAACTGCTAACGTGTTGTTTAAACACATATGGGATAACCTAGGCTAGTTTTTCTGAGTTTTTGAGGACAGTGGTTATGCTTAAGTCTGGCACATTGCTGTTGACTGTATAAACCCCCTGTAAAATTCTGTCCTGATTCTCACTTTCATTCAGTTAAACCATACCGACGACACTTTTGTTCGCATCAAAAATCATATATTTTGAGAATAGAAAGTAACGTGAGAGGAATTTGACTCAAGAAGGAGGGAGAAAAACGAACCTAGTCGAGTGTTTCTCCCTACACTTCTTTCGTGCTCAAGCCGCTTCCCACCCTCTTTACAACGGAACGTAATGAGCACAGTCAAGGTCTCTTTATTTTTTAAAACATAACACCCTGGTAGAACTGCATGCGGAATGCCAAACAGGGTGATTATATTGAATACTTAATACCTTTTATAACTTGGTTTACCTTCAATGCTGGCAAAACAAACAAGACGATATCTACATATGAATTTAAACGATTAACTATTGATATTCTGACGTCAAATAAATGATAGCCTTCACCACACATGTTCATCAGGTGCAATATCAGTTTACAGTGTGAGAAGAATTCAGCTGTTTTATTCATGAAGCAAACTTGTTACGCTCACTGTCTACCAGCAAGGACTTGAGGAATAATATCACACTTTTCAAATCATTACTTTGTTCATATCAGAGATTAAAATACAGCAAGACATTGAGAATACAAAATGATAAAATGCGGGAAAACTATTAACAAGGAAACCCTCTGGAGAAGGAAAAGAAGTAAGGAACTAAAAAATGGTTGATAGAAAAAATTCTTAGAGCCTTGTTTTTACGAACTTTGTAATCGGGATATTGTGCGCAGTTCTTACAATATTATTCCAAAGGGAAAGTTAAACGGGTTTTCAAAAGTAATAACAACTCATTACATTTCATAAGGGTGCATATGTTTACAAAACTAGACGTATATGTACATGTACTCGGGCCTCTCTATTTCAATGAAACTTGATTGATATGTTTAAATATAGATTATGTCCGTCACCTAATGACAAAACTGCAACAACCTTGTGTCACTTGATATATAGCTATGAAAGTGTTTTATACCTACGCGACAAGATCGAATTTGCATATATATTAGTTTACAAAAAATCTACAAGATATTATTCTTGTTCGTAAAGCTAGAGCGTGACGTAAATGCTTTATCTCTCATTTTCTTTTTCAAAAATTCAGTGCAGCTTTTAAATTACTCTGTTTCCACATGTCTTTCCTTAAGATAGATAAAAATGAATGAAAAGATGTTTCCATGTCACTTTCGGTTATTTATATCCAGGGGTAGTTTGCGTCTCTGGCTTGGACACCTTGGGTAACCTGGTCCCTTAAATGGACAATGAAATGTTTAGTATTGTATTGTATGATTACCCACCCCGGCTAAGTTATAATCTTGCACTTTATAATTTGAAACTCTTGTATTTCAACTTCTGTTTATTACCAGCAGAATGAATGAAACCAATAAGTACAACTTGATCTGACTTCCATAACAATAGGAAAAGTGATTTTAACTGATACTTAAATTTTAAACTGGATCGGACGCAAACATGACATTAGAGGAACAAAACAAGATCCCATGTGTTGATACTTGGAACAGGTGTTTTCGTCAATAGATATTACACTTGCAAAAATCTCCGTGAACACAATGTATTAAAAAGTAAAGTTACAGTGTCATATGTGACAGCTAAGACCTCAAGATATAGTAGTTACTGTGCCAAGTTGTTGTCATTAATAGATATTACATCTGCAAACATCTACTTCGTAAAAACAACTCATTAAAATCTTATATCTTGATGCACCTGAAACAAATAAAGCGTCAGTGTCAAATGTGACAGGGGAGTTCTCATGAAATAAAAATTACTTTGCCAAGGTGTTGTCATCAATAGATATTACATCTGCACTTGATAAAACTGATTTTATATCTTAATGTCTCTGAAACAAATAGTGTCTGCAGTGTCATATGTGACACAAGAAATAGTAATTATAGTGCCAAGGTATTGTCATCAATAGATGTTACATCTGCACACATCTAATTCGTAAACACAACTCATCAAAATCTTATATATTAATGTATCTGAAACAAATAAAGTGTCAGTGTCATGTGTGACAGCGAAGTTCTTAAGAAATAGATATTACATCTACACACATCTAATTCGTAAACACCACTTCTCAACACTGAACTTACATCTTAATATTTGATACAAGTAAAGTATCAATATTATATGTAACTGCAAAGTTCTCAGGTGCGAGGGTGTTGTCATAAATTGATATTACATCTCCAAACATCTTCGTGAGTACAACGTCATCTATCTTCAAAGACAACTACTGCTCATCAAGATAACAAGTGACACTCTTCTCACATGTGGCTGCTCTGATCATGAAGGTGCAACGTTCACATTGAATAGCATTTGTGCAAGTGCCTTAGAGGATTTTCTTGTTGCAACGTTTACACTTAACATACTTCTCAATCTTCTGGACTGAATGGACATCAGTGACCTGCAACGTTTCCTCTGGTTCTTTATCTTTGCTGTCATGGTAATTTCAGATCTTGAAATTGTTGAGCAACGGTACGGATTGTCGTCGACAACTTCTTTTTTTCCTGATCACACTCTAACTTGCAAATTTGTAAGTGTATACGCAAGACCTTTAAAAAGAAGAAAAAAAAATTGGTGTTGATACAGAAGCAGTCAAGGAATGAGACCTAAAATTACCCTAGATCTGAGTAGAGTGGCTCAAGGGAGTTTCGTCTTGCCTACACTTGTTCGAAGACATAAACTCGATAAATTTTACGAGTTACGAAGTTCCATGAAGAAAAATGTAGGAAACAAATTAATTAAGATGAGCCCATTTTCAGCTGGTCAGTCTACGATTTGCGCTGTCTACAATTAAAGGGTGCAGATGCGAAAAGCGTGACTAAAACGAGAATTGGAGGTGAAAATATCAGTGCTCTAGTGCGGACGGTATGCGTTATTTTGGTTCTGTACACCTAACATGTATTCTTCGAATTAAACACAATTAACGGAAATTATCTTTGGAATCTGGGTAACTAATATAAACTTTTACCAACTTACTTCGTTGTACTTCGTCGATCTGTGATTCCCAAACATCGAGAGGAATGATACCACTCACGTCGCCGAGAACTGCTTCCATCAAGTTAAGTAGTTTGCGAAGACTTCCCACTGGACGTTGGTCTTTCACATTCAATATCTTTGCGCGTGTTTAGGATGTCTAAGATGGTCACAGGTTCCCCTTGGAGCATACTGAAATGAGTCTCGCATTGTTGAGGGATGGAAATGTTTTTCTCTGTCTTCTGTTTTAGTGAAGTGCTTCAGTTTCACAAGGCTATGGTTATTCTGACTCTCAAGAAGTAGTGGTCTCTTGTGTGTGGAATAGAGTAGCGTTTCTCGACTGTCTTTAGCTGAAGTCTGCAGAAAAAAGGTGCAGAAGTTCATAGCGTTCCCTCTATATCGTCTTGGGTATGATAGGCTGTGAACGCACCCAACAGTGTTTGCTTTTCGTTTTTGTTTTTGAACAGAGGCCTCTTCGGAGCGGTTGGAATTTGGAGCGGCGTTGGAGAAGGCTTTTTCGATTCTGGAATAGGCCTCGGCGATGCTGACGGGGTAGATTTTGACAAAGATGGAGCAGGCCTTGTCGAAGTAGTTAGTTTTGAAGCTGACGTAGATTTTGGTGATGTAGGAGTAGATGTTCGCGCTGTATTAGTAGACGTTGTAGGATACGACTTGTGCGATGTAACGTTCGACATCATAATCAGGTTAATCTACACGCCTCGACTACTTAGAAACTGTACTGTATCTGCAGGTCTCTCGTTTTTGCGGAGCTCTCAGAAAACAGAGACGCGCTTTCTGAAAATACAGATTGGTCTGTATTAAACATTTAAAATTCAAGTTTTTCGATCCGACTATCGGTTGAAGCTAAGAAGAGAAATTGAAGCCTTGTGTGTAACTGTAACAATTTCCTTTGACAATTTCTTCTTACCGCGGCAGCAACCACCTTGAATAGATTTTACAGAAAATAGATAGTATTGAAAACGTTAAAAAGAAAAAAGCTGCAACTTTATGTAAACAAGTAAACAATGATCCTTGCTGGAGAGCTGCAATTTACAATACAATTTACAATACACAACATACAATACTCACCTATCAGGATTACACACAGCATCTTATGGTCGATCGGTGTTGTGTGATAGTGTGTGATAGCTAAAATAAAATTAACATGGAACTAAATGCAATGGTGAATTTTCCACGCAATTCTCCCGCGTTTTGCCTTTTCTACATATAAAATTGGCTTTTAGCTACCTTGGACTTAACCCAATCACATGTTGATTCCTTGTAAGACGTGCATTTTATCACGAATTTCACACACAGAGGGCAAAGCCAGATAGACAACAACCAATGAAGGAGCCCTCTTTGAAATTTATCCTTTTCATGCTCTTGTTTAAGGTATCTTCGCTCATTCGACATCGCAATATATCTTTGGTTAGGGTCTCTCGGATATACAACAGAGTTTTACTTTGCTTTTCGTAGTAAAATTACGTGGAATTATATTTTTTAGGCAACTTACCGTATACAAATAATTTTGATTTTCTCTCTGTTAGAGGAACGGCGATAAGCATAATCCCTTCCGCAACCGTTGTTTGGTATCGCCACCAAACGCTCTCTCTCCAACGGGTACTATAGCTAGATGGCATTGTGTGACGAGACCAAACAACGGCTGCGATCAGGAGATAACAGTGAGCGTGGCACCGATGCATCATATTTTTGCTTAGAAGTACTTAAACAATAGAGACAATAAACCACAAAATACCTGTGTGAGTTCAGATAAATTACTTCTTGTTTTGTTTTTCTTTTAAGGTGAAGTAATGCAATATTGTCGCTCTTTGGAAAGTTATGCTCTTAATCTGCTTCAAAAATGAGAACATTTTCCGACCTCATCCCACCCAGCGGAGAAAAAAACTCTTGCATGCCACGTATGCCTACTCTTCAAAAACTTCAGCTAACCCCACATTTCAGATCACCCTTTACATTCAGTAATGTCATAAAAAAGAAGATTTTTGGGGAGAACATTATTATGTTTTTCACTCCCCACCTAAGCAGACCATGTTTTTAAGGTATCTCTCCACCAGATCATTTCTCTAAGTTGCTTTCCTTTTATAAGTCGCCAATTCAGGTGCGAGAATCCAATCAATCAGTTCATTCTGAGCCAAACAGGCATGGAGAGCTGGGAAACGGAATAAAAGTACTGTTTGTTAATTGTCCATCATACACAAAGGATGGCGCAAAAAACATCTTGATTACGACTTGTTTAGGTGGTTATATCAACTGAAGCTTAAAAAGTAAAAAAACAGACAAACAACACAGGTGGGGAAATGACCCTTGCAGATGGGTGTCAATTAGCGATAGGAAGTTTTTTTTTAATTTTAACTTAAAGAACTGAAATGCTTTTTTCAACGAACTCACATTTTACTTTTTCAAATGAAGTTTAATAAAACTAAGCAGTTAAAATGATCATATGATAACATGATCATAACTCTACATTTCACGTCATCACGTTTGAATTGAAAAAATAACAACAGAATAAGAAACATTAACGGGGCGTTGATCTGCTTAACACGTGAAACTGGCTGTACTATACAAGATATTGAATATCAAGTTAATAAAGGATAAATAAGCCATGAATATTAATTGGAAGGTAAAGTTGGTGCTCACCCAAAACTGGAGAGTTTATTTTTATATCAATAATTTGAAGAAAAACCATTCTGATCGAGAAAGTAGTAAAATAAATCAGGCTTTGAAAAGATCACGAAACATTTTGATTTATCATACATGCTTCGTTGTGTCAACATCTTTTTCAATTACAAAAACTCTTTAAGTGAAAATTAATAATTCTTATTTGAACTTCGTAATGGGCCATGCTCATCACAGAGCAGTGGTTAAGCGGTAGAGCATCAGAGCGAGGAATCCGAAGGTCTGAGGACAAAGATGTGATTAAGGCACATCCAAACATATCCTACATTTTAAAACGATCTAGTCATCGAGATTTAAGCTTATTCGAATATTTTGGCTTGTTATAAAGACAAAATTTCTTGAGGTATATTAAATAATGTCTGCGTGTCTCGCATGCACTTTGTTTTCAGGTAAAAAAGTAAAAGTTCAAGTCAGTTCAGATTATAGTTGAAACAGTGGTCATGAGATCAATCAGTCCCTCCAATCCAGAACTGCGTCGTTGCATCTGAACTTGAAGTACAACGGAATTTGGTGTTTATTGTAGCGTATAACCCAAAGTTATCCTCCGATGCTATGGCCGCGTCTGTGTCGCTTCCATCAAAATCGCAAGATCCGGTAAGATCACTGTCGATATGTAAAGGCCAAACTCCTTTAAAATACCATGTCCGTGCGGTACAATTCACACACTTATTTTCCCGGATGTTGACGTAATCGTATGGCCGACAGGTTTCTACCACCGTGGGTACGTCTCTGATGATGTCAAAGACTTCAAGTGAGGCTCTCAGGTAATCCGTATACACGGTGCCGTCTATGTTGTATTGACAAGTAGCTCTCCAGTGAGTCGAGTGATCCGTAAGCCAAAGAAGGGAAGGTCGTTCGATGAGGTACGCCTGCCAATTTGGGACGTCACCGTTGATGGCTTGGTAGTCATCATAAAACACGATGTGATTCTGCAGACAAAATAGGAGAGTTTAAGCCGATAAAGAAGATCTTAGGTAATATCCATATTTTAACCGACTGCTTCCACTTCCACCCAAGCCCGTTGTTTTCACTGGAAAATAATAAACAGAAAGCTCTAGTCAATGAGTGTTAGGAAGACTACCTGGAAAAGGTGTTTGTTGGACAAACTGAATGACTCAATCAGGTTCCAAGAAAACCCAGGCTCTGAATGAAAATCACAGAATACTTGGAATTTTTTATTGCTACCATCAATAACAGTAAACAACCCAGAAGAGTTGGATCCAGCCTCTTTGTAATCCTGACAGCTTCTCCTCTGTTGAGTGTCGGTGTGATTTGAGTCATTTTTAGCTGTAAACAATCCAGACGAGTTGGATCCGGCTGCTGAGATGTCTTGATTGGTTTGATTTCTTTCCACTTGAATTTCGCAATATTTCCCAGCAAACGCCTCCGGACAAGAGCAGTTGAATCGAACACTTGTAGGTTCACAGAGCTCAATGCAGGTTCCTCCATTGAGGCACGAATTGTTCCTGCAGCAGCCATTGCTACATGTGACGTCATCAGTACACGAAGCAATGTGGTTAGGAGCCTTATGTGCAAAAATTGGTAAAACAATAAAACAACTTTTCATTATTATATTATTATTATTATGATCCTAATTTGTGTTTGACAGAATTATGTTGCATCAACCAAGCTTTTTCTTTCATCAAGTTTGCAAGCAATCACGGTTGCTCCCGAAATCTCCAATGCCTTGCTCTGATAGGAAATTTTTCATACCGACCGTGCCGGGGAAAAAGACGGATTTTTCCATTTTCATGATAAAATTTCATGATAAATTCTCTATGAAATAAATACTATTATATTTTGACCTGAGAATGATGTTTAAGTTATTCTCGCTGTTGAGCAGCTCTTGCACCTGCAGGAACAGTTGCTTATTTGAATTGTTCTCCTTTAGTTGTCTGATTCCATTTTTTTATTGTTTTTTTAGAGGGCACGGTAACGAATCCTGCAATCTGATTGGTTCTTTACCCGGTCAGTATTTTCCTATCTCTGCCCACGGGCCACAGTAACGCTTTCTTGAGTCGCCGAGTACATCCCAAATTTCGTGGTCATTTTTTCATAAATATACCTCGTTTTGCCCGCTGGGCAGTATTTTTAAGCAAACACATCGGTCACTACCTCAAGCCGATAAATAACTTATGAATCCTCTCTTTTCTCTCTATCAAATCACTTTGGTTGACAGAAAAATATTGATTGACAAGCGGCCTAAAAATTGTCTGCAATTAATTTTAATCGTTCACAAAAAGTACCCAGAAAGTTGAAACGTGAAGTATTTGGTTACAGTTAAACTGAACGATGGAACTTTCATTCATTTAATATCTGAATTTTCTCGAGCAATTTGTTCGTAGTGAAAGAGCGAGCGAAGTTTTAGTTTAAGTTCTACAACAAATATACGCTCCCGGTGAGTCTTTCCAATTCCGTTCAATTTAGACATTTGTACCGTAAATTGCACAACAGAAATTGAAGGAATTTTTTGAGAAAAGGCCGCATTAAATTCCCTTGTGTCTCGTTGGAGTGTGCCGTTCGAATTTAGTTTTTGTGAAGGAAAGACCAGAGTCACACACGCCATTGCAGCAAACAAACGAGCAAACTCTCACAACTTCAAAGTAAAAAAATTGAATTTACTCACAATTACTTTCCTCGCCGTTTACCTAATGAACAGAGGTAAATCTTCGTACATGAATGAATGGTCGATGAGAGTGAATAATACTTTCCGTTAGATTATTGACTGATTTTGAAGAAAACATTGTCGTGACAGACCTTGCCAAACTAGTTCTGATGTTTTTCAAATGTTCCTACCCTTTTTTTTTCTTGCGCGCTCTCTAATTGACAGGTGTCAGATTGTGACAGATACTTGTAAAAATAATGTTTCAAAGTTTGTTTGGAAGCCTTTTAAATCACCTTTATCGTTACGGAAATGAAAATGTTTCGCTGAGGCATCTCTCTTTAATTTGCATCACCTCTATTTTAACTACCATTTACTCACTCAAAAATTGTTCAGTTTATGGATGATCTTGCCGTATTTACAGCCCTAAATCATTCGGGTTCTTTCAGAAAGAATTTCGTCAAGTTTAAAAACAATAAATATGTTATTTAAATATGTTATTTACTAAGGGTCGGTCCATATGGTGAAAAACTGTGACCTCGGTCTTGAAAATGTTGCCCTCGGCCCACGGCCTCGGGCAGTATTTTCAAGACCTCGGTCACAGTTTTCCACCATACGGACCTCCCAGCCGGCAAATAACATATATGTATTTCATCATTCGAAAGATTCATCTCTTTTCATTAAAAATTTAAGAAAGATGTGTTTACTCTCAAGACCTGAAGGACCTTACAGTACAGACTGGGAAAATAGTATTTTTTTTTTCGAAGCCGTCAGTGTTGCACAATAATTTAAATCTTCCAATATCTTTTGCAGCTGTTACCTCGAGCTCAAAACAATAAATGTTCTCTGTTTTGAAAAACTTCTGTGGAAGACATCAGCATCTACGAGGATAGGTAGTCATAATTTGTTTTAGTATTGCTTCTGATTATTAGAGACACTATTTTATGGGTCACCTTGCTTAGAAAACTCGGAAATCGTAATCTTTTTGTGAAATAGATTATCAAACAACTTCCTACTACTGCACTTTAATATACGTACGCAACCATTTATATCTATTCAACATACTTTCCCAAATAGACTTAAACTGCAGCACAGCTGTAAGCATGTATATATATTTATACATTTTTTACATTTTGCAATCACTTTGTTCGCAGTATGGACCTATTTTTGTAGTTTATCGCCACGCAGCAGCTTCTTCGGTTCTAAATATAACAAATGAGTGGCTGATATCTCAAGATGAAGACCTGGTATCATTCATGGTAAAAATACCTCATGACATAATAAAGTTTAACATCTTAGTAAATTCCTCTATTCTTCTCTGTGCCCACTCGTACGCCCGCCCATGTATTATTATCTATGAAACACCTCTTATCTCAAGATGAAGGCTACAAAGATGGGTTGTAAAAATATTCTATGACATTGAGAAATTTAGTACCTTAGTGGAGTACTTTCTCCGCAGTACGTAGTAAACGCTTCTGTGGATGTTTTTCAGAGAGTTCCAGTTTGTAAAATGGTTGCCTTCGTTCAACTCGCAGTATTTGGTGTTGTTCTTGACCTTGTAGTTTATCGACAAACATCGACAGTTATTGATACACCACAGATAACACTGCTGTGGGTTTAAAGTGACAGAGTTGTGGAAGACATGGCCGACAAGCTCTTTATCATGTTCGGCGTCTTGTTGCTCATCAAAAGAGATCTTTTCACATTTTCCAGTGGAGCAGAAGCCTTTCACTTGAAAAGCTGAAATGAGTATACAAAAAAACTTTGCAACCATCATTTCTATCGTTTTCACACCCCACCTGGGGAAGTGATGTTTCTCATAATGGCCTTTCTTGAGCAGATTACTTATTTAAGATATCGCTCATCCTTATGTGTCAATCAACGTGTAAGAAACCAATCAAATGAGTTCACAGAAAATAACTTCCCAACATGAATTTTCAAGGTTCAGAAAAGTAACAAAAACAAATGAAAAAATGAATGTTTCCAATTATGGCACACAAATAACATGATCCAGTTGTTCTACTTAAGACATAACTTCACATTTTTTTTCCTTCCAAAACTGCGCACATGTCGTCGAAAACACATGTGGGATACCATAAGCTAGTTTTTCTGGGTTTTTGCGGATAGTGTTTACTCTTAAATCTAGCACATTGATAATGACTATATCAACCCCTTGTAAAATTCAGTTCTGTTTCGGATTTCCATCCAGTTAAACCATACTGACGGCACTTTTATTCGCATCAAATTTTAAATATTTTTTGAAAATAGAAGAAGGGAGAAACACTCGACTTGCACTCGTGTTTCTCCCTAACCTTCGTTCATGCTCAAGCCGCTTCCTACGTGCTTTACAACACAACTTGCTGATCACAGAAAAGGCTTCTTTATTTGTTTTTAAATAGCACACAGGTAGAACTGCGTGCGGAATGCAAAACAAGGTGATTACGTTGAATGCTTAATACCTTTTATAATTTATTTTCACTTCAATGTTGGCAAAACAAACAAGACAATATCTACATATGAATTTGAATGATTAACTATTGATATCTTGACGCCAAATAAATGATAGCCTTCACAGTGTGAGGAGAATTCAGTTGTTTTATTCAGTCTGCCAGCAAGGACTTGCGGAATAATATTACTTTTGAAATCATTGTTTTGCTCATGTCAGAGATTAAAATACAACAAGACATTGAGAAAACAAAAGGATAAAATGCGGTTGATTTTGATTTCGAGTAATGTCCGACTACATCTACTAAATAAAAAGCAGGCGATAGAGTTAGTTACAAATAGCATTTTGACGAAATATTCAGAAACAGAATTTTTCTGTATTACACAACCAATCCACAATTGCTCGATTTTGTTGTACAGAAAAAAAATTTAAAATTCAATCGGTTCTTTGAGTTGAGATTTTCGCTAAGTGTTCGAAAAAAAGAGAATATGGTATTATTATTGTGACACATTCGACTAACAAATTGACATTGTCTCAATAGACCCATATTATTGACCTTACACACTCGCTCTAAATCAAAACAAAATTGCATATTATATATATATATATATATATATATCATCAGTTGGCAAAGATCACTATCACTGCAGCTTGAGACAGAAATTAACCTGAGTACTATTATCAAATTGAAGCATTACTGCTGATGGCGCTTGAGTCTGGATAGTCATGTATTTCCTATTTGAGGGCACTTAATTTTCACATCCTCGTTATTTTCTGTAGACGAGAAAGAACAGGACATAGTTCTTTATGGCTTTAAAATCTTAGAAACATGACTTGAAAAAGATGTTTGTCGGACAAATAGAACAATTCTATCAGGTTCCATGCGAACCCAGGCTCATAGTCAAAATCACAGAATACTTGGAAAGTTTGGTTTCTGTCATCAAAGACGGTGTACAATCCAGAGGCGGTGAACCTGGCTGCTTTGTAATCCTGACAGCTTCTTCTCAGCTGAATCTCGCAGTGTTTACCAACAAACGGTACAGGTTAGGAACAGTTGTGCCGAAAACTTGTTGGCTCACAGATCTTATTACAGGTTCCTCCATTAAGACACGGGTTGTTCCTGCAGCAGGCATTGGTACACGCGACGTCATCAGCACATGGAACGGTGTGGTTAGGAGTCTTATAATCATGATCCCAATTTGAGTTTAACAGAAAAGTGTTGCATTAACTTAGCTTTTTCTTTTATAAGTTTGCAAGCAATCGCGGTTGCTCCCGAAATCTCTAATGCCTCGCTCTGACAGGCTATTTTTTATACCGACCATGCCATAATGGTCCATTAAAATTGCTCCTTTTTCAATATTTAAACAAGCGAGATCACCCAATATCAAATATTTGCTAAAATTGATCAGTGAGTCTTAGATTTTCTTATATCTCTTCTTTAGTTTGATCAATTTCGTTTGGTGAAAACAATCATATGTTTTACCCCGAAATCGAGAAAAGAAGTTTTTTTTCCATTTGCGTGACACATTTTTTATAGTGTCTCTACGAAATAAATCCTATTAGATTTCTGACCTGCGAATGATATTCAAGCTATCCTCGTTATTGAGCAGCTCTCGCACCTGCCAGGAACAGTTCTTTATTTGAATGTTCCTCAGTTAGTTGTCTGATTCTATTTTTGTATTTCATTATTCGAAAGATTCATCTCTTTTCGTAAAAATTTAAAAAGCATGTAATTATCTAATAATACATTTATTTCTCAATTAGTTGACTCTCTCTCGACTCTGATGATGACTTCCGCTCAGGTTGTCGAAACGTCAGTCAGCACTACCGACAACAGTCCTTCTCAGGACTACACTCACCCGGACGATCAAACTACACTATTAAATGCATTTATTTCTATTGACATGTACGCAATGCGGACCTATTTTTATAATTTATCGTCAGGCAGAAGCTTGATCAGTTTTAAAAACAACAAATAAGTGACTAATATCTTAAGAAGAAGACCTGAAATCATTCATGCCAAAAATACCTTATGACATAATAAGGTTTAATACTTTAGTAAATTATTCTCTTCCAAGTTTGAAATAAATGGATCTGAATTAATTATCAAAGACATCTTGTTTGTAAAATGGCTGTCTTTGCTCAACTCGCAGTATTTGGTGTCGTTCTTGACTTTGTAGTTTATCGACAGACATCGACAGTCGGTAATACAACATAGATAGCACTGCTGTGGGTCGGCAGTGACAGACTTGTGGAAGACATGGCCTACAAGCTCTTTGTCATGTTCGGCGTTTTGTTGCTCAACGAAAGAGATCTTTTCACATTTTCCAGTGAAGCAGAACCCTTTCACTTGAAAAGCTGAAATGAGTATACAAAAAAACCTTTGCAACCATCACTTTTATCGTTTTCACACCTCGCTTGTTTCTCATAATGTCCTTCCTGAGCAGATTACCTATTTAAGACATCGCCCATCCCTATGTGTCAATCAACGCGTAAGAAACCAGTCAAATGGGTTCACAGGAAATAACTTCTCAATATGTATATTCAAGGTTCGGAAAAGTAACAAAAACAAGGGGTAAAATCGACGTGCGCGATATTTTTCGATTATGGTGCACAAAAAACTTGATGCAGATGTTCTACTTAAGACCAACTCCCAAACACACAGGCATAACTTCAAATTTCTTCCTTCCAAAACTGCGAACGTGTTATTTAAAACACATGTGGGATAACCTGGGCTAGTTTTTCTGGGTTTTTCGCAGGTAGTGTTTACGCTTAAATCTAGCATATTGATAGTTATTAAATAAGCCCCATATGAAATTCAGTTTTTCAGTTGTTTGTTTCTGATTTTCATCCAGTTAAACCTGATTTAACTGAACACGCTTTGCTGATGTGAATGGGATTTTAGCCTGATTCTCTGACTCTGATTACTAACTCTGAAACGGATGCTTCTACCTACAGTATCGGTAGATACGAAGGGGCGCGCTCAAACCTTTGTTTCAATTGCGGAAACGTAACGGCTAGCACGTGTTTCTGTAAACAGAATCATGACGTTTTACTGATAACATTTAATGATGAAAAATATAAGGTCATATAACCAAACTGGCATAACTGTTAAATTCTATTCAAATTGTAATGATGTCAGAGCGACTGCGATCATGCTGAGGTCCATCGCGGCTAGCTCATCATAGTAATATCTAGTCATCGCAGTTAAACAAGCATCAGAATTACATCGTCCGCCTTATAAGTGAACAACTACGAGCTTGCTCTGATATCCTTTCCGATGCGTTGAGTGGAAGGCCACATAAGTCATAGCGGCTGAGTTTTATGGAGTAATCTTCATGTTCCTGCGAATTCAGCTGTCGTTCATACATAAACACGCGCCTTGAGCAGTTTTTTTTGCAAACTGCCATGTGAAAAAAACCTGCGTGATTTTATGAGCCACAATTCGGCCGGATTTCACTGAATATTTCAATTTTAGATTCTGTACTAAAACTAAAAAAATTCAAGCACAAGTGTTGAATTTGAACTGCCGAACTATTTCAGTTTGTGAAATATTGCAGAACTTTGAAGGTTTGACATTTTCGACAGCTTTGGTCTTTGTCAACCAATCAGATAATTAGAACCATTCTACCAAGGATTCTGATTGGCTTATTTCAGTATGTTTTATGAGAGTTTAAAACATACTGACGAAACTTTACTCGCATTGAAAATAGAATTGCAAAAGGAATTTGACTCAAGAAGAAGGGAGGAACACTCGACTAAGTCTCGTGTTTCTCCTTACACTTCATTCGTACTCACCCGCTTCCTAAGTACTTTATACCAGAACTTACTGAACACAGCCGAGGCTTCTTTATTTGTTTAAACAGAACACACTGGTAGAACTGTGTGCGGAATGCAAAACAGGGTAATTTCATTGACTGCGTAATACCTTTCATAATTTGGTTTCCCTTCAATGCTGGCAAAAAAAACCAAGACAATATCTACATATGAGTTTGAATGATTCATTATTGATATCCTGACGCCAAATAAATTATAACCTTCTTCATACAAGTTCACCACATGCAATATCAGTTTAAAGTGTGAGGAGAATTCAGTTGTTTTATTCATGAAGCAAACTTGTTACGCTCACTGTCCACTAGCAAGAACTTGCGAAATGATATCATACTTTTGAAATAATTTCTTTGTTCATATCAGAGATTAAAATACAGCAAGACATTGAGAATACAAAATGCGGGAATGCTATCAACAGGGAACCCCTCTGGAGAACGAACAGAAGGAGCTAAAAATTGGTTTACAGAAAAAAATCAAAGATTCGTGTTTTTTCGCTTTTTGTAATCAGGATATCATGGGTAGTTACATTTTTAATTCAAATTAAAGAAAGGTAAATGGGCTTTGAAAAGTAACGACATTACATTTCATACGGGTGCATATCATTACAAAAATAGGTTGATTTTTGACGTTAATGTCCAACAACAGCTGCTAAATGAAAAGTAGGCGATAGAGTTAATTACAAATAGCATTTTGACGAAATATTCAGCAACAGAATTTCTGTATTAGACAACCAGTCCATGATTGCTCGATTTTGTTGAACAGAAAAAAAATATGATACCTAATCGGTTCCTAGTGTTGAGATTTTCGCTTAGTGTTTAGAAAGGAAAAAAAACAGGGATGTGGCAAATAATCTCTAAGCTATTCATGGTCAATAACTGAGGTAAAATTGATAATAATTACGGTTGCAATTTCCTTCGACAATTTCTTCTCACCGTGGCACCCACCACCTTGAATAGATTTTACAGAAAATGGATATGAAGTGTTAAAAAGAAAAAAAAAGGAACGCATGGCTCCAGCTGCAACTTTTTGTGTAAAGTTTACGGCCGGCGTATTCATATGAATAGATTTTCAGGGAGACAGAGGGGGGGAGGGGGGGGTCAGTTATCACCAACAGAGTATTGAGGGGGGAATATAGGAAATTGACTGCCAATGAGGCGGGATCATTAGAATATTATAGAGACTTTGGAGGATTAGATAAATCTTTATTGTGACGCAACTAACAAATTGACATTGTCTCAATAGACCCATATTATTGACCTTACATACTCGCTCTTATTTAAATCAAAACAAAGTTGCATATGTACAAGCATAACTTAAAAATCTCGCAAACATGTTTCAAACCTGCAAACTGCTCATTCAGCGAAGACGTTGTGTAATAATACTTTAAGGAGATACAGAAACCATATAATTTTCATCTTCACGTACTGTTAAAACGGACTGTTATATTTGCATGCATCTAGTAACACAGAAATTAAACGTTGATTTTTAACATTCTTTTTGAAGCCTGCAAAATGCTTACTTGTAAACTACTCAACTGGTGTGTTGTAAAACTGATCACATTTCAAAGGTAGCCATGTCTAAATAATTTTTAAGCTGGACCAACTCCTTGAGCGAAAACTAGAGGTGTGTTCTTATATGAGGAAATTACTTGCCTCCAATCCAAATCTGGGTGGTGTCATTCTCGCTTGAAGTACAACGAAATTTAGGATTTATTTCATCGTACCAACCAAAGTTGTCCTCAAAATTTAAAGCTGCATCTATTTTGCTTCCATCGAAATCACATTCATCCTGGTAATAACTATCGATATGGAGAGGATAATCTCCTTTCTTATACCATGTCCGTGCGGTACAATTCACACACTCATTTCCTCTGATGTTCACATATTCGTAGGGTCGACAGACATCTTTCACCGTGGGTACGTCTCTGATGATATCAAAATCTTTAAGCGAGGCTCTCAGGTAATCTGTATATACGATACCATCTGTGTTGTATCGGCAAGTAGCTCTCCAGTGAGTTGAGTGATCTCTGAGCCAAAGGAGGTAGGATCGTTTCACGAGGTACGCCTGCCAATTTGGGGCATCACCACTGATGGCTTGGTAATCATCGTAAAACACGATATTCTTCTGTAGACAGAAAATGTCAACTTCAGTTGATAAAGATCACTTTGACATCCGAGAATTTAGGATCATTACTACTTTCGACAGTTAAGCTGAACTTTTGATTAAGTACTCTTATCAATATGAAGCATCAATGCTGATGACGCTTGAGTCTGGATAGTCATTAAGTATAAACAAGACTTCTTTTGTTGACAGAATTATTCGAAGCATTCATTAGTGACGATTCTAAGAAAAGAGACGAACTTAACTTACAAAGAAAAAAATTCAAAATGAAGGCATTTCTTTTTGAGGGTACTTAATTCTCACATCTTCGTTGTTTCTGTAGACGAGAACGAACAGGATATAGGTCTTCATGGTTTAAAATCTTATGAAAATTACCTGAAAAAGATGTTTGTTGGACCGGTAGAACGATTCGATCAGGTTCCATGCGAACCCAGGCTCTGAATCAAAATCGCAGAATACTTGGAAAGTTTGGTTTCTGTCATCAGTGACGGTGTACAATCCAGAGGCGGTGAACCTGGCTGCTTTATAATCCTGACAGCTTCTTCTCAGCTGAATCTCGCAGTGTTTACCAACAAACGGTAAAGGACAGGAACAGTTGTACCGAACACTTGTGGGCTCACAGACCTCAGTGCAGGTTCCTCCATTGAGACACGGATTGTTCCTGCAGCAGCCATTGGTACACGTGACATCATCAGTACATGGAACGATGTGGTTAGAAGCCTTGTATCCAAAAATTGATAACACAATAAAGCAGTTTTATTATTATGATCCTACTTTGTGTTTGTGCATTGACCAAGCTTTTTCTTTCTATCAAGTTTGCAAGCAATCACGGTTGCCCCCGAAATCTCCAATGCCTTGCTCTGATAGGAAATTTTTTTTATACCGATCGTGCCATAGTGGTCCTTTGAAATTACCCCTTTTTCAATATTTGAACAAGCGAGATCATCCAATGTCAAATATTTGCTATTTAAACAAGCGAGATCACCTAGTCTTTGATTTTCTTATGTCTCTACTTTACTCAGGTCAATCTAGTTTGGTAAAAACTATTTCATGTTTTACCAATGAATCGGACAACGATTTTTCCATTCTTGTAACAATTTTTTTAAAACATATTTTCTCTACGGAATAAATTCAATTTTATTTTAGACCCATTTAAGTTATCCTCTCTTGAGAGAAGCTCTTGCACCTGCAGGAAAAGTTTTTTATTTGAATATTTCTTCGTCAGTTGTCTGGTTCTATTTTTGTATTTCATCATTCGAAAGATTCGTATCTCTTCATAAAAATAAAAAGAAAAAAAGAATGTGTTTAATTTCCAGACCCGAATAAAAGAGGACCTTGAAACAGGGACTGGAAAGTTTTAGTTTTGCACAATAATATTTATCTCTCAACATCTTTTGCAGCTGTTAACTCGAGCTCGAAACAATCGATGTTCACTGTTTTAAAACACTTTTAGGGAAGACTTCAGTATCCACAAGGATAGGTAGTCACAAATTGTTTTAGTATTGCTTTTGATTAGTTGAGAAACTCTTCCGTGGATCAACTCCTAATCTTATCGTTAAATAGATTATCAAACAACTTCCTCGAAAACTATCACACTTTGGTACACCTACTCAGCCATTATCTATTCAACATACTTTGCAAATAGACCTAAAGGAGAGCACAGCTCTAAGCATGTAATTATCTAATAATACATTTATTCCATTATGCACTTTAGACACGTACGCAGTGCAGACTTATTTTTATAATTCATCGTTAGGCAGAACCTTATCGGTTTTAAAAACAACGAATGCCTAATATCTTAAGATGAAGATCCGGAATCATTCATAGTAAAAATATGATATGACATAATAAAGTTTAATACCTTATTAAATTCCTCCCTTCCAAGTTTGTAATAAATGGATCCTGGATCGTTTATCAAAGACATATTGTTTGTAAAATGGCTGCCTTCGTTTAACTCGCAGTATTTGGTGTCGTTCTTGACCTTGTAGTTTATCGACAGACACCGACAGTCGTGAATACACCACAGATAGCACTGCTGTGGGTTTGAAGTGACAGACTTGTGGAAGACATGGCCGACAAGCTCTTTGTCATGATCGGCGTCTTTTTGCTCATTAAAAGAGATCTTTTCACATTTTCCGGTGGAGCAGTAGCCCTTTACTTTAAAAGCTGAAATGAGTATACAAAAAAACTTTGCAACCATCATTTTTATCGTTTTCACACCCCAGCTGGGGAAACGATGTTTCTCAAAATGTCCTTCTTGAGCAGATTACTTATTTAAGATATCGCCCATCCCTATGTGTCAATCAACGTGTAAGAAACCAATCAAATGAGTTTACAGAAATTAACTTCACAAGATGAATATTCAAGGTTCGGAAAAGTAACAAAAACAAGTGTTAAAATCGACGTGCGTGATATTTTCCGATTCTGGCGCGCAAAAAACTTGATGCAGATGTTCAACATAAGACCGCCTCCCACGCACACGGACATAACTTTAAATTTCTTACTTTCAAAACTGCGAACGTGTTGTCTAAAACACATGTGGGATAACCTAGGCTAGTTTTTATGGGTTTTGCAGTTAGTGCTTACGCTTATATTTAGAACATATATAGACATCCATAAACCCCATGTAAAATTCAGTTTTTCAGGTGTCTGTTTCTGATTTTCATCCAGTTAAACCTAATTTGACGAAACACGCTTTGCTGGTGGAAATGGGATTTTAGTCTTATTCTCTGACTCTGATTTTTATCCAGCTTTGAGACGCACGCTACTACCTACAGTATCGGCAGATACGAAGGGGGCATGCTCAAACCTTTGTTTCCATTGCGGAACACAACTGCTAACACTTGTTTCCGTAAACAGAATCATGACGTTTTAGTGATGACATTTAATGATGAAAAATATAGGGTCATGTAACCAAACTGGTATAACTGTTAAATTTTATTCAAATCATGATGGTGTCAGAGTGACTGAGATCATGTTGAGGTCCATCGCGGCTAGCTCATCATGGCGATATCTGGTCATCGTTGGGAAACAAGCATCAGAAATTACATCGTCCGCCCTTTGAGTGAACAACTAGGAGCTTGCTCTTATATCCTTTCCGATTTGTTGAATGGAAGGCTAAATCAGTCACAACAGCTAAGTTTAACGGTGATCTCACTCTGGTAACCGGAGCAATCTTCATGTTCCTGTGAATTCAGCTGTCGCTTATTCATATAACACATGCCTTGAGCAATTTGTTTCTCTTATTGTCATCTAAAAAAAACTTGCGTGCTTTTATGAGCCACAGTTCGGTTGGATTTCACTGAATATTTCAATTTTAGATTCTCTATTAAAACTAAAAACAACTTCAAGCACAAGAGTTGAATTTGACCTGCCAAACTATTTCAGTTTGTGAGCTATTGCAGAACTTTGATGGTTTGACATTGATATTTAGCGTTGATCTTATTTAACTAATTAGATAATTAGAAGTATTCTAACAAGGATTCTGATTGTCTTATTTTAGTATGTTTTATGAGAATTTAAAACATACTGACGACACCTTGTTTGCATCAAACATTGCATATTATTTTGAAAATAGAAAATTATGCGTGATGAATTTGACCCATGAAGAAGTGAGAAACACTCGACGAGGTCTCGTGTTTCTCCTTACATTTCTTTCGTGCTCAAGCCGCTTCCTACGTGCTTTACTAGAGAACGTACTGAGCACAGTCAAGGCTTCTTTATTCTTTTGAAAATAACACACTGGTAGCTCTGCGTGCAGAAAGCAAAACAGGGTGATTTTATTTAATGCTTAATTTGGTTTCCTTCAATGTTGGCAAAGACAATATCTACATATGAGTTTGAATGATTAATTATTGATATCCTGACGCCAAATAAATGATAACCTTTATCATATGAGTTCACACTTGCAATATCAGTTTAAAGTGTGAGGAGAATTCCGCTGTTTTATTCAAGAAGCAAACTTGCTACGCTCACTGCCTACTAGCAAGAACTTGCGGAACAATATCACTCTTTTGAAATAATTGCTTTGGACTACCAGAGATCTAAAGGCAGCAAGACATTGAGAATACAAAGGATAAAATGCGGGAAAGCTATTGGCAAGGAACCCCACAGGAGAACGAACAGGAGTAAGGAAGAAAAAATAGTTTATAGAAAAAATCCAAAGAGCCTTGTTTTTTTGCACTTTGTAATCGGAATATCGTGCGCAGTTTATACGATATTATTCGAAAGGGAAAATTTGACGGGTCTTTAAAAGTAACGCCGACTCATTACTTTGCATTAAGGTGCACATAGTTACAAAAAAAAAAGTTGATTTTTGACATCGATTTTTGTCCAACTACAGCTGCTGAATGAAAAACAGGCGATAAAATAAATTACAAATAGCAGTTGACGAAATATTCAGCGTCGACAGAATGTCTGTATAAGAAAACCAATCCATGATTGCTCGATTTTGTTGAACAGAAAAAAATGTAATATTCAATCGGTTCCTAGAGTTGAGAATTTCTTTTGGCGTTTGGAAAAAGATTATGGTAAATAAACTCCAATCTAATCAAGGTTAATATCTGAGGCAAAATTGATAAAGTTACTGTTGCAATTTCCTTCGACAATTTCTTCTTCTTACCGTGGCAGCCAGCACCTTGAAAAGATTTTACAGAAAATAGAAATTAAATGTTAAAAAGAAGAAAGAGGAACCCATGGCTACAACTGAAACTCCATGTGTAAAGTTTACGGCCGGCCTTTTCATGAGTGGATTTTCAGGGAGAACAGAGAACACTTGCCCCTAACAGAGTATTGAGGGGTGATTATAGGAAATTGACTGCCAATGAGGCGGAATCATTAGAATATTACAGAGCTACAGGAGGATCAGATAAATCTTTACTTTGACACAACTAACAAATTGACATCGTCTCCATAGACCCTTGTTATTGACCTTGCATACTCGCTCTTATGTAAATCAAAACAAAGTTGCATTTGTACAAGCATAACTAAAAAATCTGGCAAACATGTTCCAAACCTGCAAACTGCTTCTACAGCTAAGACGTTGTATAATAATACTTTTAGGAGATACGATAAAAAAAGGAATTTTCATCTTTACGTACGGTTAAAACGGACTGTTATACTTGCATGCATCTAGTTGCACAGAAATTAAACGAGGATCTCTAACAGTCTTTTTCTAGCCTGTAAACTGCTTATTTCCAAAACTACTCAGCTGGTGATCAAGTGTAATAAAAATAATAAATAAAAATAATAAAGTGTAATAAAACTAGTCATGTTTGTAAATACAGTAAGAGAGATGGTAAGTATCGAGCTCGGTAAAGAAATAGAGAAAGATGTTTTTCGTCTTGTCACGAGCGTGGGAGAAAGAAAAAAATTCTGAGTCCCCATGAGGAATCGAGCCTCAGACCTTCGGATTCCGCGCTCCGATGCTCTACCACTAGCCACAGAGGTTATAGCGGGTTTCGCCCATAACGAGTTTCGCACATATCGTTTCGCCCAGAACGAGAATGGTTTCGCCCAGAACAATAAAGGTTTCGCCCATAAGTAAAACTTCTACACTCTCACTCGGAAAACGTCAACCTTATAAACGTTTGTATGCACAGAATGAAGAAAAGTGACTTGACCTGAGATCATGAAATTTTGAAACGAACAAGTTACTGTTGAAACGAACAAGGCAATTATAGCTTTCACTGTGGAGCGGGGATTGTTAAGGTAATTCGCGCACGAAATACTGCAGAGACGTCCGTTTGTCGTAAAAGCATTGCTATGATTTTTTTGCATCACTTTTCTTCTCGAGAATTAAATTAAACGCTTTTGAAAACACTTGCGCGTGGAACATATCATCGTTGCAAATCTTTTGTACACGGAAGATAAGTTCCGCACGCCAGCTTATGAATACATGTGAATACGGTTTCGTGAATACTAAAACAAAGGAATCGAGAGTTAAAGATTGTATTTCTGACATAGGTAACGGCAACATATAATTGGAAAAGAGATAGAAACTAGTCAAGTTCATGAGTGCGCGCGCGTGGAATAGCTTTACTACTCCGACGAAGCGTGCGGTACGAAAGCTTTAACTTAAATCGAATTTATGCCTGGGCGAAACCATTCTCGTTATGGGCGAAACGCTTCTTGGGCGAAACTCGTTATGGGCGAAACCCGCGGATACTGCCACAGAGACCCTCGGGTGAGCGAGGTCTATTAGAAATCGAAATTTCCCGGATGTTCAGATATTCGTAAGGTCGGCAGACATCTATCGCCGTGGGTACCTCTCTGATGATATTAAAATCTTCAAGCGAGGCTCTCAGCTTATTTGTTTATACGGTGCCATCAGTGTTGTATCGGCAAGTAAGGTTGATCAAAATCTTTGGGAACATAATGTATTAATCAGTTCTCGAATATGAGTCGGTAAAACAAAAGAAGGTAGTAAACAAACCAAAAACAACAATCGCCAATTTGCCCACAACACGAGGTCCTCGGGCGCACTGAAATGCAAATTTCTCTTCTCCCTCATCTTGTTGTCACGAATGAATTTTTCATGGAGCTCAGCTCATAATCCGTTGAGACATTTTCCAGGGAACACCTGGAGAATTAAAAACATACATGACAGAAATTCATGATCATGTACAGCGTCCACTGAGTAGTTTTTCCCCCACGTTATGGGAAAGATTGCAAAACTATTCAAAATGTCGAAATTGTGCATATTTTTGATTACTATAAAATCTTCTGAAAAGTTTCCGCTTATTAGAGGTTAATACAGATCGCAGAACGTATTGCTACGTATTGATACGCAATTCGGCTAACGCATATGAAATTTAATTGCAGCTAGACTCACCAATCAGTTACGTCTGGACTGAAAGAGGCAAAAGAACGAAACGAGAAGAGTAGAGGATAAACTCAAGTTAGAGAAATAACGGCAAAAAAAGTAAATCACGCTGCCAGGCGGAATTTCGCCATCAAATTTTTCGTTAGGTGATATTTTAGAAAGTGCTTTTACCACTGAATCATATTTTTTATTTTCCTTTATTAATTTAACGCTGGATCCAGGGTAGGTTCTTTGCTCTGTGCCTTGCTTCAGGCTTGGAGCTTTTTTGATTCATTACAAGAAATAAGGAAGAATGTTTACATATTCTCCAGGTTATCTGCTTATCAAACTTATCCTTCGATGTGTTAACATTTCGCACTAAGAATGATAACAAAAAATGATCATATAAGAGGTGAAATTATCTTTAGTCTTGGCTAATCCACGCCGCCAACACAAAAAATCTTCGTTATTATTTTGCAATATGTTTTCACATTCTCTAAACAGATGTCTCGAACCGTGGCAAAAAAAAAATAAAATGCTGAGGAAAGACCAAGAGTGTTGTGAAAGATCTTTCAAGTGTAGAAGATAGCAGTGTGGATCAGCTTTGTGTGCTACATTTCCATAATTGTTTTTTCCTCGTGGAGTGCAAAAATATTTACCAGTTTCTTTGCCGTTTTTATGGCTGTAGAACTTGAACACCCGCTAATTCGAACCATTTTTCGTTTCTCTTGGGAATTCGGGTCAATGGGGTTCTGTTTTCTCATTTGCCTTTCTTATGGCTGTATATTTATCAAAGTCCGTTGCAGTCATAGTGCAGCCGTCCAGGGGGAAAGAAAATTAACGAGTACCTTGCATGTTTCTTGTTACTTGCGGATCTTATTAACTTAGTTTTCGTCGGTAGTGTACTGTAAGTGGATCCTTTTTGCAAGTCAGACCAGCTATCTCACAAATTAAGAAATCCTTGCTTCTACAGTAGATTATACAGTATATGATCCTGATATGAAAATAATTTTGTTACGAGAAACTTTCTCAACTACGAAGATAGACTGATAAATTTATAGATTGAAATAAAGTGAGACCTTAACTCGCCATTTACGGCCTAATGGCCTTGAAACAAGTAATGAGCTATTTTTCGACTCCAACCTCGCACGACTTCGAATGCAAAACATTTAGAGCAACCGCAATGAAGTGCTTCTCGGTGTAACGGGTACTTGGGTACACGCAGTCATGCTTCTAGTTACGGGAGATGATTTTAATTAATCGTATCTCAAGCTCGGTGTTCGAGTGAGTTAAAGTCCTAATATCAATTGCATCATCTTATCAAAATTAGCAGCTTAAATTTTCAGTTTTATTCCGATTATTAGGGAGTTTTGGATCCACGTTGGCTTATGATTACGCGTGACTGCCAACGCTTCGGAGTCACGTAACCAGACTCCAGCGGTCACGTTCGCCATTTGCCGTCCTCGCTTAAACTTCGGGCAAGGCAGTTTCAGGTACTTGAACTCCCTCGACACTTTTTTTTCTTCCTGTTCAAAAGTTTTCACGTATATCCAAGAAATATATTTGAGGTGAAGTCTTTTCTCTATAACCAATCCGATTGGAACACTAGGAAACCAATCTTTTAGCCACATTTTGTGCAGACATGGACGCATAAAAAAAATGCTTTCTGTATTTCGTCTTCACGGCCTACAGATAGACAGTTTTGTCTATACCATGATGTCGGCATAAAACGTGTCGTCACGGTTCGATATTTAAAAACTTAGGCTTGCCCCACATTTCAGATCACCCTTTACATTCAGAAATGTCATGACAAAAGAAAGACACTTCTTGGAGAACATTGTTATGTTTTTCACACCTCACCTAAGAAGATCATTTTTTTAAAGGTATCTCTCCACCAAATTATTTCTTTTAGTTGCTTTCCTTTTATAAGCCGCCAATTCAGGTGCGAGAATTAAATCAATCAGTTCATTCCAGATGTCTGAGCCTCGAGCTCGAAAACGTAATAAAATAATTAATTATTGCTTGTTAATTATTCATCATACACAAAGGATGGCGCAAAAAAATATCTTGTTTAGGTGGTTATATCCACTGAAGCTAAAAAAAAAAAAGGAGATGAAATGATCCTGCAGATGGGTGTTAATTAACGGCAGGAAATTCTTTTTATTTCATCTTAAAGAGCTGAAATGCTTTTTTCAACAAACTCACATTTTACTTTTTCAAATGAAGTTTAATGGAACTAAGTAGTTACAATGATAACATTATCATAACTATACATTTTACGTTATCATGTTTGAATTGAAAAAACAACAGCAGAATAAGAAACATTTATGAGACAATGTGCTTAACATGTGAAATTGGTTGTACTATACAGAATATTGAATATTAAGTCAATAAAGGATGAATAAGCGATGGATATTAATTGGAGGGTAAAATTGGTGCCCACCCAAAACTGGGCAGTCTATTTTTATATCATTAGTTTGAAGAAGGAAGCTTATGATCAAGAAAGTAGTAAAATAAATCACGCTTTGAAAAGATCACGGAAAGTTTTGATTTATCATACATGCTTGGATGTGTCTAACATCTTTTTCAATTCCAAAAGCTATTTAACTGGAAGTTAATAATTCTTAGTTGAACTTCGTAATGGGCCTCGCTCATCATAGAGTATCTGTAGCTAAGTGGTAAAGCATCGGAGCGAGGGATCCGAAAGGTCTGAGGTTCGATACAGTTGAATTTTTTTTGTTCCACACTCGTGCCAAGACGGAAAACATGTTTCTCTATTTCTCTACCGAGCTCAAAGATTACCATATCTCTTATTCTATTTACAATAATTCTTATAACAACTTTAAAAAGGATTCTTATTTATGACATAAAAGTAAGAAAAAAAAGGATTGTGCAAGATAAAGACAAAGCGTAAGGTATTAGGTCAACTTAGAAGATTATTTGATTGAAACCAGTTGATGTACTTAGCTTCCTTGAGTTCATGCTGAAATTTTGTGTGGGCAGATATTTTCATCAAAATTAATGGCTAGAGGACGATACATCGCAAGGTTTCGAGCTTTATCAATGTGATTTGCCTATCCCGGATAAAGATGTGATTAAGGCACATCCAAACATATCTTACATTTTGAAAGGTTCCATGATCGCTCTAGTTATCAAGATTTAAGCTTATTCTAATGTTTTTGCATGTTATGCAGACAAAATTTCTTCAGGTATATTATGATGTCAGCGTGTCTCACATACCCTTCGATTTGCGGACAAAAAAATGAAAGTTCAAGTCAGTTCAGATTATCGCTGAAACAGTGGTCATGAGAACACTCAGTCTCTCCAATCCAGAACTGCGTCGTTGCATCTGAGCTTGAAGTACAACAGAATTTGGTATTTGTTGTAGCGTATAACCCAAAGTCGTCCTCGGATGCTATGGCCGCGTCTGTGTCGCTTCCATCAAAATCGCAAGATCCGGTAAGATCACTGTCGATATGTAAAGGCCAAACTCCTTTATAATACCATGTCCGTGCGGTACAATTCGCACACTTATTTTCCCGGATGTTGACGTATTCTTATGGTCGATAGGTTTCTACCATCGTGGGTACGTCTCTGATGACGTCAAAGTTTTCAAGAGAGGCTCTGAGGTTATCCGTATACACGGTGCCATCTAGGTTGTATTGACAAGTAGCTCTTCAGTGAGTCGAGTAATCTCGGAGCCAAAGGAGGTAGGGTCGTTCGATGAGGTACGCCTGGTTCCAAGAAAACCCAGGCTCTGAATGAAAATCACAGAATACTTGGAATGTTTGATTGCTGCCATCAATAACGGTAAACAACCCAGAAGAGTTATATCCAGCCTCTTTGTAATCCTGACAGTTTCTCCTCTGTTGACTCTCAGTGTGATTTGAGTCATTTTTAGCTGTATGCAATCTAGACGAGTTGGATCTGGCTGCTTTGTTGTCCTGATTGGTTGGATTTCTTTCAAGTCGAGTCTCGCACGATTTCCCAGCAAATGCCACCGGACAAGAGCAGTTGTACCGAATGCGTGTGAGCTCACAGATCTCAGGGCAGGTTCCTCCATTGAGACAAGGTTTGTTCCTGCAGCAGCCATTGGTACACCTTTCTTCACCACCACATGGAACGACGTTGTTAGGTTTCTGCTAACACATTCATAAAGAAAATCTGCACAAAATACTTTTAACAAAATATCAGTGACTTTTACGGGGTCATTCCAATACAGAATTGCTATCTTTTACCCCAAGAAAATCGGAAATTATTTAAAACAAAAATAATTAGATATATAAAGTTAGCTAGATCTTGAATTTTTTTTTAATCTTGTCGCCAAGATTTGAATGCAAATATGAATTAAAATAGACTACCTTGGAGACATATTTTCTTCGCAGTGTGTAGTAAACGGATCCAAAGCTGTTTATCAATGAACCGGCTGTTGGTAAAGTGGCTACCTTCGTTCAACTCGCAGAATTTAGCGTCGCTCTTGACTTTGTAGTTTATCGATAAACATCGACAGTCACCTATACAGCGCATGAAGCACTGGGCTGGGTTTAAAGTGACAAAATTATGAAAAACATGGCTGATAAACTCTTTGTCTAGATGGGCATCTTGGTGTAGATCAAGCGAGATCCTTTCACAATTCCTTGTGAGACATTCACCCTTCACTTGCAAAACTGCTAAAACAAGTACAGAAAAAAACTTTACGCCCGTCATTTTTACCTTTTCCACACCGCAACGCATCAGTGAATGCTCCGAATTCTCTTGAACAGATCATTAATTTCATTCATGTGTACTAGTGGGGGGTGATTATGAAGCACATGTGCAGTACTGGATGTTTACCAATCGTATGGGAGGTGTACAAACATCAGCTATTTTTAAACGCTGGACTAGTTCTCAATTTATGACCCTATGATTCCCATTACTTAAACGCTAATATCAGCGTCAATATAATAATAAGCTAATTGAATAATTTATGATGTGTTTGATTTCTGCCAATCCTGCTTAAGTCCCACACTAGAGAAAAGCCAACTCTGGGGGTGAATTTTAATCACATACCTTTGATATGGATTGTTATTTGTTGTTACTTCAGTTGAAAGCCTATTTCAGCTAAAAGCCTAGCATGAGTTATATGCGAACTTCAATTGTCGACCCAGCAATTGCATTTTAATTTTCGTCATAGCGTAATTAAAGATACAAATATAAAGTGCACCGTGTGGAGAGCGTTCTTGCCCTACTTCATATCCTGCCAAGGACACATTCCACTGTGTCTCTGTTATAAGTAGAAAGTGGATCGGACGGTTGAATTATTAGGCAAAACTGACAATTTATGTAAGCTGTAATAAATATTGGACAAGTCAAACTGAACTGTATGGAAATGCTTTCCTCATTGATCTTGTTATATTTCCAGTTATTTAGCAGCTGTTGTAAGTGTGAGACATGACCTCCATTGAATGATCCAAGTTCTTTTTCTAATTTATTTTGCAAAAGAGAGGATAATCGGTTTTTATTCAGACAACCTGCTGAGTGGTCAATCTCCCTCTGATGAGGCTACAAAAATCACTCATGTCAATTAAAAAAAACGTATTCATAAGTTTAATGTTTGATTTTTAAGCATGGTTTAATCAGACCATTGATGCTCTAAGAGTGGCTAACATTTTAGCCATGTACAAAGTAGATCAAAATAAAGCGTGAACCCTTCCTTTTAAGCAAGGTATTCCAGGAGAGTTTCTTCGTCCGTGACCCGCTTCGGCCCGGAGAGATCTTTCTGGTTTAATGTACAAAGGACAGATCGATCCTAATTTCTTGAGCTCTTACGTTAGGGAGCGAATTTAATTATCAGTGTCAATCAAAAAACCAATTTCAATCGTGTAGAATTTCACTGATGGCATCATTTGGCTCTCGATTGTTCTAGAGGTGCATGTATTACAAGATTATTGATTGAATAGCTCTCTATCTGGCAGGTAAAAAACATAGTCATTAACTAGACTAGCTTCAAGCAAAGCGAAGCCACAAGGGCTAACAACTTATCAATTGGTAGTCAGTGATCAACCACGACGAATAGGGTTCAGTTTGATCTTTAATCCACCAACACCATTCATGCTTACAACAGAAAAGCAAATGACGAACAATAAGGCGGGTGATTTACCAGCTTTTTTAATGTTCTTCCCCACTATCCAATGCAGGTAGGTAGTTTATATTAAGTTAAGTTTGGTCAAGTCGAAATCGGAGAACAACATGACCAACTAGCTCTACATCTTGCAAATAGTTTATGTAAAGGAGTGGCTTTAAACACATCCATACTCTGCGTTGAGAATTACGTGTTTACTGGCGTTGAATCAATAACGGTAACTTGTCGACACTCGAAGATAGACTAAATGATATTCTAACATAAAACTTTCTTTTACGTAAAACGAAAAAAGAACTTTTATTCTCATTCTTTTTTGGCAGCTTTTAAGGTTAGTCTTCACAGTTACAGCAGGGAAGAAGATTATAATGGCACTCTTTGTCAGAATTCAACTTCTGTAATACCTTGATACATTATTTTCAACTAAACATTATTAAATAAGCCAACATTGACAACTGATTATAATCAAGAAATGACAAACCTTTCAGTTATAACATTTGCATTTCTCAGATCATGTATGGTAAATCTCATTTACAAAAACGTTAAAAAGTCAATGATACTATACTTCCCTTTTTTGTTTCAACGAGTTACTTTCTGGTTTAAGTTTGTTTTTGTAAAGAAACGTAGAAAGACGGCCTCTTCTCACCCTTAAAAGCTAAAAGCTATTTTTATTAAAACAATTGTAAGACAAATTCGTAATTCAAGAAATTGTTTAAGTGCGCTCGAAGCACTCAATTTAAAAGGCTGAATTAATAAATATGTTTGAGATCAGTCATTATTTATTGCCTGGGCGGGAGGGCAGAAGGAATTTATTTGGGAGTATTACAGAGGAGGGGGTCAGTCGTCGCTAACAGAGTATTGAGTGGGGACTACAGAAAATTGATTGCCAATAAGGCGGGATCATTTGAATATTACAGAGCCTTTGGAGGATCAGGTAACTTTTATTGTGAAATATTTAAATCTCTCAACACTCCCCCCCTCCCCTCCCCCTCTCAGGTGATAAATAGTGACCAGTTTCTTATAATACAACAATTGACTGTGGTTATTCGTTAGTAAACAGTTCAATTACGGAAATTGACATTGTCTCAACAGACCTCCTCGCTCTTATTTAGATCAAAACAAAGTTGCATATGTACTAGCAGAGCTAAAAAATCTCGCAAACATGTTTCAAACCTGCAAACTGCTCATTTAGCTGTGATGTAAAGTAATAATACTTTAAGGAGATACAGAAACCATGTAATTTTTCATATTTAAAGTGAAAAGGGACTGTTATATTTACGTGCATCAGAAATCAGACGAGGATTACTACTCAGGTTTTTTCGAGCCTGTAAACTGCTTACTTGCAAAACTACTCAGCTGGTGATCAGGCGTGTAGTAAAACTGATCACATTTTAAAGGTAACCATGTCTAAATGATTTTTAAGATGACAAACTTCTTTCAACGAAAACTACAGGTGTATTCTTATATGAGGAAATTACTTGCCTCCAATCCAAATCTGAGTGGTGTCATTCTCGCTTGAAGTACAACGGAATTTAGGATTTATATAATCATCATAATAAAGACCAAAGTTGTCCTCGCTATACACAGCCGCGTCTGTTCTGCTTCCATTGAAATCACAGCCATCCTGGTAAGAACTATCGATATGGAGAGGATAATCTCCTTTCTTATACCATGTCCGTGCGGTACAATTCACACACTTATTTCCCCGAATGTTCACATATTCGTAAGGTCGACAGACATGTACCACCGTGGGTACGTCTCTGATGAAATCAAAATTTTCAAGCGAGGCTCTCGCGTAATCTGTATATACGATGCCATCTGTGTTGTATCGGCAGGTGGCTCTCCAGTGAGTCGAGTGATTTCTAAGCCAAAGGAGGTACGGTCGTTTGATGAGGTAGGCCTGCCAATTTGGGGCATCACCGCTGATGGCTGGGTAGTCCTCGTAAAACACGATGTCTTTCTGAAGACAGGGAGTAGAAAGTGAAGGTCGTGTCATGGTGGTAGACAGGCCAAAAAGAAATGTCATTTGAGAACATTTAGCGGGAAAATCACGGAAACCAATTAAAAAAACAACAACAATATGTCCAATCTCGGTACACGAGGAAAATTCTCCACCCCCTTTACGTTTCTTTGATAAGAATTAATCGAAGGGATACGCCTTCTGACAAGGATGTTTTGGGAAAATTACCCGGAGAGGTTTTGAGACAAACTACATAATGGGATCAGGTTCAAAGCAAACTCGTGCTCTGAATCAGAATCACGGAACACTTGGAAATTTCGACTGTTGTCATTGATTACTGTGTACAATCCAAACAAGTTAGACTCATTGCTATGTAATCTTGACAGTTTTTTGTGGATTCTTACAGTATCTTCCACCATATTAAAGTCAAAAGTATCCTTCCTAATCTTGTTAATCGCAACCTATTTACAATCTCATCTGCTTATTTCAATAAATTATTCAGGGGGGAATGAATACTGCTTCACGATGAACCTGCCGCGAATCATTTAACAGAACGATGTCGATCATTTGAATCTGAATGACAATAACGGTGAAAATACAAAGAGATACCAAATTACCTGGAATTGACCTTTGTTTGACAGACTGAATGATTCAATCAGGTTCCAAGCGAACCCAGGCTCTGAATTGAAATCACAGAACACTTGGAAGGTTTGTATGTTGTTAACCCTGACTGTGTACAATCCAGAAGAGTTGGACCCGGCTGCTTTGTGGTCCTGACAGCTCTTCAGCTGAGTCTCACAGTGTTTTCCAGAAAACGCTACTGGACAGGAACAGTTGTACCGAACACTTGTGGGCTCACAGATCTCAGTGCAGGTTCCTCCATTGAGGCACGGACTGCTTCTGCAGCAGCCATTAGTACATGTGACGTCACCAACGCAAGACGTTTCTCTCTGTAGAAACCAAATCAGAAGAATCGCACCACATACACACTCCATTCCCACAGCACATGATAACCCTTTTCAAAAGATGTTACGTTGGATAAACATAGGGGATATTACACGGTGACGAGAGGATATGAATTATATGTTCGAGTGGCAAGGAAAATATCTCACGAGTGAGTGGAACGAAGGAGTGAGATGTTATTCGTGCTACGAAAACACGAAATTTATATATCTTTGAGCGAACGTGTAATTTTATTTTTATTTTCTAGACAATGAATACACTGGATACCAATAGAAACAGACTACCCGGTGCCCACATAATTAAAAGGTTTATATGTTACACCGCCAGTGCAGCTGTTAGTTGATTCTACGATGGTTTCTGTTTCTTGGTAAAACATCCACGTCCAAGTAATAACCTAAAATATAACACTTGTATTCCGCTGGAAAGACTTGACACTTTCAGTTCAAATCCCCCACTCCACCTAGGGAGGGTTCAACCAGTCCCGAGGTTGCCCAGGGTTTCCCGAGGGGATGATGAAGCTTCGAATTGGTTGGCACACTATGCAACAAATTGATAATAATGCAAGTAATATTTTGTTTGTTCGCAGAGAGGTATTTTTTAAGAAATCGATTTTATTCATCAAGCAACATTCTTTAAATTACATTTTAGGAATGTATTTGGAAATGCTACAAAATACGTGTATTTTCACTTACCTTTTGGTGAAAAAACCTTCGCATGTTGTAATAACGGGATCCTGCAGAACGTTTAAGAAAGCTGTCGTGGGTGAAATGGCTTGCATCGTTCAACTCGCAGTATTTGGCGTCGTTCTTTTCCTTGTAGTTGAACGACAAACATCTACAGTCGTCTTTACACAACAAGTAGCACTGAACTGGGCTTGAAGTAACAGAGTTGTGGAAAACATGGCCAACAAGCTCTTTTTCTTGCACTGCATCCCCATAAACATCGAAGGGATATGTTTGACAAAATCCTGTATTGCAGTTGCTTTTTGCTTCTGTAAATGTCCAAAAAATCTGGAAAAGGATAAGGAAATGAATCAAAGACATAGTTACGTTCCTTCTTGTGTTTAGAACTGACTTTACTGTTTGTTTCGTTCAACTAGTGTCGAGCGTGGTTTTATAGACAGTTTAAGCGAGTTTGTTCCACATGCTGCGAAATTTTATAAATTGCATGGAAAATTAAATTCGATCTTTTATTTGTCTTGGAATTTCCACCTGTCGTCTTCCTAAGATGTTTGATTATTTCACTTTAGAATATAAACAAACTCTCTAATATTTCACAATTACCAGAGTAAACTTATTTAAAAAATGGATACTAAAAGGGGGCCTCAAAGCATCTACATAGTAAAACACTGGCTAACTCCGGGTATCATCTCCTTAGCCTGCTTGGGATATCATGTCAAGCACTTTCTTTTACTCTTCCTTTCTCTCCATCTATCTCTCTCTAGCAATGTTTATTTTTTTTAGAAAGAAAGTGCTATTCACGTAATGTTGTTAAAATTGAAAGGTCAACCATGTATGTGAACACTGGCAGAAAAATTTAACAAACCGTCAGTGCGTGTTGAACTTTCAGCGAGATATCTCTTAAAAGCAAAGGCTAACGAGTAATGTTTTTAACATACTAGTCAAATTTACCTCAGTTATATTATGAATTTCCTAAATTTTAATTAAATTCGAGCAGTTATGAGAAGTACCAATGATTAAAAATATCCGTCCAGCAGTGGTCTTTATTGTCAGTGAAATTGATAAAGGATGGAATCAATAATAACATTGGTCAAGATTGGGAAGCAAATAAGACATTTTAGGAAGATGATGTTTGTATAACAAGTTGCACCTGTTTTACAAACAGCACGCGAATCAAACCAATCTTCTCAGGAATGTTACCGATCGGGACGATTTGAGTAATCTTACGGTAACCAGGTCTTAACTGTTCCTAAGTTCAATAAGACATCCTTCACTTTTACCCGACGAAATGTTAATGGAGTCGGTGATCACATTAAAGAAACACTAATCAAAAAGTTAAAAAAAGAAACCATGGATCATCCAATCATTGCCAATTTTATTCTTCTCAGTAAACGGTTGGCATAGAGAACCAAACATCGACTGCATGTAGCTAAGTCAGTCCTTATTTATTTGTCACCTTGTAAGCTCTCTCCTGAAGTCTTACATGGAACAGCACCTGACGGCTTTAGATAAGAAGTACTCCGTCTAAATACGTGTTACTCGTGCTTGAGAACTAATTCTTCTCCACTGCACGATACAGCATGAATATTGCTAATAGCACAGGCTTTCAAGGTTATTAATTATTCGTGGAGTTACGCCGCCAACTTTCTCCAGCGAAAACTGTCTTGGAAAATCTTTAACTCCCGAACCTTTACATTCCTTTACTACTCTCCGGCTTTTGCTACCGAGAAATTCTATTGTTTGTGAGAATAAAATCAAACTCAACTTAATTTCTTAAACCTGAAAACATCCAAATTTGCGTGTTTATTGTTCCTCTAACAAGTCACACACATGCAGCAAATAACATCTGGGCTAAAAGATTATGGTCGCCCAAGCTCACTATCAAAGGGAATTAATTAATTTCCCAGCCAAAACATTCAAAAAGTTGAATGTCGAAGTAAGCTGATTACCCCTCAACCGTTTTAATATGTCTCCAGGGAGGTGACTCCCGCTGATTTAAAAATCAACTGAACTCAATACCTGATGCTCCTATGCAAATTAGGAAGCCCATGGTTAATTGTCTTGTAGAGAATTTGGTTAAATGGTTTCGCTCATGGAGCTCATGCAAGTTATGAAAACCACAAATTTTTGAGGAGAATTTGTCATTAACATTTTACTTTTAATAAAGGCCCTGGTAATTGCATGCCAACATATGGCGACTGTTATGATTAATTTTTTGACGCTTTTACTTGGTCAACGAGGTGTAAATAGCACTTGGAACAAATAAAGAATTCCTAGGCAGTACACTCCACTCTAGCTTTCTTGTTTTACCAAATTCGCGAAATAACGGATTGAAGATTCCAGTCAACTAACTCATTGCACTGTTTGTTTTCTTTTACTAAAAGTTCTGACCCGAAGCCAGCAAGACGTATGTTAAATCATGGTGTGTAGACAGGTGAAAAAAGGAAAAATAAGAGGACTTCAAATGTAAGTTCCGCGCTGTCTCCATTGCGTAACAGCTTCAGGTGCGATGAAGCTCGACATCGTCCCAACATAACATGCTAAAAATACAATTTAGAATGATCATGGCTAAGCATTTGATTCATTTTCTTACCAATCTTCTTATGTCTTATACATTTACAGAAGCAAAAGGCAACTGCGATACAGGTTTTTGTCAAACATATCCCTTCGACATTTATGGGGATGCCTTGCTAGAAAATTGAGCTCGTTGCTAATGTTTTCTACAATTCTGTGACTCCAAACCCAGTTCAGTGCTACTTGTGGTGTATACACCACTGTCGATGTTTATCTTTTAACTACAAGGAAAAGAACGACGCCAGATACTGCGAGTTAAACGATGCCAGCAATTTTACCCACAACAGCTCCCTTGAAGGTTCGTTAGGATCCCGTTACTACAATCTTAGGAGGATATATCAGAGAATGGTAAATAATTACACTAGTATGTCATGATCTTTCTTTACTTAAACGTGGAAATTTCCATGGGGACTTTATTCTGTTTCACGTAAATATCTACTCGGTCTTTTGGTTTTCACAGCAAGAGAAGTCATGTATTGATGACGTCACGTGTGCCAACGGCTGCTGCAAAAACAATCCGTGTCTCAATGGAGGAACCTGCTCTGAGGTCTGTGAGCCTACAGGCATTCGGTACAGCTGTTCCTGTGGCGCTGCCTATGGCGGGAGACACTGCCAGAATTCGCTACAAAACTTTCAGGACCACAAAGCAGCCGGATCCAATTCTTCTGGATTATATACAGTTAGATATGACAGTAATCAAGCTTTTGAAGTTTTCTGTGACTTTAATTCAGAGCCTGGGTTTGCTTGGAACCTGTTTGAATCATTTAATTTGTCCAACAAAGATCTTATTTTGTCTCCACTACACAACAAATAACACAGTAGTGTACACCAAATAAGTTTATTTAGGGAAGCCTGCCGAGAACCAACCCGAGGCATATATAGCCCGGGGAATGCATACATACATATCTTCGCAACTGATATACCATATACAATCCTGATATACAGTCAATTCCTTACACATTAAAAAAAGATATACGTTACTAACATGCAAACTTCACCAAGTCTGGATTAACAGAGATGGGCAACCGCTTACAAGGACATAACTACGGTTATACAGAGGCCAGAAAAAACCTGCCAGAAAAAACCCCTTTGGGGAAAAAACATGACAGGAAATCTGGGTAGGAACCATGGCCCAAACTCAGAGCAGTTGGCAGCCCATCCTACGAGGCTTCACAGCTAAAGAAAATATGTTTTCAAACTAAAATAAATTTGTCATCAGCCAGAGGTGAACGGTTGGTTCTGAGGCCTAGATGGACATCACGTGCCATACTTTCCCTTATATACCACTGCATCATTACCCATGATGCTCGGGCCTAAGGCCCAGGCCTTGTCGTATCTCGTGCCGACAAAATATCTATTTCTGCCTTATTCGCAGACTCATTCGTTAGAAATACCATTTTCAGGTATTAGATATCTCTTAAAAGCAGCATTCACTCTCTCTCAATAAATTCCAGCAATCAAGGCTGTAAATAATTTCATTTACAGTTAAGAAGGATACTTTTGACTTGGCTAATAAACAAATGTCGTAGAACTGATAACCTCCTTCGGAAGTGATCCTACCCTTTAGAAATTGCTTTATGAGTTGTGTTTAGAACTGCGACGATATGCCCCCCGGTAAACGTATTCATAATTTCAACCAACTCGAATTTACCTTCTCTGTCGTCAGAAAACAACGTTTTCTATGTTGATTACCCAGAGATCAACGGTGACTCCCCAAATTGGCAGGCGTACCTTATCAAACGACCCTATCTCCTCTGGCTCAGAGATCACTCGACTCACTGGAGAGCTACTTGCCGATACAATACAGATGGCACCGTATATATAGATTACCTGAGAGCCTCACTTGAAGACTTTGACATTATCAAGGAGGTACTCTCGGTGGTAGAGACTTGTCGTCCGTACGAACATGTCAACATCCGGGTAAATGAGTGTGTAAATTGCATCGCACAAACATGGTATAAGAAAGGGTTTTGTCCTCTGCATATCGACTCTTCTTACACTCTTCTACCCTGCGACTTCAATGGAAGTAAGGCGGACCCGGCTATTCCCGACGAAGACAACTTTGGATTTTACTTCACTACAAATACTTAATTCCGTTGTAGCACAAAACTAGGTGATACGACTCAGTTCTGGATTGGAGGCAAATATTAGGCTGAACAAACAACGTTTAAGGGGGGTCTGTGTGTGTGCAGGGGAAAAAGATCACTCCAAATAGCGATCTGTTTTGTGACTTTTGTGCCGTTAGGAAAAACAATCGCTGAGTAGACAGCCTGAAAACTTACCATATTTTGTTTCCACTGATTTAGATGTACAGCGAGGCAAAGCCGAAAAGGTCAAGCGGCAAATAATTAGGAAAATGTCTGTTACCATTGTTCATCTTTTTTCCAAAAAAATGTGAAAGAGGAGTGTCCATCGGAAGTGTAAATTTTTGATTCACTTTTATCATAACAATCAGTTGTGAGTGGTGAGAATCTTTCGGGAAATTCAGGAAACGTAACAAATACAATTTAGTGATTTATTATAGGCCAGGGAATGTATTTTAGCGTTGATATTTGTTGCTGCTAATCTTCATGAGGAGAGCAGATATTTCATTTTGAATGAAAATTGATTGTTAATACTTCCGTCGGATAACATTTAAATAGGCTTTGTGCATGGTAGTTCATAACCAGTTCCAGCGTCTATAATTTTATTTTCAAATATTTATGCGGTCTACCATTACCATTTTGTGCTCATGGCTGTTTCAGTAATCTTTTATAACATCAGCTTCCAGCTACAGCTTGTAAATTGAATTTTCCTTACTTTTGCACCCGTGTAATTTCGTCAACTACGTGCTCAAAATAAATCTCTGAAGAGTTGTTGTAATAAAGTTCGGATATAACGCGCACTGTCATTGGTTGAAACAGCGTGCCCCATCAGAGGATAGAACATAGGGCAAGAGAGGCAGAGCTGTCGCACCAACTGCCAAATTGTACTATGTCCAACCATTTCCCCGAACTTCTCTCTATCTTTTTTTCGTTAATTGAAAGTGAAATTTCGGAACAAGTGATTCGGCAAATAGCAACAGAAGAACTAAACTAACGAAATTGACGTTGCTATAGCGTGAGCAGAGATGGAAATCCTCAAAGAGAAAAGGAAATGGACAGTCCGAGTTTTGAAGGTTTTCACACCTAGTTAGATTGCAAGCTTACGTACGGTAATAAAAATCAAACACAGCTGCTCTCTTGTAGTGTATAGTTTCGTGTTCAAAAACGTAGCATAACGAAACAGGAATGATGAAAAGTACCGCCAAACTGGCATAACTGTCAAAATTCATACTAATCATGACGATGTCAGAGTGACTGCGATCATGCTGCGGTCCATCGCGGCCAGCTCATCATAGTGATCTCGGGTCATCGCAGTGAAGCAAGCCTCCCTTCGAGTGAACAACTAAGAGCTTGCTCTGATATACTTTCCGATGCGTTTAGTGGAAGGCCACATTAGTCTCAGCAGCGGAGTTTTACGCTGTCATCCCAAGCAACCTTTATATTCCAGTGAATTCGGCTGTATAAAGCTTTTTTTTCACCATTTTTGACAGCTTTAGTCTTGTTCAACCAATCAGATTATTTGAACCATTCTAACAAAGATTCTGGTTGGCTTATTGTAGCGTGCTTTATGAGAATAAAGAGCATGCTGACGACATCGTTGTTCACTCTGGAAATAAAGTTTGTTTCGAAAATTGAAAGCAATGCGTGGGGAATTTAACGGATTCTTTATTATAAAGCAAGTAGAGAAGCCTTGACTGTGCTCTGTTCTGCTCTAAGGCTCTTAGGAAGCGGCGAGTGCACTCAAGAAGTGGGGAGAAACACTCGACTACGTATAGTCTTTCTCCCTACGCTTATTTCGTACTCCAACCGCTTCCTGCGAGATTTACAACAGAACAGAGCATAGTCAAGGCTTCTCGATTTGTTAAATAGAAAAATGATTAATTACACGCGATTCAGTTAATATCAAAATTTGCGGTTGAAAACTGTGCGTCAGAGGAGTCATGAAGCGCGTCAGAAACAAAACCGAATGCCCCCCCAATACGGCAATAGGTTTTCCGAGCTCATGTTCAGAAATGCATCATTTTTTCCAGACAGAAATGTTCAAACGTTCAAATTTGCCTCTAATTTCTCGAACGAAGATCTTTCTCGGATATTTGCCCCTACCTTAATTTTACCTTACAAACAGAGTTTGTGACATTTAGAGTTCACCACTTAATTAAATTGTTAAACTGGACTCACGGTGGGTTTGTCTTAAAAGGAGTATTATCTCTTCATTATCGCTCCTAAATCACTCTTGTCATTATGATCTTCCTTAATTGATTTTTGTATGGTTTTAATCAACTAAAATCAACTTTCTCTGTTTTCATACAATCGTGTTCTACGTTGACTAGCCAGCGATCAGCGGTGATGCCCCAATTGGCAGGCCTACTTTATCAAACGAACACACCTCCTTAGGCTCAGAGATCATTCGACTCACTGGAGAGCTTCTTGCCGATACAAGACAGGTGGTACCGTGTAAACAGATTGCCTGAGAGCATCCCTTGAAGACTTTGACATCATCGTAGACGTGCCTCCGGCTATAGCCACCTGTCGGCCATACGAACATGTCAACATCTGGGGAAATGAGTGTGTGAATTGTTCCGAAGCAAAGTGGTACATGAAAAGGGTTGATCCTTTGCATATCGACTCTTCTCACACCGCTATACCTTTCGACTTTGATGGAAGTAGCTGGATCCGGCTATACCTGACGAAGTTCCTACACTACAAATCACAAATTCCGTTGTACCTCAAATCCGGGTGAAACGACTCAGTTTGGATCGGGGGCAAGTAATACACCGACCAAACCACACTGTTAACCCTGAACAGCTTATTTCTTTTCGTTTGGCCACATGTGACATAACATAAAAGAACCAAACAAAAATTAACGTGATTAAGTTTAACCTGTATCCCGAACTTTAAGATTACAACTACTAACAAGAAAAGTTGAATCAAAGTAAGACAACTGAAATAAAACTGTATTACTAATACTTTAGATTATGGCCCAGTTAATCTTGTTATGGATTTTATTTCTTTAGTGAACTTGGAAGTTTCGTTTAAAGGGGGTCTATTTGTGGTATTTTCACCGAGGACAACATGCTAAGACGCTCTGTGCACAGTAAATAGAAAAACTTATCACCAGATAAAGTTTTCGAGTTTAAAATCTACCTTCGACTTTGGCAGATAACTCAAACTTCGGTTTTGATACTTCATGATGTCATGTTTATCCTCATCCAATAATTGCTTATATCGGAGTGCCAATGGTTTCTATTAAAATTTGCGCGTTAGAACGGTTCGTTAGAGGAGACACGAGGCCCCAATAAAGCATGAGGTTTTGCGAGTTCTGACCGATCAGATAAGTTTCATCTTTTACTAACCAAAATGTTCAAAAAGTTAAATTTGCCTCACGGAACGTGACTCCCGTTATCGTTCCCTTAAAAATTATCCGAGAACAATAGAACTTTGCCCTGTAAGTTGCCTCAAGGCAGCCTGAGAAACGAAATCATGTTGAACCTCGGCAAGACGACCAAGTGACGAGATGAGTTGATTTTATTGTCAGAATAAGATGATATCCACCTACAACACCAAGAAAACAATATGTAAACAACTAAGAGGCACTTATCAGAGGAAGATGTTGATTGGTTTTAAGACTTGCGGCTAATAACCTATAACTTATTCATAACTTGCCGGGATGATAATTGAATGGCAACTTGAAGAAACGAGGCAGGAAAGTGATTCGGTTTAATCTCTAAAATGAGACTTTAAAAGGGAAACGAACATAGGAGCGATTAGATTCCATTCTCGATTTGAATCATATACTTTTAATGCTGCAGCGAGTAACATTTTGATGGAATAAGTGAGGTCATTAGAATTCAGGGAGGGGGTAATTCATGAACAGGTCTTACCGTTATTGTCAATTGTTATGCTGAAGACATAATCGCGAAATTTGTTACTCTGCGCCACTCTTGTGAGAAATGTTAACATGTTTTTTTTCTTTTTTTTTCATTGACGGGATGAATCAATTTGCTTTATAATATGTTGTTGTATCGGAAGTTCGTGGAATTTCTCAAAATAAAAGAAATGTGGGAATTTCTTACATCTTCAAGCTCTTAATTACAGCAAACTTTTGAAAGATTAAGATGTTTCAAAATCTTTGTCTTAAATATTCATTTTCAATAAGGATAGCTTTAACCATTTAATTAAATTTCGAGGCTACTATATACATATGCATCTGATGCACACGTAATCTTAGACAGTTTATCGAACGGTAAAAAATTAATATGCCTAAAGCTTTCAACAGCCTTTTTCTTTAAAACGCGGCGGCGCGAAGTTCAGAAAGCGTAACAGATTCGTTTTACTATACGAATAAAATGATGAATGGAAGCTTCCGATCAATAAGCCTTCTGTTGTATTTTCAAAACATCAATATGTTTCCTTTTGTTCTGGCACGAAGCCATGTGGTATCTCAAGTTATGCTGACTGATTAGTCGGCAAGTGAAGGAAAGAAAAATAAGAGAATCAATCAATCAATGTATTGAACGTGGTAGGTACGCTTAGATAAAAAGCTAGTTTACAGGGACGCTACGAAAAACAAAAAAATGGGAAAGAATAAAGCCCTTGAAGGTGTATAAATTTAAGATTGGTTAACCATTATTAAAATGTAAAAATTCAACAACGTTTCGCCACACTAAGTCTAAAAACTATAAAAATGTGAAAAATTATACACACAGTAAAAAATTAATTAAGAATAGACGCACATCGCACTCAGAGTTTTAAGTTGCTTTCAAAGGCAACTGCGGTACAGGATCTTGTCAAAAATTTCCCTTTGATCGATGTTTATGGAGATGCAATGCGAGACAAAGATCTTGTTGGCCATGTTTTCCACAATTCTGTGACTTCAAACCCAGTTCAGTGCTACTTGTGGTGTATACACGACTGTCGATGTTTATCTTTTTACCACAAGGAAAATAATTAAACGACACAGCAATATACTGCAAAGTGAACAAAGGCAGTCATTTCACTCACAACATCTAGAACGTTCTACAGGATGCCATGCAACCTACGTAGGGTATATCATTGAGAGGTAGGGAAATGTTCATGTGTTTTCCTACCATTCCATTTTTTAACTCTTTTTACCGATAACAACTTTATTCAGGCCCTGTTCACCCTTTTCCTATTGGAAATTTGAAACGTAGCTCATAAGATGACACTCGTGGAAAAACCCTCTGGGTTTTTTGTCATTTTTGAAAAGGGTAGAAAACCAGTTAAAAATGAATTGGAAAGAGACTTACCTTAGCTTAGGAGCCTTTATTGAGTCAATTTTCCTATTCACTGGGAATCGGTACTGCAGTAGCACTGTTATGTTGCGGATTTGAACAGATGCATATGAACCCAATAATAGCCAAACTTGTCATCACTTTCTCTGAAGCTCAGAGGTAAAACTTCGGAGCACAAATGCAATTCTTATGGCGAATTCTATATCTTCCTAAGCTCGTGACAAAATTAATATCATATTTCTCTATTTCAAGATCGGGCTCAGAATTTACTATTTTTTAAAATTATGTATCAATATCTTGTATGAATTTCAACGTTGGCTCAAGTATAATTTGTAGAGTGTGATGATTGAATTTGAATTTTATTTTATACAACTTCTACTAACTAATTCTAGCACTCTCACCTATTTAAAAATGCCACGTATTAAATGTATCACATAACGAACTAGAAACTATTTACAACACAAAAGCAGAACTAAAAATAAGCATACATGCGATTAATACCCAGAAGAGAAACATCTTGAGAAATTAATCCCATAAAACAAAAAATTAGAATGTTTTAGAAATCTAAATACACTTTTAATAACGTAGAGGCTGACTGTTAATTAAATAACTACAAAATTATGTAGAGGGTATGATATTGAATTTGTAATCAATGTTAACGGAGGGGTTTCAAGTTAAATATGTAATAAAACACTATTTTAACTAAATATGCCTTAATGGATCTACGCCTTAGCCATAGTCTTTCCCAGACATGTTTAAACTTTCTTTCAAACTCCATTCAGAAATTGACTGCATCTTAAGCTGAATTTAAACCCGGTTGGTTCCAAAGACTCATTCATTGATTCTTTACTGTTCGACCTTTAAATTGTGAATATGATATCTGCTAGCGGGGACACCATCATGTAATAACCCTGAGGTTTCTCTTGGCCTTCCTTGCCCCGTCTACGTTATTTATTGATATTTTTACACTGTCCCGTAACTTAAAGATTAAATTTATGACAAAAAAAGTATACATTAAATTGTTGACTGTCAGGGTCTGTCACTAAAAGCTAAGTAATGAGCCCCATCTAGTTTCTACTGTTTGGTCACCCTACTATCTGCCGCCGATCCAGAACTGAGTCGTATCTGCTGGGTTTGAGGTACAACGGAATCTGGGATTTGTACTAAAGTAATATCCAAAGTTGTCCTCGCTTGGAATGGCCACGTCTGTTTTTATCCCATCGAAATCACAGCCACAACTAGTACAGGAACTGTCTATATGAAACGGGAGAATTCCTTTCTTATACCATGTTGCTGTAGTGCAATCCACACACTCATTTCCTCGAATGTTGACATATTCGTACGGTCGACAGGTCTGTATTTTTGTGGGCACGTCTCTGATGATGTCAAAGTCTTCAAGTGAGGCCCTCAGGTAATCTGTATATACGGTGCCATCTGTGTCGTATCGGCAAGTAGCTCTCCAGTGAGTCGAATGATCTCTGAGCCAAAGGAGGTAAGGTCTCTCAATCAGGTAGGCCTGCCAATTTGGATTGTCACCGCTGATGGCTTGGTATTCGTCGTAAAACACGATATTCTGCTGTATAGTCAGTGGACGTAAATTAAAGTTAGTGAAGACTTTCCATCGTTATCGAAACTGTTGCTTATGAATCAAGAAAATTATAGAAACAAAATGAGGACGAATGTATTTTGTATTCACCGCTGAATGTGCTTTCGTCCAAGATTAAATATTTATGAAAGATTTAAAGAGAATGCAAATACCTGAAAGCGATGTTTGTTGGATAAACTAAAGGACTCAATCAGGTTCCAAGCGAGTCCAGGCTCTGAATCAAAATCACAGAACACCTGAAAGGTTTGATTATTATCATTGTTAATTGTGTACAATCCAGAGGCAGTGGACCCGGCTGCTTCGTAATCCTGACAGCTTCTCTTCTGCTGAATCTCGCAGTGTTTCCCAACAAACGGTGCAGGACAGGAGCAGTTGTACCGAACACTGGTGGGTTCACAGATCTCGGTGCAGGTTCCTCCATTGAGACACGGATTGTTCCTGCAGCAGCCGTTGGTACACGTGACGTCATAAGCGCATGAAGAAATGATACTTTGGGTCTTCAACAATAAATTGAACGAAAATTGATTTCATTAGATGAGTTTCACCGATAAGAAAAAGGATCATACAATCCTACGTTTTTTCATATTCAATACTCTTAGCCTTTGGAACGTAGCCAAGACTAAAACTTTCCCGAACACATGATATCAGACCCACTATATTATTATTCATTGCATACACTTTTGAAATCCAGGTGATCCTTGTAATCAGATTGGCTCGCATTGGGGCGATTTCTTCACGAATCACACCATTCTCTGCTCTTAGTCAACGAGGAAGCTTTACTAAGATAAAACAAACAATTGAAGACCAATGAAAATGAAGAACAAATTTGCAACTTTCTTCAAACCTGTTCGTTACAGGATCGACAAAACATGTGTACAAGCTAAAAAGGTATGCAAGTATGTGTGGTATCCACAAAATTGCAAGACAACCTACGACATATAACCTATGCACACAAGTCCCGTATTCGGTGCACGCCTCGCCATAAATATCGTCTCGACATTAGCATATTTAATGACATTGTCACAACTATTTGACAAGTACATGACATCTTCACAAGTATGACACACCTTGACAGCTATGCCACAGTATGCACAACTTTACAAGCTTAGGCCAAGTACAGGATATAGCTATTCCATTGAAAAAAAAAATGGCTGAGAAACAGGGTGCAAATTTAGAATCAACTGTCCAACTTTTCGAACTGAAAATGAATACATCTTAATAATCAATGTTGAAAAGGTTTACGCTAAATTTATTCTTACTCATTTAGGAATCAAATTGACCGAATAAACTCATTTGGCCTATCCATTAGTGTGATTCTCTCAGTTTTCATCAATAAAAAAGGACGGTCCTTTGTATCAGTTAAAAAGCGCTACCACGTATACCTGATTCGTACCTTAACTTTACTGTATTCCTTGCGTAAAGCAAAATATCTTGAGCCTGAAGACTTTACCAATGAACTTTTGATGATGAAATGATTTCCTTCATTCAACTCGCAATACTTGGTGTCATTCTGTGGATTTTCCTTGTAGTTTATCGACAAACATCGGCAGTCGCGTATGCACCACATATAACATTGAACTGGGTTTAACGTAATGGAATTGTGAAAAACATGGCCAACAAACTCTCTGTCTTGCTCAGAATCTTGATGCACATTAAGAGAAATCTTCTGACAAGTCTCTGAAGGACAGCCTCCCTTAACTTCGAGAAGATAAAGGAGGGAAATTAAAACCAACTCTGCAGCTGTCATATCTGTGCTGTACATCTGCACCGCGTTAAAGCTTACAATAATATTTTTACGTAACTCATTTGACGGAATCGGACAGATAGATATTGTCAGGCCTTTTCACTGATTGGTTAGCGCTGATGGAATTACACCCTCTGACGTCTCGAGTCTTCATCTAAAAAATTATTTTTGATATACAGCTGGAGAAGTAAGGAGGATCTACAAGTGAGCTGTTAGCAGTGTTCAGTGGTCTTGTTTGGCATCTGATATAACAACCTTGTCTTGCTGGAGGCTCAACCTTTTAAAAGTACTGTTTAGAATCAAATATTTCAGTTAGTTGGTTTTGACATCGAATGCAACTCTGTTTGTATTTTAGCAGTTAACGTCAGTAATGCACGGTAGTAATCAATCTTCGGATTCGTTTTTTTAGTGACTTCTGACATTTTTAAAGAATACAAAGTGGTTTTTACTTCATTAAAAAATCCATTAAGCACAAGGGTTTGTGAACATAACATTTGGTGGATATTTTCGGTTTTGGAACAGCACTTCGAGTGTCTCAGGAGACGAAGAAGGCAAGTGGATGATTCCCATCCCACCTGTCCTTTATCTTAGGGAGAGTAACTCATACCCCAACTTCTGTGCGCACATTTTTCTTAGTGTCAAAGTCTCGGCTACAAAGTCTTTCTTTCTTCCTAGTCTGATCGCTGTTTTATTAACGATTTTACTAAAACGTAAATTACCCAGGCAAAAAGCGTACCTTCACATTTATCGACATTCTGCTTCCACTGACTGACAATTCGATTGCCTAACGATTCTGTATTGACTGCAAACGAAACCATTAATTATAGCCAAAATAACTTACAAATGGAAAATGGTAAATGTTTGCCAGAGGCACGTAAATAATTAAGTTGGTTAAGAACGTAACAAATACATCCCAGGAAATACCGCGCGATATTACGGTGGCTGTTTCCTTTTGATGCTTGCCTACTTTCTTTCGAAATGCGTTTAAGGTCTAGAAATACAGATTAAAGGTGATTAGAAATATATCCCGGTGAAATCAGCCATTAAGCTCATTTAGGCATCAATGCATCCCTTTTTTGACATTTACCACTGTTTCCACGGCTGAAATGACATTTCAACCGGCCTCTTAAATTAACCAATTTAATCAGTCGAAGCAGATTTTTTTAATGTAACCTATAGCTTATTGCTGAATGAATAAACATGTCTGTGCGCAAAATACAAGTTTTTTTTTACACAATTATTTTTTTTTTCTTGCAGTAAATTGCCCTTAGTAGGCCTAACATTTTCAAAACATTTCAAGTTCTGGAAAATATTTTAATTGTTTTCATAACATCATAACAGCATAGCATGGAGGAAGCATTGGGAAGATGTTGTATTAAAAAAATTAGAAAAAGAAAAGACCAGTGCTTTGCCAATTTCCTCCCGCTGAGTGAACTTAATTTGCATGAATAATTGAAATTAACACTTCAGTGAGCCTTGAATTCCTTCAATATACCACAAGTTAAAAATCTTTTTTTCCTAGACTGTAATACACACGCTATTTTCCTTGAATTTTGACCAATTTCACTTATTGCCTAACTTCTCAAAAATAGGAAGAATATGATTCTAAGCGGTAAGCCTTAAAATAGAAATTTTCCCCCATTATGGTGAAGAGGCTGAGACAATAATGGATTAACAATAAGTAATAAATTAACTGAGTTAGCTTTGAAATATAAATTTTTCCCCAATAGAGAAAAGAAGGTTTTTTATTGCTGTAACACATTAGGCTGGGACAATAAGTTAACTGAGAACAAGAAGGATAAGAAATTTAGAGAATGGTCTTGGAAGAAAGCTGTTATTTATTTTTTTGTGCTGAACCGTACTTTCATGAAAAGTCAAACCCCAAGCAGGGAACGGTGGGTTGACGGCTTGATACAGTTTTGCCGCTTAACCCTGATCTGATCAATCCCGGATCTGATTGTTAATTCTCTCCTCTTGCTGTTACACATTTTCTTGTAAATTGGTTACGAGAATTTGGTGTTTAATCAAGATGATATCTTGTACCTGATAAGTTTGACACTTGTTTGCTGGGTAATGTATTGATAATATAGGGAGAAGTTACATGTTAATCACTTCTGGGAGTTTAAGACTTAAGAAAGGTTCCACAGAACAGGGATAATATAAAAAACGATAAAAGCTGCCCTTTTATGCCATAATTGACCACTTAATGCACAAAACCTCACTCACAAACACTACTTTCTTTCATTTTGCGAGAGAAATATGAGTTCAGTTTTACTTGAAACATTATTCACAGTCCTATTTGAGTCGTTGTGCTTTAATTAAGTGACCATTCAAAACAGGTGGAAGACAAAACAATACAAAACTTTGATTTTGGGAGAAATAAAGTTATTCAGTTTTACTTGAAACATTATCTTAGTGTTTTTTTTAGTGGTTTCACTCTAAGTTACCATTCAATACAGGTGGAAGACAATACAAACATGCAGTTTTCTCACTCAAAGGTGACTAGGACCACTTAATAGAGGAGGAAATTACAGTGATAAAAGGAAACAAATCCAGGACTTTGACCATCGACCTCTTAGCACAGGGTGACCACTAAATATTAATAGTGCCTTCCAATACAGGTTTGACTGTATGTACATGTAATTGCTATTTGAGTTTATTCCAAGAGTTAAGCAATTATTCTTAAGAAACAAGTGCTTATGCCCTTGTGTTTTTGATTTGTATATTAAGATTTTAACGGATCATTTGTTACCCAGGAATGCAGATAAGGCGAGGCATTTCTGAGCATGATAAAACAAAACAAATTCAAGCAGTCCAAATTAGTTGATCGTAACATTTACTTCCTCAGAGAAAAAAATTCTTCTACACGTACATGCACCTGGAAGCCTACATGATCAATCAAAAACGATAAAATTATTCTTTATGTACAATATGAGGTTCTGAAAGTATCGACAAGATATTTATTAAGAATATATGAGTGGTTGGAACATAATCAAACGAGGAAGATGACTAAAACAAAAAGGATACGTCGGTTGTAACATAAAGTTTCTGACAAAAAAATTGTATTAATTCTGAAATCTGATTATCCTTCAAAAATTTCTGAAATCGCTAGTCGACCATGTCCCACTAAATAAGCAAGGCGAACTGTTCAGAATTTCCCAGAGTTAATTCAACATGCAGGATTCATAGATTGGCACCATATATTTGATGTTAATAAACGCATCTGGACCTCCACGCCGCCCGAGTGCGTCCAGCGCTTCTTGAATCAGATCACCGACATTTTCTCTTTTCTGCTAGCTGTAATCAAATTCATCACCCAAATTGATATACCTTGCGACTTTTATGGAAGTAGTTGAATCTGGCTATACCTAACGAAGGCAACTTTGGAAATTTCTATACTACACATCCCAAATTCCATTGTAACTCAAATAGGACCTCGACAAGGCGACCAAGTGTCGAGATGAGTTTATTTTATTTTCAGAATAAGACGATATCCACCTACAACCCAAGAAAAAAAATATATAAACAAATAAAAAGCACTTGTCAGAGGAAGATACAGTTTAGTTTCAAGACTTGCCGTTGATAACCTATAACTTGTTCATAACTTGCCAGAATGATAATTGGATGGCAACTTGAAGAAATGAGGCAGGAAAATGATTCGGTTTATATATTTTTTTTCACCATCTCTAGCTTGTCAGCTGATTTCTTATTACAGTAGTGCCACGTGATGGAACAGTAATTAAAGTGTGGTAGAATGAAAGCTTTATAAAGATCCCTTCTAGTCTCAAAAGGTAACAGTTTCTGTATTTTTTTTAAATACAGTGATCTGTTTACTGACTTTTCTACATATTTTAGCGATATGCTTTTCGAAATTTCATTTGTCATTAATTGTTACGCCAAGAGGTTCCATTGTGTTGGATATGGGAAGTTGTGACTCATCACACCTGAACACTGGCTCATCGTCAGTTCCTTTATTTTTTCCCAACACCATCGTCTGGTATTTTGAACTGTTCCTCTTCATACCATTTCGCGCAAACCAATTATTAGAAATTCTTCGATCAAATTAGACTTCTACGTGTCTCCATTGCTTAGTAGCTTCAGGTGCGATATGGCTCCACATCATCCCAACGAAACAGGCTGAAAATACAAGTTAGAATGATCACGGCTAAGCGTTTAATTCAGTTTCTAACCAGTCTTCAGCTTTTTGGGACATTTACAGAAGCCAAAGGCAACTGCGATACGGGAGTTTTGTCAAACACATCCCTTTAATGTTTATGGGGATGCAATGCGAGACGAAGAGCTTGTTAGCCATCTTTTCCTCTATTCTGTGACTTCAAACCCAGTTCATTGCTACTTACGGTGTATACACGACTGTCGATGTTTATCTTTAAAACTACAAGGAAAAGAACGACATGAAATAATGCGAGTTCAACAAAGGCAAGCTATTTCACTAACATCCGAGATCTCCCTTAAATGTTCTCCAAGATGCCGTAATTACAACCTACGTACGGTATATCATCGAGAGCTAGGGAAATTTTCATGTGTTTTCCTATCAATTCATTTTAATTTTGAACTCGTATTAATGATATCAACTTTATTCAGAGCCTGTTCACTCTTTTCCTAATGAAATTTAAAACGAGCTCATAAGACGATACACGGGGAAAAACCCTCTGCTTTTTCTGTCATTTTAGAAAAAACCATTAAAAATGAATTGGAAAAGAGAATTGCCTTAGCCTAGGAACCTTGAGTAAATTTTCCTCTTCACTGGGAAAGGCTACTGCAATGGTATTGTTATATCGTGGACTTGAACAGGTGCAGAGTGATGTGGCTCCCCTTTTCTTTTGTTGAGTTTTTGATTTGAGCGATAGAATACTTCTTCGTGTTTTCACAGCCTTATCCGGCTACCCACGCTAGAGGTTAGGACACCTCGAGACAGTTATTGAAACCCTTAACTGCGTTCCTGTTTTAAAACAGACTTTGTGCTTGGTTGCCAGGCCTTTGAACAGGAGTGAGGCTAAGGTTGACCTTGTTATGATACAAACCTTGTTGCTTTTCAAATGCAAATTACTTTGTTATCATGGTCATCTTTAGCCTCACTCCAAATCAAAGGCTTAGCAACTAAGCACACAACTGTAAAATGGCCTATTGTTAAATAGACAGTAGGTTTATCATATAAGCCTTCCTAATAATAATAATAATAATAATAATAATAATAATCTAACTTAATCGACGCTCTCTGTCAACGGAGTGAAATTGTGTTTAACAATGATTTGCCAAACCATCAGCGGTGACGCCCCAAATTGGCAGGCGTATCTCGTCAAACGACCCTACCTCCTTTGGCTCAGAGATCACTCGACTCATCAGAGAGCTACTTGTCAGTACACTATAGCCAGCAAAGCGTATACGGATTACCTAAGAGCCTCGCTTGAAGACTATGCTGTCATCAGAGACGTACCCACGGTTGTAGATATCTGTCGACCGTACGAATATGTCAACATCCGGGCAAATATGTGTGTAAATTGCACAGCAGCAACATACTATAAAAAAGGGATTTTCCCTTTTCACATAGACAGTTATTTAAATATTTTTTGCGATTTAAACGGCAATGGGTCCGGTAATGTAATCTCGTATGCGGACAAATTTGGTTTGTAAGGAATTGAAAATCTTAAATTCCGTTGTACTTCAAGCTTAAATGCCACGACTCAATTCTGGATTGGAGACAAGTAATTTTAACATCAAAGAACCTATGTTGCGGAGTCATTTCATATATTGACAATTGCTTTTTGTACACCTCACAAGATAGATGATAAAAACTGCTAAAGGATACCATTTAGATTGTTATGTTATGTCACAGGTAACCCAAGTTCGCATAATAAGCCACCGTAAATGTGCAATTGTGCCTATGTTGTGCAATGGGTGAAATATCGAAGATAGAGTGTATACTCTCTTAAGAGGATTTGTATGAGAATAGACAATCACATTTTAAGTTTAAAACTGCGAGCTAGTTTTGAACAAAAACAAACTTGCCACTGTTTTGTCACCATATTTTTGTACACCAATAACGTAGCTCCATTTTCTGCATATAAAACCCACATACAACTCACAATTCCTCCAATCGCTCTGATGTAGGATTAACGCTCGAAACGTCAGCTTTTAGACTCTTTAATTTACGTTATCAACTGAGTTGATAACACTAAATTAAACCATTGTGTTTGTTGCTTTGTATCTTGTAAGCTTTTCTGAGCTTATTTAGCGCCGTTCAGCTCGCTTTAATTTCATCTGCTTTCCCTTTTACACATGCAGGTTATCGATGCTAAATGTAAATTTTGGCATTCTATGAAATGTACGAAGCATTATGTTTTAATTCTGTACCTTTGTCAAACGTTTAAACTCAGATTATCTCTTCAACATGCTGTGCTGAATGTTTACCCAAAGGCGGATTACTTATGCAGACATTTATGGTTTCATTAGCATATTGTTTAGTATCAATCCCATGCATGTTAGACCGAGTCGTGAGTTTAATCCCGCTTTTACCAAGAACTTATTCATAAGTATAGAACTTAGTTATGACTTGAATTGTTATTTGCATCATAGTATGCCACATATACGTGACAAGACATTAAAAGTTCTTTGGAAGTGGAAAATTAAACCATTGTGAGTTGTTACTTCTTTCATCTTTTGACAGAAAAGCTCGGCTTGGAAAGAAGCGAGGCGGAATTTTTCCCCAATCCATCCTAGGAATTCCGTTTCTCGTATCATTTCACCACACCCCATTTTCGTCTCTTCAATAAAATACTGACCATCCTAAGCTATTAAATATTTCTCAAAAAGAGGAAATGGTTTAGGAAACCTCTCCCCGATATTTGATCTAGAGGTTATCAGTTCGTAACATACTACTGAAATCTCGAGATAACTTGGTGTTATCAACTGGGTTATAAAGTAAATTATAAAACATAACGAGAAACCCCTTACGGTGGAAAGAAGCTTACCCCGCCCTTTGAATTAAAACTTCCTTGGGCGAACCCTCGAAGTTTTCTGCTGGTGAAGCCAAGATGCACCCTTGTGTCCAACTTCGCTTATTTAGCCCTCCTTAAACCAGTCAAATGTACAGAAATAATTCTGGGCTAGAATAAAGAAAACAATCACATTAAAGGTAAACAAAAAAAAGTAAGTTAAATATTTACATTTTACCGTCTTGTCTTGTGGTGAGTGCAATGTGCTCCAGATCGAGAGGTCCGGGTTCGAGCTATTGATAAGTCATTGTGCTCGGCTGTACCTCGCTCTTACTAACACTATTTGGTCAGCTTTTAAGGAACTTTTTTGTGAACTTTTAAGGAAACCCTGCAAAGTGCCCAAAGTTTTCTTCATTGAACGAGGTAAAGTAAGCTCATGCAGATACCAATTGCAATTTGGATTGCTTGCGCTTTTAAATGAAAATTGTTCTATCCACAAGCTTTACGTTATTACAACACCTAAACTATAATTGCCATTACAATGTTTACGGGGTGAAGAGAAAATTGATTTTAGCTGCTGTACCTTGAACACTTTGTACGAAGCACGTGACAAAACGAGCGACATCTTCCCTATTCACTAGACATATACCACTGCCTTTATTCCTTAATCTATTTATTCGCACATAGTTTTTGAAGCTAATGCTGACAGTGAGCTGAAGGCATCAGTATCACATGTGAACATAATAATAGCCAAACTTTCCATCACATTCTCTAAAGCTAAGACGTAAAACTTCGAAGCGCAAATGCAATTTCTTATGGTGGATTCTGTATTTTCCTAAGCTCGTGAAAAAATGAATAGCACATTTATTTTATTTGCGACGGAGCTCAAAAGTCACAGTTTTTTAATTCTGTTTTTTAACTTCTGAAATTTACGTTTACGCGGTTTACGTTACTCCAGCAATAAAAGGAATTTTTTTACAATTTTGATCGGATGAAGGGAAAATCGATGTGCTTTCAACACTCAGAAAAAATTTTTCGTAATGTTACGTGCTTTAGATTTTTTCCTTTTTACAACGCCAATGAAAAAACGAGTACTTTCTTTCCCCATTTACTAAGCATTTACCACTACATTTCTTAATATATTTATTCCGAAACAAGGCCTCCGAAGCTGATCGTAGCAGTGAGCAGGACGCGTCAGTATCCTCCACTCCAAACTTGTCACCTCATTCCCTGAGGCTCCGTGGTAATGCTTTGAAGGGCAAATACGATTTCTCATGGTGGATTCTGTGTTTTCCCCAGCTCATGAAAAAATTAATAGTATATTTCTTTATTTCAATATCTGGCTCAGAATTTATCATTTTTAATAATTATTTATCAATATCTTAGATGAATTTCAACGCTGGCTCAAGTATAATTTGTAGAGTGTGCTGATTGAATTCGAAGATGTAAGATAAAACTGGTCGACACTTACGGTAAAAACGAGAAAAAGTTTATTTTATACAACTTCTAACATCTATTCTTATTCTCACACAAATTTCAAAATGCCACGTATCAAATGCATCACATAACGAACTAGCTAGAAACTATTTACAACACAAAAGCAGAACTAACAATAAGCATTAATGCAATTAATACTCAGAAGAGAACCACGTTACGAAATTAATCACATAGAACAAAAAATTAGAATGTTTTAGAATTCTAGACACACTTTTCATAACATAGAGGCTGACTGTTAATTTAAATAACTCCAAAATTATAGATAGTGGATGATATTAAATTCGTCATCAATGTTAACCGAGGGGTTTCAAGTTAACTATGTAATACAGCACTATTTTAATTAAATACGCCTTAATGGATCTATGCCTTAGCCATAGCCTTTCCTGGACACGTTTAACCTTTCTTTCAAGCTCCATTCAGAAATTGAATGTATTTAGAACTGAATTTAAACCCTAGTGGTTTCAAAGACTCTTTCATTGATACATTACTGTTTGACCTTGATATCTGCTAGGGGGACACAATCATGTAAAAACCCTGAGGTTTCTCTTAACCTTGCCCCATCTACTATATATTTTTTTTTACACTGTCTCGTAACTTGAAGATTAAATTCATGACAAAAAAAAGTTGTTGACTGCCAGGGTCTGCCACCAAAAGCTAAGTAATGAGCCCCATCCAGTTTCTACTGTTTGGTCACCCTACTATTTGCCTCCGATCCAGAACTGAGTCGTATCTGCTGGGTTTGAGGTACAACGGAATTTGGGATTTGTACTAGAGTAATATCCAAAGTTGTCCTCGCTTGAAATGGCCACGTCTGTTTTTATCCCATCGAAATCACAGCCACAACTGGTACAGGAACTGTCTATGTGGAAAGGGTAGCTTCCTTTCTTATACCATGTTGCCGTAGTGCAATTCAAACACTCATTTCCTCGAATGTTGACATATTCGTACGGTCGACAGGTCTGTATTTTTGTGGGTACGTCTCTGACGATGTCAAAGTCTTCAAGTGAGGCTCTCAGGTAATCTGTATATACGGTGCCATCTGTGTTGTATCGGCAAGTAGCTCTCCATTGAGTCGAGCGATTTCTGAGCCAAAGGAGGTACGGTCGTTCGATAAGGTAGGCCTGCCAATTTGGGGCATCACCGCTGATGGCTGTGTAGTTGTCGTAAAACACGATTTTTTTCTATAGACATAGGACGTTAATTAAAGTTAGGGAAGACTTTCCACCGTTGTCAAAATTGTCGTTTATGAAACAAGAATATCATAGAAACAAAATGAGGATGAATGTAATTCACATCCACTGCTGAATGTTCTTTCTACTTAGATTAGATATTTATAAAAGATTCAAAGAGAATGCAAATACCTGAAAACGATGTTTGTTAGATAAACTAAAGGACTCAATCAGGTTCCAAGCGAGTCCAGGCTCTGAATCAAAATCACAGAACACCTGGAAGGTTTGATTATTGTCATCGCTAACTGTGTACAATCCAGAGGCGATGGACCCGGCTGCCTTGTAATCCTGACAGCTTCTTTTCTGCCGAATCTCGCAGTGTTTTCCAGCAAACGGAACAGGACAGGAGCAGTTGTACCGAACACTGGTGGGCTCACAGATTTCAGTGCAGGTTCCTCCATTGAGACACGGATTGTTCCTGCAGCAGCCGTTGATACACGTGACGTCATAAGCGCATGAAGAAATGATGCTTTGGGTCTTCAACGAAAAATTGAACGAAAATTGATTTCATTAGATGAGTTTTACCGGTAAGAAAAAGGATCATACAATCCTACGTTTTTCCATATTCAATGCTCTTAGCCTTTGGAACGTAGCCAGGATTAAGAAATTTCCCGAACACATGACATCGGGCCCATCCCTTTTGAAATCACTGGTGATCCTTGTAATATCATTGCCTTTCATTGGTGCGATTTATTCACGAATCGCACAATTTTTTGCTCTAACTTTCATCTTTTTCTTAGCCGATGAGGACGCTTTACTAAGATAAAACAAACAGTTGCTTGTTTAAAAACAAACAATAAAAATGGCATGAAAATGAAAAACAAATTTGCAACTTCTTCGAACCAGCTCGCTACTAGATCAATAAAACATTTGTACAAAATAAAAAATCCTGCATGCGAGCGACTGAATTTTGCGATTTCAAAATGAATGTAATACTGAGTGGTAACTGAACTTCGTGGCGTGCAATTTTGATCTGAAATCATACCTATGATTTCAAACCACGCATATAATTTCAGACCGAATTGCACGTCACTCATAATAATCATACTCGTAGTTATCAAATCGGACTCCCCCTGCGCGACCGTTCGATTTTGTTATTTACTCGTACGATTACAGACCGAATTGGACTCCACTCGGTTCTGTTACTATTCCTAATTATTTGAAAACGTTTTATTTAGGCGTTTTATGTCAGAACTCCTTTAGCTTTAGTTTTGGTGGATTTCAAACAGATAGTATAGCAATTTTTCGGATTTCTCGCCTGCCCTTTTATGACATTCATTGGATGGATATAAATAAGAGTAGACACCTGCAATCTAATTCAAACCGGTGGGCCGCTTTAATTTAATTATACTTGCTAGGTCATGGCACGATACAATCTGAAAGCAATAATCTATTGCAGAAAGTATTTATTTTAATTGGTTTTTTGCAAGCATCAGAACTTTAGGAGCCTATAAGCCGAGTAAAGATTATTCCCTTGCAAAAAAGAAAATGGCTGAGAAATAGAATGCAAGTTTAAATTCAATCGTCCAACTTTTCGAACTGAAATGAATACTTCGTAAATAATCAAAGTCGAAAAGGTTTACGCTGAATTTATTAATGAGAAAAAAAGTAGGATTTTCACCCGCAATATCTGACTGTTTACCTTTAGCTAGGAGATTGTTTTTTAGTCAAATAATATGCGCCTAAAGTTTTTATTTAACGGGTATCGCCGATATATTCCTCGGCAAGTTACAAAGTTCACTGCATATCCTTTTCAGGAAATTTAATAATGAAACAGAGTATGGGGTAAACATAAAAGCCCTCTTATGAAGAGACAGATATAGTTTGAAATTTCAGTAGGAATCAAATTGACAGAATAAACTCATTTGGCCTATCCATTAGTGTGATTCTCTCAGTTTTCATCAATAAAAAAGGACGGTCCTTTGTATCAGTTAATAAGCGCTTCCCCATTCGTACCTTAACTTTACTGCGTTCTTTGCGTAAAGCAAAATATCTTGAGCCTGAAGACTTTACCAATGAACTTTTGCTGATGAAATGATTTCCTTCATTCAACTCGCAATACTTGGTGTCATTCTGTGGATTTTCCTTGTAGTTTATCGACAAACATCGGCAGTCGCGTATGCACCACATATAACATTGAACTGGGTTTAACGTGATGGAATTGTGAAAAACATGGCCAGCAAACTCTGTGTCTTGCTCAGAATCTTGATGCACATTAAGAGAGATCTTCTGACAGGTTTCTGAAGGACAGTCTCCCTTAACTTCGAGAAAAAAAAGGAGGGAAATCAGAACCAACTCTGTAGCTGTCATATCTGTGTTATATATCTGCACCGCGTTAAGGCAATATTTTTACGTGACCCATTCGACGGAATCGTACGGATAGATACTGACAGGCGCTTTCACTGATTGGTTAGCGCAGATGAAATTACACCCTCTTGGCTGACGCCTCGAGTCTTCATTAAAAAAATCATTTATGATACGCAGCTGGAGAAGTAAGGAGGATCTACAAGTAAGCTGTTAGCAGTGTTCAATGGTTTTGTTTGGCATCTGATATAACAACCTTGTTTTGCTGGAGGCTCAACCATTTAGAAGCACTGTTTAGAATCAAATATTTCAGTTAGTTGGTTTTGACATCGAATGCAACTCTGTTTTTTTTTAGCAGTTAACGTCAGTAATGCACGGTAGTAATCAATCTTCGGATTTGTTTTTCTAGTGACTTCTGACATTTTTACTGAATACAAAGTGGTTTTTATTTCATTAAAAAATCCATTAAGCTCAAGGTTTAGTTAGCATAACATTTAGTGAATATATTTAATTCTCTCAGGCCGTGACCTACAGGGCAAGTGGATGATTCATATTCCACCTGTCCTCTGTCTTAGGAAGAGTAACTCATACCCCAACTTCTATGCACACATTTTTCTTAGTTTTAAAGTCTTGGCTAAAGGGTCTTTTTTTCTTTCTTGTCTGATCGCCATTTTGTTAATGATTTTTTACCTAAAATCTTGCTTAAACATAAATTACCAAGGCAAAAAGCGTACCTTTACATTAATCGATATCCGGCCTCCACTGACTAACAATTTACTGCCCAACGATTCTGAATTGACTGCAAACGAAATCATTAGTTATAAGGCTAAAATAACTTACAAATGAAAAATAGTAAATACTTGCCGGTGGTGCATCAAAAAAACGTTTGCAAACCTTGTTTCGAATATTGACTTAAATAATTAAGTTGGTTAAGAACGCAGCAAATAAATCCCAGGAAATAGTACCGCGCGATATTATAGTTGCTGTTTCTTTCGATCAATGCCTGCCCATTTCCTTGCGAAATGTGTTTAAGGTCTAGAAATTCAGATTAAAGGTGATTAGAAATATGTCCCGGTAAAATTAAACATCAAGTTCATTTAAGCATCAATGCAACCTGTTTTGACATTTACCACTGTTTCCTGAGCTGAAATGACATTTCAACCAGACTTACTGAGTGTAAAAGCACGTCTGTGTGCAAAAAACAAGTTTCTTCCATACAATTTCTTGCAGTAACTTGTACTCTGGTAGGCCTAACATTTTTCAAAACAATTTAAGTTCTGGAAAACATCTTAACTGTTTTCATAACATCATAAAAGCATAACATGGATGGAGCACTGAAAAATATTGCATTTTCATAACATCATCAAAGCATAACACGGATGAAGCACCGAAAAATATTACATTACAAAAAATAGAAAAAGAGAAAAAGAAAAGACGAGGACTTTGCCAATTTCTCCTGCTGAGTGAACTTAATTTGCACTAGTAATTGACATTGACACTTATATGACAGTGAACCTCAGCTTCCTTCAATATACCACAAGTTCAATATATTTTTTTCAAGACTGTAATACAAACACTATTCCCCTTGAATTTTGACCAATTTCACTCATTGCCAAAAATTCTCAAACACTAGGAAGAATATGATTTCCAGCTGTTAGCCCTGAAATATTAATTGTTTTTGCCCATTAGGGTGAAGAAGGTTCTCTACTGCTGTAACACATTAGCCTGGGACAATTTATTTAATATATATTTACTGGCGATTTTAAAAATTCACCCATTTTAAATTAAAGGCAGGTGGGGCATGATCAATAACAAAGAACCCTAGTTCTAGTAAACCCGAAGGAAAGGATACTAAACCAACATACCAGGGAACCAATATATAATGAATTAATAATAAATAAATTGAGTTACAAACCATAAATAACATTGAAATAGTTTACCCGAAGGACGCCCCTTGGATGAAATTCTTTCACATCAGGGTGAAGAAGGTTTCTGATCCCAAGAAGGAGCTAAGGCCAATTTCACTTACACCTGCGTTATCAAAACTTGCTGAGGATTTTGCTGCTGTAACACATTAGGCTGGGACAAATTTACAGTCCTGGTTGAGGAAAAATTTCAATTATTGCGCAAAAACCAAAGAATTTCAGCTTTAGCCCTCAAAAATTTCCAAAAACCAACGTGAACGGGGAACAATTAATAAATTAACCAAGAAACAAGAAGGACTTATAATGAATTAATAATAAATAAATTGAGTTAGCCTTGAAATAGAAATTCTTTCACATCAGGGTGAAGAAGGTTTCTGCTGCTGTAACACATTAGGCTGGGACAATAATAAATTAACCAAGAACAAGAAGGACAAGAAATTTAGAGAATGGTCTTAGAAGAAAGCTGCTATTTATTTTTTTGTGATGAATCATACTCTCATGAAAAATCAAACCTGAATCAAGGAATGGTGGGTTGACAACTTGATACAGTTTTACCACTCAACCCTTTAACTTCGGATCCCAAGATCTGATTGTTAATTCTCTCCTCTAGCTGTCAGACATTTACTTGTAAATTGGTTACGAGAATTTAGTGTTCAATCAAGATTATATCTCGTACCTAATAAGTTTGAGTTTTCTCACTTCCTGTTTGCTGGATAATGGATGATACTATAGGAAGAAGTTACATGTTAATCACTTCTGGGAGGTTAAGACTTAAGAAAGGTTCCACAGAACAGGGGTAATATAAAATACAGTAAAAGCTGCCTTTTTATGCCCTAATTGACCACTTAATGCACAAAACCTCACTCACAAACACTACTTTCTTTCATTTTGCGAGAGAAATATGAGTTCAGTTTTACTTGAAACATTATTCACAGTCCTATTTGAGTCGTTGTGCTTTAATTAAGTGACCACTCAAAACAGGTGGAAGTCAAAACAATACAAAACTTTGATTTTGGGAGAAATACAATGATTCAAATTTACTTGAAACATTATCCTTAGTGTTTTTTAGTGGTTTCACTCTAAGTGACCATTCAATACGGGTGGAAGACAAAACAATACAAAACTTTGATTGATTTTGGGAGAAATACAGTGATTCAAATTTACTTGAAACATTGTCCTTAATGTTTTTTCAAGTGGTTTCACTCTAAGTGACCATTCAATACAGGTGGAAGACAATACACACATGCAGTTTACTCACTCAAAGGTGACCAGGACCACTTAATAGAGGAGGAAATTACAGTGATAAAGGGAAACAAATTCAGGACTTTGACAACCGACCTCTTAGCACAGGGTGTACACCTAATATAGTGCCTACTTAGTCAGGTTCGACTGTATATACATGTAATTGCTATTTGAATTTATCTCAAGAATTAAGAAACTATTCTTAAGGAACAAGTGCTTATGCCCTTGTGTTTTTGATTGATATATTAGCTAAAGGTTTTTAATGATCATTTGTCACCCTGGAATGCATATAAGGTGAGGCATTTCTGGGCATAATTAAATATAATAAATTCAAGCAGTCCAAATAAACTGATCGTAACATTTACTTCCTCAAAGCAAAAATTCTTATACACGTATATGCGCCTGGAAGCCTACATGATCAATCAAAAATGATAAAACTATTCTTTATGTACAATATGAGGTTCTGAAAGTATCGACAAGGTATTTATTAAGAATATGTAACTGGTTGGAACATAATTAAACCAGGCAGTTACTAAAACAAAAAGAATACGTCAGTTGTAACATAAAGTTTCTAACAAAAAATATTGTATTTATAGGTAAATCTGATCATCCTTCAAAAATTCCTGAAATCGCTGGTCGACTATGTCCCACTAAATAAGCAAGGCGAAATGTCCAGAATTACTCAGAGTTAATTCAACATGCAAGATTCATAGGTTGGCACCATATATTTGATGTTGATAAACGCATCTGGACCTCCACGCCGCTCGAGTGCTTCGAGCGTTTCTTGAATCAGATCACCGACATTTTCTCTTTTCTGCTGGCTGTAATCAATTCCATCACCCGAATTGATATTCTTGTTCTTGAAGATGTTTAAGATCGGTAGAATTTGCCTGTAATAGGGGACAAGGGCTTCACCAATCATCTCACCGGCAACTACAAGATGCTGCAGAGCTTTAAGAGTGGTACAAATGACACTGAGTTTTCGCTTATTCAACGCTTTTTTGATCGGGATTATAAGCTGTGGAATAACTGCAAGAACTTTGTCTCCACCATGCTCCAACATATCGTGGACTCCTTGTCTGGCGAAAAATTCGTAAGGATGCGATGTTTCAGACAATCCCTCGACGAACAGCGGAAGGTAATGATGGTAATCGAGCCTTTCTATCTCGACCTTCCAGGCGATCTTGTTGCCCTTCGTATCATGCTCCAAAGCAATGGGAAAATCGCCTCGCTCATAACACCTTTTAAAACTAGTGCTTTCTGATGGTCTTTCTTTGAAAGCTCCTGCAACAGGAGGAGGAATAACCTAATAAAAAAGAAAAGTAATAGCTTTAGGAACCCAAATGAAATACGTTATGTAGCTCTCGGTTTTAGGGCAGAAGGTCGCGTGGTTCTCTTTCTTATTTTGACTTACTAGAAAGAAATAACATACATGTACTTACCAGTGCGTTCTCTAATCTTGACTTCGCTGAAAAGGGCTCGGCAATGATTGAAGCCTTCAATGCCACAACAGTTTTTTTCTCCTAAGTAAAGATTAGAAAAACTTCTCAATGTCTGACATTGATAACTCCGTAATAGACGAAGATTTTTTACACATTACAAATCGCTTAAAACAACACATAAATCACCCTTACTTTTTCTTCTTTCCGTCGTCTTGTCGTTCGCATTTTCGGATAATCCTGCGTTTGCTGCATCACATTTGCGTACATTTTAGAAATCACAAGACAAATTACCGAAGTAGATCGTAAAATGTTAGCATAAACTTTGAGCAACAGAAGAAATACTTGGCGACAAGATGTTTGCTTTCTCGTAGTTGCTATAGTTACCAGGAGCCTAAGCCTCCAAATAAGGAAGAAGAGGTCTTTTTTCCTTACGTTGAGGCTCTACAATGATTATAAAAATGGATCTTTGAAGTACCTTACTTAATTTTCGGAGCCCACGATCATCCTTAGCGGCTGTAGCTGTATAGGAAGTGAAAATGGCGGCGGTTGTCCCAGCCACTCTGAAAGCCATATCTCCATACCTTAAAACGGCCCAAGAGTACGATAAACGAGATGCCGTTGTGGCTTACTACTGTAAGTATGTTTGAAAAACGTTTCGACTATTCGGTAAGATTTTTTAAGGTTTTCGTAATTTTTTTTCTAAGCATATCACAAATGCCCATCTGCTTGGAAAAAGCTGGAAAAAGTACACACTAGTCATAAGCTTGCAGAATTTCAATGAAACAGTTGTCCGTAACAGAATCCCCAGTAAGAGAGACAGTGGATCTCTATTAAGAGCTTACGACTACCAGTGCTACCTGAGGTAAATAAAGAATAAACATGAAGCTTATTACAGCGGTCTTTTTTGAGGTAGACGTGAAGTAGAAAGATGTGTTTATTTTATGATGCAGGCTTGTTTGTCTTAAGAGGGACAATTGGCAACTATTGGACAAATCACATAAGCACGAAAAATTATACACCTTTCTGCGATTATCACAGAAATGTGTATAAATTAAAAGGTAATTAAAACAAATACAGGTATTGTATGTTTGTATTTAGGCCGCCTTCATGCAGTTCAGAAAGGTATCAAAATTGATAGTAAAAGCAGTGAGGGCAAATCATTCCTGTTGAAGCTAATGGACCAGCTTGAAAAGGTACAAAATATACTAAGATTATCAGTCAAGTTAATAAGTTACTTTGGTTTTGTTTTAGTGTGTTTTAGCTATTTTAAAATCAACTTGAATTCTATTTGAACCTACATTTTCACCCTCATGGGTCTTCACTGTATCACTGATGGGTGCATTATCTTTTGCTACCAGTCTTGAACAATAAAATGTAATCCTTTTCAAGTGAATTACATGTTATGTTTCACAGTAGGTAGAGTGGCTAGGATCGAGTGATAGGAGTGTTTTGGGAGAGACTTGGAGCTCTAGCTTAAATTTTAAATTTGTCTCTTCCCATCTCTTTTCATATGGTATTCTCACCTCATGTTGTTCTCAATCCTTTTACCTATGATAATGCTTTCCATGTCATTAGTTATAATTTGTACATGTCAAGCTAGTAAAATAAAAACCAATTAATGGGCCACTTAAAATTTGGTTCAACTATGTGACATTGGTAGATATAACTATATAATTATTAATTACGACTCTTTCTGGCTTTCATGTAATATATCAAACACGAGGAAGAGTGTTTCATCCGATATCCAAACACCAAGAAGTGGTTGAGAAAACGAGGCGCAGCCAAGTTTTTTTTAACCAACTTCAAGGTGTTTGGATATCGGATGAAACACCCTTTCGAATGTTTGATATAGCTTCTCAAACCATTAATAATTCTTGGAGAAAATCAAAGCAAAAGTTCACCAGATTTTATGATAATTAAGATCACATATCCAAACCTCCTTCACGGTTGTAATTTCCTTTGTTTTCTCAGCATGAATTATTAATGAGTTTGAGAAGTTCAATGTTGTTTTGCTCTAAGGGTGTTTACCCTTACACAATCAATTTTGGTTCAAATTGTTACAAGAAAAGTTAAACTGCTTTTTGCCAACTCTAAAGAGGATACCTCTAACCTGTGAACTTGCTGTCATGTTATTTAACTCTTTGACTCCCAAGATCTGATTGTAAATTCTCCCCTCTAGCTGCTACACATGTCCTTGTAAATTGGTTACGAGAATTTGGTGCTTGATCAAGGTAATATCTTGTACCTGATGAGTTTGAGTATTCTCAATACCTGTTTGCTGGATAATGTATGGATATTATAAGAAGAAGTTACATGTTAATCACTTCTGGGAGTTAAATGGTTAAGGCCCTTACTTCTATTTCACATAATGTCTAGTCTTTCATTTTGAACCTTTTTTTTTTAATTCTGGTAGAAAAAGAAAGAGTTAATTGAGCAGGGTCATGAAGCTGTTTCTGATGATAATATTTCCAAGATTCACATAGAGGAGAAAGCTGTACAGTTATTTTTGTGGGCAGACACTGAAGACCGTGCTGCAAATTTTAATAAGTAGGTTGATTTTTTCTAAATATTTATTTGAAAAGAGCATTCAAAACATTTTGACATTTCATTATTTGTATATTTCTTAGCTGGGGCACTGCTTGTGTGTACCTGTGTGTACCTGTGTGTACTGTTGGATAGTGAGAGATTATTTGAGTAAAGTAGCTTGCTTATGAGCACTGCAGAGTCCTGTCTCCTAACCACTGGCTTTTCTGCATCTTTTACCTTGAAGCAACATGAGGTTTTATTAAATTAATGTTTTTTTTAACATTCTTATGTGTAGCTTTGAACCAAGACTTCATGACTTTGAGCTTTGAGCTTTGTAACTCATTTTTATGCCAAGTGTTTTGAATGATCATTTGTGAATCTTTCCAGAAATGTTGTCAAGTCATTTTACACAGCCAGTCTTCTCTATGATGTTTTGGCACAGTTTGGAGAATTGTCAGAAGAGGTGAATGGAAGAGTTTACTTTTTAAAAATGTAATGTAATGAACTAAATAAGCTAGAATTATGTTAAACTAAGTGTCAAAGGTATTTTGCAATGCTTTGCTTTTGCTCTACGTCCCTGAACATGTAAATGGTCCAGAAAACCAAGCTTCTTTTTCAACAAATCCAATTCAAAATGAAAACCAATTGCAATATGGTCATTTGCATTTTTTTGTTTCTTTTTGTTGCACTCTCATTTAGGGTTGTCATCACAAAATCTAATAGATAAATGATCTGGAATGAGAAGGTGGCTGAAATGAATAATGCTTGGGTAGCAAGCAGGTGTGTGGTAAAGCAACATGCAAAATGGCCTCACAGCTGGTGTGTTTCCATCACCTTCTGGCTTTCAATGACATCCCTGCTCATTGGCACATTGTGGTATTCTTCTATCCTCAGCTTGACTGTTCTGATTGCATTGGTTTCAGCTTTACAATGCTCAATTGAAATAAGCTCTATAGCAACTGAACTTGCTTTCATATTTTGAACAGGGGTTTCAATAAAAGCCACATTTTGGCAGTTATCCCCACCTGTAAGACCTGTCGTTGCCCTCTGTTCAGCTTGTGAACAGCCTCTTGTCTTTGGGTTTTGCCTTATGACACAGCTGCCTTTTGCAACATCAGCAACCACTCATGGAAAAATTTATTGGAAACCCTGTTTGAAAGTTTGAAATGGTAAAGACCATGTCAAGAATAGTCCATGTAAACAGATTTTGAACTCAAACACAACATTTATTGTTTTTGCCTAAATTTCAGTAAGGATTCTCTTTGGGATTTTTTGCATCTTACCTGGATTGTTGATAAGCTTTTTTTACTCCATAGGCATTGCATCACTGTAAATATGCTAAATGGAAGGCAGCTTACATTCACAAGTGTCTGAAAAGCGGAGAAACACCTATGCCAGGTCCTGCTGGTGGAGATGATGAAAATCTGGGTGGGGAGGCTGAGGGAGGGATGGCGCCTTACCCTCCCTTAGGTCCTACCGACACACAGCAGCCTCCTTACCCTACCAACACACAGCAGCCTCCTTACCCTACCACCACAAGTGGAATACCAGGACAGTTTCCCTCTCAGCCATACCCTCCCGATCACACACATTTTCCAACACCACCTGCACAGCCGAGTGCACATCCGAGTGCACAGCCGAGTGCACAGCCGGTAAGTGTCTCAGCAAGAAGAGTTTCAACTTTGCTGCCCACCTTTTTTATGCCGATGACATGTTCAACTTGTCATGACATAAATTCGCGCTCTGCTCAAAAGAGTTAATTGAGTACATGTAATTTAGGGAAAAAATAAACCGAAAAAAAAGGGCATTTTCTTTGATGACGGCAATTTTTTTCACCCAAGTTACTAAACATCTGAAGGCAGACACAAAAACCGATATGCTTCATCTCGCTCGCTAACAATAGTAAATTAAACCATTTTTAAATTACTGATACTTTTAATCAATTTTTGTGTCAGTCTCCTACAGTCGCACCTGTCCACCCAGTGGTGCCACCAACTATACCGTCTTCGGCGACGCCGCCAACTAGCAGCTTATCTCCTGAGGATAACGAAAAGGCTCAGAAATATTGCCGCTTTGCCGCCAGTGCCTTACAATACGAGGACGTCCAAACAGCAGTCGAGAATTTGCACAAAGCACTGGCGTTGTTGCAGAAGTGACTTTCTTCGGTGGGTAATATGTCAGACGGCGAAATCTTAGCATTCTGTGTCATGAACCTAGGCACAAGAGAACAAAATTTTGTTGCAATGTTTTGTGTGGAGTCTGATTGATTTGAAATATCAGGGGGCAGTAAAGAGAAACTGATCCGGACAATTTACAAGAGAAATATACTCTTTTGAGACTGAAGGAATACGCTGGCATCTGTAATTATTTTTAACCTAAGGATACTGGAAATGACTGCAGCTAGTTTAAATAATTTATATAATGACCATCACTATGTGAGCCGTTCGACCCCGCGAGTTATTTTATTGAAAATCATTCAACGAAAGTCCCGATATGAGGGCTGTGCGCTATGACGTGAGAAGGACTAATGACCCTACGCTCCTTGTCCCTTGTAATACAGGGATATAGTGTAATCAAATTATTATAGTACCAGAGTAAACTTGCAAAATTTTCTGGAGAAAAGACTCAATCTTTCACCTCAATTTACTAATGGTTTTGCAAATAGATAACACATGAAACACTAGCGGACAACAGATGTTAAATTATTTGGTTTGTTTATAAATCGTAAGACAATTCTAAGCTTTCAGCAACAGTCCACAGAACAATGAACATTATTTTATTTCTGTGATATGCACGCAGATAATCATGCATTAAAAAGAAAAGATTACTTGAACAAGTGCGTTTGTTTTGATCACTCAATCATTTAGAAATATTACGTCCATAATAAAAGGAATGCTGACCAAAAGTTTGAATTATTTACCACGGTAAATTCATTATGGAGAGAAGAAAAATTTTAATTTTATAGGGAGTCCAAATCAATTGGAAGGAGCGGGGTATGGCATATCCGCTAGCCGTCTCAATCTGCGGGGAGTCTAAATCACATGGTCATGACATACGGACCTTGCACGACCTCGAGGCAAATATTCCCTCCAACCCATTTCAGTCAATAAGTGCATAATGTCATTGTTTCGTGTTCTCACCCCACGGATTGGAAGAACAGAGACCCTTGGAATACATCGTGTCAAGAGACGGTCGTCAATAAGTGGTGCTTTCTTTTGGTTCACTCTCGTTTAAGAAGCGAATGTCGTTGAAGGCCGCTTTGCACAGTGGTCAACTCCCCGTAATGAAAGTCGATCCACTAGCTACAGCCTGTCACCTGAAAGAGAAACGAAAGAAAAACGCCCCTCGAAAAGCCGTCCACGCCTATGAAATTGATGATGCGACCGAATCGAAACCGAAACCGAAATCCTTATTTGACTTGATTCCACTCTTAAAAGGGCACACAGCTTCTCTTCAAAGGGAATTCAGTCGAGGTCTATTCATGGTCGCCCCCTAACCGCTGCCGGATATTCGAGTTCGTTTTATCCTAATCCATCACTGACTTATTTACTCTTCTGCTCGGTAGTCGTGAATTGCCTAAGGACAGGAATATTTTTCCCTTTAAAAAGAGGAATGAAAATCAAGCGCTAATTACCACTCAATAGGGTCCTCAGCTGTCGGAGGTAAGCCTCTTCAGAATGGCTGAAAAGGTAAACCGGAAGTGATTTAGCATAGCTGATTCTCCGCCTCGTTGTCATCCGGGAGTGTCTGGGAGTGCATATTTTGGCACGTGACTATGTTCCAATATGGCCGCAGATTTCCACTCCTCAGTTAAGGAAATTGGTGATTTTGTGAAATATTTGGTTTATTAAAGCTCCTAATTCAATCACACAAGAGGCCTACGGTAGGAAAATGTTAATTGGCTCACAATTATTGACTTTTTGGCCCTTTCGAAGAATTTCCGTCTTTTACTGAAAGCGAAATCCACGACGACTTGCTGAAGAGGATATCGAAGTTGATCGCAAACTGGATGAAAACCTAATTCCTTCGCACATAATTGACTTTTTAAAGGTAAGAACGTAGTAAATGTGACATTTAGAGCTTTTCGGATTGTTTACCCGGATTATGTAGCTTAAATTACACATAAATTTGACCACTGAAAGGTGAAGTCGCGTGTTTGATATAAAAAATCTTGACTTACATGTTCCACTTTGGTAGGTATCAGATAATATTATAAGTGCAGTTTCTTAGTCGTAAATGTTTGGCTTGAATTCAAACAGAATTATTTTGTTCTCAGTCAATAAACAGGCCTTGATTCATCTTATTTCATTCCATTGTTACTTCAAGAACTTTTGTCAGCGGTGTACAGTTCGTGCTACTCGACAGAGCATATCTATTTTTTGCTAAATTTAGTAGTTCCTGTTTGAAACTTTGTGAATTAAGAGTCTCATAGAGTTTAGGGGAAAATTTCTTAATCGTTTAAATTAAACGACACATGTACTGTTACTTTTTAAAACTGAAAGTATTCAACTTAAAGTGTTAAATACCTGGCTATTTAATTTCACTCGCTGTATTGGTTTATGTATTGCTTTATGTGTCAATCTGAGTACTACCCCAACATGTCTAACTCGAATAAGTATGCTTTTGACATTGCTGATGTCGGAAGTTACTGCTGAAATCACTCATCTGTACACTTGAAAATGCATTTAGCATTTTACTGGTAAATTTAATAGTTAAATGCTGAAATAAAAACATCCTTGAACTTGTATTTGTTGCATTGGCAATATACACCAAGAATATTGATGACAGAAATGCAATACATGTTGATTTTTTCTTTTCAAAACAGCTGCATAGTAGGAAGCCCTCAAAGGTTGTTCATAACTTCTCTATGACTTGATAACCTTGTGTAAAATCGTACACTAACATTCCTTTCAATAGAAATGTATTTCCCATCAGTAAAAGCAGTTTGTCAGTCAGATAGATGCCTTCTTATACACAAGAAAGCTGAAGTACAATATTGCTTTATGTAAACACTGTTTGGCACTTCATTTCATCCACGATTTATAGATATGAACCGCACTTTGCTTGTTGAAGAAGGAGATGATGAAGTTGCCAATAAACAAGATAAGAAAAAGAGAGAAAAAGAAAAGTTTGTAGAATCAGCAGGTACTTTACAAGACAGTGTGTATTGTTTAACAAAAAGTCTTCAGTATCATGTTATAGTTTATGCCTAACCATTAACACCCTAACATCAGTATGCACATTCTCCCTACTGTCCTCAGTACATTTCTTAAGGTCCTGACATGGAGAATTTGCGAACAATCAAGAGCCCCTTTAATTGTTGATCATTTCTTTTGTTCACGTATCTTTAATGATTGATTCTGGGTGATTTGTCAGGAGAAATTAGATGCTATCACTCTTAGGAGAAAAAGGTTTGATGGATGCATATTATGGCAAAGCTCTTGAACCTCATGTTGTCTTAATTTTGGGCTACATTTCTCTGCATACACTTGTATCCTGAAATTTACTAGAGTACTGGCATATCACCCTAATTGCTGTATTCCTAACAGTACTTTTCTCTTGAAAAGTACACTTTGGAAAACATTGTATTGGATTACCATCCTGATTGGTACAAAGCTAAGGAATAATTTTTTTTCTATTTGCAAAACAGACAAAAAGAAAAAAATGACTTTTAAGAAAGCAGATGGTAAGAAAGATGTGCACCATAACAGTTCAATAACAGGCTCATCTAAAGTACAGCCAGCTGAAATGGTTGATATGGCTGCAGTGAATCCTGATCCCGATGGTATAACATCACCAGTGGGATCCCCGGCAGTTACTGTTCCAGGAACAGGTGTTTATCCAGGAAACATTGTAATTCCACCGCCACCCAGATCTACAGCAATCCAACAAGTTCCCTCACAACACTTGCAGCAGAGAGGAAACTGGCCACAGCAGTCACAACAGCAAATGCCTGCTGTCTATATGGTACCTGCACAGCAAGCTCACTTTATCACAACACCCTTCCAGTCCCCAGGACCCCCACCTCAGCAAATATCAGGACAATTTGTTACACAATCATACCAGCAAGGTCATTATGCCGGGGCACAATATCACCAGACTGTCCCTGTTGGACCTCCTGTTCAAGGTGTTGTGTACAGTGGTCAAGTAATTGCAGGATCTCACCATGGCAATGTGCTCGCAAGAACTCAGTCCCTGCCTGTTTCTACAGGTAAATTACACATATTGTCAGTATTTTTTCCATCTTATCATTGTTCCAAATCATAATATTTATAAAATTACAGATTTTTTAAATAAACTTTATTGTTTTGGTTAGGTGAACAGATACAGAGTTCAGGGCAGCCTGGTTGGGCAGTGAAACCCCCAGCAAGTCCTCCACCCCTAAATAATGCAGTAATAACTTACTGTAATAATTTGCCCTCAGATCATGAAAGTCCAAGGTTAATAAATTATATTCTCACACAGTGTGAGCAGATGATCATAAAATGATCAATCATTGATTATGGTTAGATGAAGATTAGGGATGGTTTTTAGTTATCACTTATTAGTTGTTATTATGTTCTTAATCAAAAAACTCTTATTATGTATTCACAGGTTACAAATAATTTGTTCTCAATTAGTTCTCAATCATACTACTCATTTTCAGGGACATGGATGCAAGACAAAAATAATGCAAATACAACGAACAATACACAGTGGGCAGCATTCCCTCCAAGTACTTCTCTTCAACAAGTACCTGTCGTCAATGAACTGGATGAAGAACACAGCTCCAGTGATGAAGATGTTGATCGCAGCAGTTCTCCTGAGCTTGCGGGTGAAGAGGGTGAAGTTCTCCTTAGGTATGTTTTGTACTACATTTACTACATTGTTCATTGTACCACATGATTTTTAAAGTTATATTTCCTCCTTCAGAGCTCCATCACTGGCGAGTTTTGCAGAAAGTGTCAGCAGCATTGAAGAGGAATCAGAAGATAATGTGTGGTGCATTTTGCCTGATCAAAGAGAATATTACACAAAACAATTTCTAAGACTGCAACCAGCTATAGATGGTGTTGTGAAAGGTAACAACAGAATTATTAATAATCCTGTTCACTTTTGTCAACAATTGTGGGAAATAACATTATATGCAGTCTATGACTTGCCCTATAGGAAGGGAAGGGCTGATTCAGATTGGTAATTTTATGCACATCTTTTGCTTAACAGTGAATGGCTGTCATGAGAATGGTCTTGTTAATGTATAATTGTGTTAATAGTAATATTACCTTTGTGAGCACAATTTGTTAATTTTTTATCTTGGCATTGTAGGACCAAGAGCAAGGGATTTTTTCATGAAATCTGGCTTACCAGTTGAGGTGCTATCCAAAATATGGTATGCAACAATGAATTGTTGGCAGTTGATCCATATTTTCTGGGATGGTATGGCAGTTATGTGAATTTATGATTTTCTTGTGTACTCTTTTAAGGCACTTGTCAGACCTCAATAAGGACAATGCTTTGAATTTGGATGAGTTCTGCATAGCAATGCATCTTGTTGTAGCTATGCGACATGGCCTGGAACTGCCACTGACCTTACCTAAGGTCTTGTTACCAGAAAAGAGTGAAGGTATATATGGCATCTCTGTGCTATTGCAAAACTTAATGGTTATGAGTTGATTTTAAATGTGGGTGATTGTGTGGTTTCCAAACACCTCACTGTAAAATATGAACTGGCATTGAATGAGTTACTAATTTCCAGAATTCAGAAGACTAATGAGATTTACTCATGGAGACAATTTCAAGAGGTGCCAGGAAAAAGTGCACAACAATGATAAGTTTTGGAATCATAAATATCAAGGATTTTTTATTATTATTTTTTTTACCTTGAGATGAAGAATCTTCTTTAATAACCTTCATTAAAAGTGCTACTTTGAAATTAAAAATTTTAGTGATTTAAAAAAAAACACTATAATTAAATTGAAAAATTAAGATGCAAATCCAAGACAAGATTTCTAAGTTCAATATGCGCTGATCACATTTTGATTGAAAAGAAAACGGAGTTGAAATAGGTAAAATGTTACAGTGTAAAAGAATGAGCTCCATTCTGTTCAGTGGTCAAAATTATCAAATTGAAGTAAGTATCCAAAATTGTTGTTTATTAAGCTGTAAAAAAGTGCAACCTTTATTGGGATAGGGCAAATAATTTGCATGCTATTTTAGTTTGAATGAAACTGCTACATTCTCCAAAGGGGCAGAGACAAGGAAAACTGAAGGTGATTTTTGATAGACTGGTAGTTTTTCCTTCTCAATTGACCTGCATTCTTTAATGCACTGGGAAAGGAAAGTTTTGTCAAAAGTCACTTTATGCTTTATTCTGCATATCCCTTCCTTTTTTCATGACAATTTCTAGTGGATATGTGTCCAATTGATGTGCCACCTCAAACAGATGAAGGTGAAGAACCAGAGAGTATAAGAAGGAATGTTTCCTCACCAGAGGTACATCATTGTTAGTACTGTTAGAAATGATCACACCTAGGATAGATTACTAACTGTGACACCTGCATGTAAGTTACACCTTGCAATTTGGCACTTTTATAATTAAAAATATTTAGGCAAGAAGGAAATTATCCCTTTTTGTTGGTGTAATCCCCTGTGGGAGTCAGAAGGAAGAGAAAAATATTTTGATGCCCCTTGAACTCTGAGTTCATAGCATGTCAGGACCATATATCTCTTATTGATTTCTATTGACATCTGTAATGAATTACTGTTAGTTTTCATCATCCTTAAAACCCCTTGGGAAAAAGTTTAATGAACTCTTCTGGAAAGAAATTTGTAAAGGCAAACATGGGTGTGCTGTGGTTGAATTTTAGATGTCTCTTGCTTGAGGCAGAATTGGAATGTAAGATTATGTGGAGAAATTTGTCTGTTTACTTGTTAAATGATAGCACTATATTATACATGTTTAATTTTGTTGACATCATTTTTGATATAGAAAGTTTGTCTGTGGTATTGTCTATGTCACATTGTTTGCACAGAAAACTTTTTGATTGGGTGCCAAGAAATCAGAAATATAGTAAACACTGTAGTAATTCAGGAAAAAAATCATCATACTCATACTCCCAAAGACTGGCTTAACACACTGTCAGAAAACTAAGGCCTGATTTACTTTAGTTTTTCAGCAAATTGTAGGGAAGGATGGCAAAAGTTTTGCAGACTAGTCACAGGACATGGTGAATTAAATGCAAGGCCTTTCTGATTGATTTTTCACTCAATCAAACATTTTTCTTAAGAAATTATCTGTGTTTGCACTAACAGTTGCAATGTACAGTGATTAATGATGTTTTTGTCAGTATGCACTGTACCCATTATTTTGCACTATCTGTCTGCACAGCACTGGTTACGTTTTAGTGGTTCCTCTGGAAGCACTGCACAGCACACTAAGTTTAACAACTTGCCTATGAGGAGGAAAGCAGTGAGTAAACTTAAACATTGTGAAAACTAAAAAATGTTCTAAGTTGTAGTTTATTTCCTTAGTTTTTAATTTTTAAAGTTTGCTCTTTGCTTGAAAGTGCACAATGGGCTGTACTTTTATGTTGGTGTTATGTTAATTTTTGGTAGCTGTCAGTTGTTCAAGCCTCACCATCACACGGTACCCTCAAGGAAAGTGAGGACAGTGCTGGAAGACCCAGGTCACTGTCAGATCCAGCTTCTGTTGAGGATGCTTCAACAGATGGCCAATCAAGCAAAATAATCAACCTTGGTAATCCTGTGAGCCCTCTTCAAGTCAACATGCCAAGTACGCCTGCTCAGCAAGGTGATGTGCCACACACTGGACCTCTTAGTCCCACCCACGTTACAGCAGAGATAGAGATAGCACGACCAAGAGCAGCAGTCAAACCTAGCCTTCTTGATGCCCTTCCAGGGCAGCTGCTCCCCCCTCCATCTGGAAAACAAGCCCGTGATGGCTGGACACCCACTAATAAATTTATTTATCAGGCATCACCTCGTCAAAAAGATTCTAGCTCCCCTGAACCTTCCGAATCACCTCCCTCTTCACCTGAAGAAGACACTCCTACTTCACCACTTTCCCCTGAGGGAATGAGGACACCTTCACCTCCTCCTCTGGCACAGGAGGAACAGGAAGAGGAAGAACCTAAGGAGGAAGCCGGAAAGGAAGAAGTAGTCTATCGAGTGAATAGGAGAAGCGGTGAGAGGCCGAGGTCGACTGGAGATGTGAAACTTAATACTAAAAGTGATTCTGGTTTAGTGACAACACCAGTCGAAGAAGAGGGTCAGATTTCTGTGTCTTCAGAAGGAAAGAAAGATCCACCTCCCCCACCCCCTAGGAACAAGAAAGGTCATTCAAGATCTTCTTCGTTGGATCTCAATAAGCTCTTTGCTACGAAAGCCAAGGAAAATAGAGGTATAGAAATTAATTCCTGTCTGCTAGCGTCTCAGTAGAAATGTCTTGCTTTGTTGTTTATCATCATTCTGTAAATACTGCATTTTTTGCTGTGCAAGGACCTTAAAATTTAGAGCTCCTTGGCATTCCTTATCCGACGCTTTGTTGAGGTAATAAATGCTTGATGAAACGTTTGGATCAGTTTCAAACGCCACAGTCGCTCAGTTTATACAATACACTACTTCGCGGTATGTGAAACATTTTATTACTTCTGTCTAGTCCAGCGATATTCGATACGTGTTTTGTGCTACTGTTAGAAATATGTTATATCGATAACGTTTTACATTTTTAAATTGAAAGCCTCTCTGTTCACAAGCTTTAGTAATGATATCGTTCCTCTTTATAGCGACCGTGAACAGACCTACGGAATGTTCTTTCTTTAATCTGCATATTTTGACATTTCCGTGGTATCAGAATTTCTCGAGTTATCAGCTCAATATTTTTCTTATTATTTTATAGGAACACCACCATCACCGTCGTCAAGCTTTTCCAGTCAGGTGCGTGAATACGGTTTTGATCAAACTGGCAAAATTACAGCAAGCTTGGTTAAAAATTAGCTTAAATATTCCATGCGTCAAATACATGGTTTCAAAAATAGTTCTGTATTTTCAGACGAGTGACAGTGCAGCGCCAGCAAAGAGCGAACCTAACACACCCAGACACAGAAAAGAGAATAGTGCCGAACAAGAGAAAGTTGTAGCCGACCAGGAAAAAGTAGAGAAACAGGAAGATTTTGCTGACTTCAGCAGATTTGAAAGTTTTGTGGAAGCACAGGAAGGCGAAGGCACACGTGGTTCATCCACTCGCCCCGGGATTCATAGGCGATCATTTTCACTCGACCACTCACATGTAAGGGTTTAAGATTTTCGTTTATCCCTGTGTTATCTTTCTCACTGAGATACGCGCACTTTTTTGTGAGCTTTGTTAAATGCGTTACCGTAGTTACCTCTATTGCTGAAGGTCAACTGCCAAAAGGCAGCATGCTGGGCAATGGAAAGCAGCGACTGAATTTAACATCTGCTTATGAAATAAACTTTAACAAGGTCACGCCGAGAATTTTCTTTTAATGTTGAAAATAAGAAGATTTCTTTTTGTTTACATTCCTTGCCCTAGGAGGTAGGGTGGTCTCGCGCAACTCCTGCTCAGAAGGCTTCAAATGAAGGTGAGGCATGAAGAAGTTTTGGCTTAAGAATTTTTGCAATGTGTATTCCGTTATTTTGGTTTAAGAAGAACACTTGCTATGTGTCACTTACTCTTAGTTCTTCTGTTCTTTAGGAGTCACGACAGCAGCAAGCAGAACAACTCACGCCCAGGAGGCCTTACCACGGCCAGTTCCGAAGTTGGTACGTGTCATTTAATCTACTATTATTGCAAAAGGTGATGTGAAGTTAGATTAGATCTCAGTAGGCATGGGGAGGTGTGCTTCTAAAAGTAGCTGCCCAAGTCTCAGACTGCGCATCCTAGCACCTAAAGTTTGTAGCCACACTTCAATTTCACTTCATTCATTCACTCCATTTCTAACTCACCAAGATGTCAATAACTATGTTCTGTTTTTCCTCTTTAACCGCCATCTTCAGAAACCTCCAAGTCCTCCAACATTAAAACAAGGAAGAAGAGTAGACAAAGATGGAGAAAAAGAGAGAAAACTTAAAACGGAACCGCCAAAAGTTGTAGTAAGGTAAAACTTTGTCCGTCTTCTACTAACACAGTCATAAATGGTACCTATAAATTAATCATGTTAAGCATTTAATTTATTTATCAGCTCATTAGTATGACATGCCCTCGTCCATTCCCCACAAAGGAGATTGCGCGACGTACTTTTATAACCAATTTACAGTGGCCTCGTAGTTCAAAGGAAGGAATAATAAGTTATAGTTTTCGGCGAAATCCCTTTTTTCATGTTAACCGTCGAACCTTTGATACTATTGCTTGCATTTGACATTTTTCTCTTCTTCGTAGGCCACTAACCAAGGAAGACAAATTAAATTCGAGAATAAATGATTTGAAAGAAAAGAATGCTGTGCTATCTAAAGTTAACAGTGAACTTCAAGAGGAACTGAAAACGGTAGGATTATGATGAGTATTTTCCGACGACCACTATATAATAAGACTGAGCATTCCTCTCAGTAGTCTTTGCCTTGAATTCTTTCGAGAAATATCTCTCGCTCATCATGAGTTTCCCTTTTTGTTTTCTTCATAGATGATGGAAAATCGAGCAACACTGGAGCTTAAACTTGGAAAGCTCAAATCAGATTCAACGCAAAAGGGATGAAAACGCGAATAAATGAAACGAAGAACGATACCTCCAAAAAAGATTTTATCCTCCTGCAATGTTAAATAAACGAAAAAATTTTTTCGAATTAACAGCATTGCTGATATGTATATTTTCTTGACATTTCCATGTTCAGAATAACTAAAACCAACTTCCACCCTTCTACTAATTACATTTTAATGCATTACTTTTTTTTATCTTGCTTTTAGATACGAACCGGTAAGTTAAGAATTTTCTCTATAAGCCACATTCTAAAGAATTATATTATATATAAGAAAATCTAAAAAAAATATCATTGCGATACATAATGGTAGAATTTCCAAGAGATGATTAAAGATTAGAATCATTTTGAAAACTGTTTCAACTCATTTCATTTGTATTCGAAACATTTCGGCACTTGTGCCTTGTTCAGCGAGCCAACATCATCCTTCAGGCTGTCCGAGCCACATTGCATTATAGGAGTCACATAGAAACAGCAGCCATTAAGTCACGGTGTTTGAAAATGTGCAAGTATTTTGGTATAGCTCAAAACAGAATATTATATCAACGAAATACCAACGAAATACCCGTATAAGATATTAAGCTTTTTAATCCAAAAGTCTTAGGTTTCCTTTTACATTTTTCTGTGAACTTTTCAATATTTTACTATTCTACTGTACAGACTCTGGGAAGCTGCAGTAACCGAGCCAGATATGGCACTACTAGCACGAAGACCGCAATCTTACGTAGCAACTGGCATATTTTTTTTTTCGGTGTTTCTGCTCTTCGTATCTTCATTTTAAATTTTTTTGCTTTATTTTATTGCTTTATTCTATGGTTCTGGCTAAAAAATAAACAATCACGGCGGAATTATGATTTGCGTAAGCCACTTTCTTGTCTGGAAGAGCTACGTCGCAGTTCGTGTCTAGTGGAAAATTCATCTTTTACAGACATTCTCGTTCCCTTTTTAACTTGTTCGCATCTCTTGAATGTTCACCTATTTTGGGAGATGATTTTCAAGATTGCCTTTAATTTTGAAGCAAGTTACTCCAAATAAATCCGTGACATAGAAATAAAATATAGATTTAGCTAAGCCTAAAAGCGGAGCTCGCATTTTTTTTATTCCCGCACGACTCAAGGGCACAACGCCTTGCCCCGGCCAGGACTAGAACCCAGGTCGTCCGACTCGGAGCCTAGTGCACTGACCACTGGACTACTGGAAAAAACCGTAGCGTTGGCGTACCCGCGGTACAGTTGACCACGCATGATAAAAGTAGCACCTTGTACGGTCGTACGGTTGTACATCCAAATTTTTTGGCTTGATGGGTTACTACTATTTTGTATAATTATGGGGCTACGCTCTGCGAGCTCCGCCATAAACCAGAGCCTTAAAAAACGTTAAAGGCCCATTTTCAACCTTGATGCAACGCGCGCCGCGACCCAATTTCCTGTAACACGAAATTCCCAGATCACTGAAAACCTTCTAAAATCGTCTTTCTCAAGAGCCATCCTGGACATATAGTCAACTATTTTACGGTTAATACATTCGCCGTTCGTCATTTTACAGTTTCCTAACAGTATTTTGAATTTGTCCAGAAGAATCCGAGGAAAGTGTCACGCTTGGATCTCTTCGTACTTTGTGAACAGAGTCGGCGAAAAGGACAACGTTCAAATTTTTTCACTCTCTAGAAGCGCTTGAATATTCTAAATGAAGATTAAATATTTTCAGTAGAAATTGGTATTTTAAACAGAGAAATATGGAAAAATACCAGACTGCCGGACGTTTAGTTAATTGAAGACCGTGTCCGGTAGTGTCCGGTGAAAATTTTCTTTGTGGCATGCTTGGATCTCTTCGCACTCTGTATACAAGGTCAGCGAAACGGATAACGTTGGCATTCTTTCACTTTCTAGAAGTGCTTGAGGATTGTAAATGAAGGTAGAATATTCTCCAACGAAAAATTGGTATATTTCAAAGAGAAATATGGAGTTAGTTGAGGACCGTGTCCGGCCGTATCGCTTGGATGGCTTCGTACTCTGTATACAGGGTTAGCGAGAAACATCAAGTTCGAAATTTTAGGCTGCCTGGAAGCGCTTGAGGATTGTTAATAAAGGCAGAACATTTTCGTATAAATATTTTTTGGATTTCGAAGAGAAATATGGAAAAATATCGGACTACCGGACGTTTAATTATTTTAAGTTTAGTCATTTCATTGCAGGAACGTCAGCGCCACTGAAAGTTTCCGTTACAATTCTTATCTGCTGCTCTGCATGGACAACACCCTCGACCACTATCTCAAGCGCAAGTTCTTCTCGACGGACAGGAAACTTCAACTGACCCTTGGTCCTATTTAACAACAATGGCAAACTTCAATGAAAAAAAATTGATGAATGAATGAAAACGTGGTGGATCAACATTTTCACCTTCTTCGAAATGCTCGCAAGGATTTTCGCGTTCCTCTTTAGCAACAACCAATCCATAAGCGTTTACTGCCTCGGAATCTACTAAATCAGTGGATTCATCTGATTCCATACCGGATTAGAACGTATAGAAACGTTTTAAACAGAATTATTTTGATAAGCTCTTCAAATTCATCGGAGAAAACGCAGAAGGTATTTTGAGAGGTGACAAGGTAAAAATAACTGACCAATCAGAGGCGCGATTTAAACAAAAGCGGTGGTTCGAAACAAAAACAAACGACCGCGTTGCATCAAGGTTGGAAATGGGCCTTTAATCGAGCGTGCTATGCGACCTGTCAGCAGGTATTTATATTTTACCACCTCCAGAAACGTGACATCTTTTTTCCTCAATTTAAAAAGCATAAAGCAAACCTATATTGTCAGGTACTCAGACCATTAACAGGATGGTAAATCTTCACATCTTGTTAGTTTTAGGAATTAGTCTATATGCCTACTGGATGGGAATTGTAAGTACTTTTAAGGTACCAAAACCGACCAAAACCCAAGCAAAATGGCTGGATTATGAAGTGGGAGCGATTGTTCATTTCAATATGCAAACGTTTAACCGCTATATGAAGCCAGGTAACAAAATTTCTCCTTTAACAATGACGTGTTTATGCCAGTTACTGTGTGTTTTGCTAAACGGGTCTGTGAGGAATTTTTAGGGAAAGAATCGAATGTTTCCTTTAGTAATAGTTTCGATTTCATAACAAACCGAAAAATACCCTATTGTTTGTACACTTTGATTTTGACAGCTGGGCAGATTTTACTGAAACTCCGAGTGCAGGCGGAAAATAAACTAATTTCTTGTCCAGTGGAAATAGTTTGTTTTTTCAATTTTCCGTTTGTGTGACAATCTTGTTATTCGCCTTTCCATCCAGACCAAATTATGTCGCCGGACTAGTTTGGAAAGCCCTTGAGTTGTTTTCACATTCCATTGTTACGCTGCTCAGGGGATGCAAATATCAATCGAAATACGGCTTTAAGGAAATGATCAGCGTCTGATAGAGGCAAGGATCATTATCACCTAGTACCTAGTACTAAGAACAAGTCCCTTTGCCTACGTAGCAGGCCGTTGTTTAGAAGTGTGTCGGTAACAAGCGTGAAAAGAGACGCACAGAAAGGAAGTTCTCCCTGTTTATCATGTCATCTAAAACATATTAGGTAATTAAGTGTTAACAACTGAGTTGAAAACGTAAATTGGCCACAGTAAAGAGTAAAAAAATTGACGTTTCGAGCGTTAGCCCTTCGTCAAAGCGATAGATTCGCCAATCGCCAATCGCTCAGACGAAGGGCCAACGTTCGAATCGTCAGCTTTTTTTACCCTTTACGGTGGCCAATTTAGCAACAACTCAGTTGTTAACACTAAATTACCTGCTATACTCTCCCACCGACGCAGCACCACAGTTTCTTTAGAAACTTACCCCTTTATCCATTCATCTAAACCATATTGTATGTTTGCTAGGTCATGTTGTGCCCGTGGACACTTTCAACCCAGAAGAGCTTTCAACAGATCAATGGCTTGAGGCAGCTAAGAGTTTCGGTGCCAAATATATCCTTTTTTCTATCGACCACTTCAGCGGGTTTCTCATGTGGCCTACTGCAACAGACTACAAATACTCCGTTAAATACACAAAGTGGAGAGACGGAAAGGGAAACGTCCTGGCTGACTTTATCAAGTCCTGCCGAAAATATGGTTTGGAATATGGATACTTTTATAGTGTGCATAATAATTGGTACATGGGAGTGGATAATTACACCACTGGTGTTCCTGCAACACAAGAGTACTATAAAAAGGTTGTAGAAGAACAAATGCGTGAATTGTTTAATGCTACCTCTCCATATAAAGACCCTTTTTACATTTGGTTTGATGCTGGTATTGTCCCAAAAGTGAGTCCTGATATCGGGCCAATCATACGTGAGTTAGCCAGTAACTCAATCTGTGACGAATGTCCCACGTTTTCTGGTAATCAAGGATTACACTGGGTTGGTAACGAAAAGGCGTTTGCACCTTTACCACAGTGGTACGCCGTACCCAAAGGAAAATGCTCTGAGAAGACACCAGATGGTGAGTTAAAAGTCTTGTCACCAAACTGGTCATTTCCATGTAAAAACTCCAGCTTACTGGCTGTTTCTGGTTGGAATTGCAACTTCAAAGAATTAAACATTGAAAAAACATAATCTTATTTGGAATCATAAGGTTTCATTTTTATTTTTCCCTTCTGTTACAGGTAAAATAATTCAAGGAAGCCCGTATGGTCAGCTGTTCTGTCCCGCAAACTGCGATACCGTTATTCGTGAACACTTTTGGTTCTGGCAACCTGACACGGAGTACTCGGTGAAAAGTGTCCGCAGACTTTTGAGTGAATATCTAACAAGCGTGGGTCATGGATGTACATTGATTCTGAACCTCAATCCCGATACCCGCGGGCTGGTACCCGAGGAGGATCGTAAGGCATACGAGAAACTGGGAAAGGCGATTGCACTGTTATACAAAGATCCTGTTAAAAAATCATTCAAGCCTAGATTAAAAATTGGAAAGAAGAAAATTTGGAAGTTTACAGCATTTAGAAGTCTCAATGGTTCTGTTATCCTGATGGAAGATATTGAGAGATATGGTCAATTAGTCATGAAATATGAACTAAAGCTGAAAACTAAAGACGGTTGGATTTCGACTCCAGAGTTGGGAAGCACCATAGGACATAAAAGAATTCATCCTTTTCCAAAAGACTTGGCAAATAAAACTGTCTCTGCAGTTAGCCTAAGGATCAATAAACTTGTTACAAAGAGAAGATCTATAGTATTAAGAGAAGTTTCTGTTTACAATTGGAATGAAGCAGCGAAGCCCGGTAAAAATTTGATTTAACGTCTGTGTCTTCAAGTGTCAATAGATTATTTTGAAATTATCTGTAAAATAATGGTTTCGTTGGAAAAGAATGAGAACAACTCAGATTGTCATGGCCAGAGTTGAGTTACGTTCAGTGGGCATATTATAGCAATAAATAAGCGCGGAAATTTGAGGAGCATCACAAAGTACTCCATACTAATTTTTCACCGTGTTAGTACTTTTCAGCTAACGAGCTATATAATAGTCTCGTCCCAAATATTTTATCATCCACCGCAATAAATCTCTTTCCATCATTTCCTTGCTCGGTTGTTTTGGTAAAATGCGCTAGGCTATGGCAGCGCTCACGATCTTACTCGGGGAGAACTGGGCTCTAAGAATGGTCACCGCCGTTAAGATTTTGTTTGTTGTGGTTTTTGAAGTCACTGTACATATTTCGGCATCTTCGGCTTTTTTGGGATATTTTTGTTACGAAATGAATCGATTGGAACCCAGAAAGCATAGTCCAGCTAAAGTTTTTGCTGAGTTTACTTCAATGGGTGAAAATGAGGGTGTAAATCCGGAAAAAATGGACTCGAAACTCGAAGGAGCGTTTGACAATAGACGAGAAATTCAGATATTCGAGACTGGAGAAGTAACTCTTCCTCCTGATAAAGCTAAGGTTTCGATTGTCTGTTCCAATACCAAGGTAAGCGACTAAGGCGAATTTGTATAATTATATTGATGAAGGGATTAACTGAGAGGTAGTTCTCAGTAAAACTGCGTGTTTATTCGAAAGCTGAAAAACCTGATGCACAGAGAAAACGAACACGGTTTTACCTGCAAGTAGCTTATTGCTGTGACTGGAAGTTGTTTAATTTTTTATCTATAGGAATCTGTGGAGGAGGTGAAGACAAGTGTAAATCGCAGAGTCGACTACGTTCTGCAGACTTTGAAATCTCATCATGTCAAAGACTTTATCGTTCACAAAATTTTAAACAGAATCAATAACCTATATCAAATGGAAATTGAAGTAGTTGTAGAATTCAGTGATTTCTCCAAGTGTGAAGAAGTGTGTAACCTGCTTGTGGAAAAGCTCGATGAAACAGTGAAAGTATCAAGTCCTGTGCTATATCACACAGCTAGCAAGCTTGAATCATTAAGGTAAGATAAAGGATGCAGTCTACTTGCAACACGACCCACGCACTGAAACTTGCAAGCTCAAACTGGAAGAATCTTGATACTGACTACCTTATTTCCAAATTAAAACAGGAATCTCTACAGTAACTTATTTATGTTTACTAAATATATTATTGAAAGCCTTACCTTGGACCCACATTCACCTTAGCTACCTCAAGGGCTGTAATACTGCAGTGCACTCACAGAAGTGACAATCGAGGTCTCTCTCCTTACAGCATCTAGTTTCTCCTTTAAGTGTCACCTCTTAATCAAACATTAAGGTCATTAGAATTTTGGAAACGATCAAAAAGTACAGGAGCTCTTGATTGTTAAGCAAAATCTCCTTGACAGCACCTTAGGAAAAATATAGACAGCATGGAGAATATGCATACTGATCTTGGGGTGGAAAAGGCTAATATTATTATATATTATCAACCCAAAATAAAAGTAACGGGTAGAAAAAAAAATTACGAAAAAGGGATTTTTTTGGTTTTCAACACTAACTTCTCAGAGCCACAATCACAAGAATTGCATAAGATACATACTGTAGAGAAGTTTTATCAGGATCTTTGGAGTAAAAAGGTTGAGAACTGCTTGCAGTGATGTCATTGTCAACTAAATCAGTAAGCTGTGGGATTCTTTGAGTGTAGTGCTTCCAGGGATAGGTAGATCATGGATCATGTGCTTTTTAATTATGGATTATAAGAAACCAACTTGAAGGTCATGTTGCTTAGAAGGAGAAGGCTGCCCTCCTCAACTCTTTCTTTGCTAGTCCCTCTCCAGTCAAAGTGTGTGCACTTAGTCTGCAGATTCAGAAATCCCCTAACCCCCGACTAACAGAAAAGGCAAACTTTTTCCATATTTTATTTATCATTTTGCTTCAGACGGCAAGCCTGTGTTTGTGCAGTCAGAAATGCAAAGAGCAAAGCTCTAGAAGTTGTTCAAATGTTCAACCAATCGCTTGGACCACCAATCCTGATACGAGAGGAGCATTATGAAGAATTTGTAGGAAACAGTAGAGAGATGTCAATTGAAAACAAGGATATGGAACAACTGACTTTTCAAGAAAAGGTTGCTGTAGCAACAGTTACAGTCACTGTCAAGATCTTTACAATATTTGAGATAAGAGAAAAAATGAAAGCACGCAAGCAGAAGTGAAACATTGAATGCCAGACAGAACACTGAAGGATGGTAGTATTTATATATTATCAAGACTGTATTTTCAGCATCCTACTAATTTAAACTTTTTAAAAAATGAGGTACATATAATTTTTACTATAGTCTTAGTAGAATATTTCAAATAAAATATTTAGCTGAACAACAGAAGTAATTGACTAGTATTTAAAGAATATTATTGCATAAATTATTACATACAGGGAAAACCTAATTTCAACCTAGTTCCTACTGACTAAAGGTTTCTAGCTTTCTTAGCTCGCTTCTGACACTCAAATTGAGCGATAAAGGGAAAGTGGATCAAAGTTGTTGGTGTGCATATGCCTAACCCCAAGTAACTAATCAGTTTTTCTGTCGCAACCAGCTTGCAGAACCTTTTCCTAAAAATTCCTGCAAAACTGGAGAGGAAAAGGTATAAATTGAAGCCTGGGGAAACAAGATTCTCTTCTAATTTACATTTGTTAGATCTCCTCCATTTCTACACTACTTGCATGGACCTGAAATGGGTCTTCAGGTAACAAGTTTGGTGTTTGATCCAAGAGTGTTCTTAGTTACAACAGAATAATTGACTAACTATGGTTACAAGTATTTCACCAAATACCTGTTACACTTAGAATTCAATGAAAATTCATAGGTTCTAGAATACCAACGTTGGACTGGAAATTTTACTGCTTTTGTTAATTGAAGCCATGAGCATTTTTCTTTTTGACTTAATTCATACTGTCCAGTTCTTGGAGGAATAGTTCCATTCTCTCTGATGATATCCTTCTGTAGCCTTCTAACTAAGTTCAGATTTGTGATGCATTATGAGTTCTTTTTCTCTCCCTTGGAACTCCATGCAGTAATGAGCTTGTTTGCGTAATACAAACTGATTCCATGAAATTGAATCAGGAAAGCTGATAATGCCATTTTCATTGGTGCCATCTGATGTTCCTGGGTAGCTGGTGCTCTTCCTTGACTAACATTATAGAAGATTTCTTGAACCATTACACAAGCACCAAATGCTAGAGGACCAACTCCAATAAATAATGTTGCAAATGCATAAATGTAAAGTTGTTTGGTATTGTTCTTTGGAAGGCTTAGAAGCCCTACAATTGTAGGTAGAGCACTCAATAACCAGGCTGCCTGCCAAAGTTTTGGTTGATCTTTAACCATTCTGTGAATCACATAAATGCAAATATTCAGTTTAAAATCTTGCAGGTGTTTAACCTCTCAACTCTAAAAATTCCAACCTGGTCTATTTCATAATTCTTGATTCTAGCTGCAATACCTTTTTTACTATCACTAAATACCCACTTATATGCCATAGAATTTGTTCTTTTACCTCATTACAGACAAATCTATTAGTAGAGTGTTTCTTAAATGTTAAGAAAAAATTAATTTAAAAAAATTAATTAATTATTTTGTTAAATGAAGCTGTGGATGACCTTTCGAGACAAGCAAGTCTCGATGGGTTCCAACTGAATGAGGCCAAGTGCAAAGAACTTTGAATTGGTTTTTCCAACAGCAACCACGATTTCGAACCCCTAGTTCTAAATGGCAAACCCCTTGAACTAGTCACCAGTGCCAAATTGCTAGGCGTGACCATAAGCAATGATTTAAAGTGGAACATGCAAACCTCTGAACTAATTAGAAAATGTTCCTCTCGTCTCTACTTTTTACATCAACTCAAGAGATCTGGAGTGGCACCAAGTGAACTGGTGCAATTCTATGTGACATATATTAGGCCCGTCCTGGAATACACAAGTCCTGTATTCCATCGTTCTCTACCAAACTACATCAGTGAAGATTTGGAACGGATCCAAAGAAGGGCATTCAGAATCATCTATCCTGACCTTTCATATAGTGTAGCACTAGAAACAGTTGGCCTACCGAAACTTCATGAGCGGAGAGAAAAGATTTCAATCGATCTGTTTGACGAGATCGTCTGTAACCCCACCCACAATCTCCATAGCCTCCTCCCCCAAAGGAAGAGTTGCAAATATGCACTGAGACGCAAAAGTGATTTCACTCTCCCCCTATGTAAAACTGAGCGTTTGAAGAACAGTTTTATTTTTAGCCATGTCTATAAGATGTAGAAAATTTTTCTTATTCTCTCTTTTGTTATCATCAGTATTTGTAAATATCCCGTAATTCAGCCTATGGCTGCAATGGTGGTTAATAAAGTATCTCTCTCTCTATCTCTCCCTTATACCAGTACCTCATTAAAGATAAAATCTTTAAGATTGATCTAGTGGATTTCAAAGCATTTCACATTATCCCTGCTTACCACCCATGAGGGCATGACACTAGAACCAATTAATTAAAAAGATGAGCCTCATTTAGTTTTAATCGGTTGGAGAGTTTGCCGTATAAACCCCTTAATATTCCAAATCAAAGCTGTAGTCTCAAAGGCAATCTTTTGTACTGCTATTGTTTTCTGTTATCCATTCTCTGTCTGCGTAATGAGATGTAGAGTTATACGGAAATCTTGCCCTAGCAGGGTGGATGATTTAACCACTTTGTGATCCAAAATAAAGAAAAATTACTGATTAAATATACTGAAATAGCTGCTTCTATTACTGCAGAGGCTTATAATTTTAACCCTGCTGTTATCTCTTGAAGCACCATCAGCTAATCTTGTTTTCATGGAAGTACATTTTCCTTTAGCTACACAATTATGATTAAGATGACCATTTTTTTCCTTACCCATTGTAAGCAGCAGCAATCCAACCTCCAGCAGCCACGATCAGAAATAAATGGAGGCAAAGACAAGCTTTTAACTTCCCCTTCCAAAGGACGCTCTCTTTGTAATGTGAAGCCACACGCTGTCTGTGACTAAAATCTGAGCCATCAGTTCCAGAAGCCCTAGGCCCATCTCGTGAAGCCATGACTGTTATAGAAAGCTTGATGGTAAAGCAAAATGCTTATTAAATAAACTCCGAACTGAAGGATCAAAACTTCAAAAGTTTTGTCTCTGACCTTCGATGAACTTCTCGTCGGTTTACGCCAGCGGCTTCTCGTAAGAGGTATGCGCTGGATACAAGTATAGTTCACAGATTATATAATTTCTTTATTTTGCTGAAAACGATGAGTTTTGTGTCCGACGAACTTGCGAATGTTTTAAAATCGGTATACAGGATGGAGGAGGGTAGTGAAAATAACGGAGATGAAGAGTCCTCTTCTAATGTAGACAAAAAGAGTGAGGAGGTTTCGAAAGAGAAACGCTCTAGAAAACATAAGCACAAGAAACACTCAAAGTCGAAGTCAAAGGACAAGAAAAAGCACAAAAAACGAAAACATAAGTCAAGATCACGCTCACATTCTCGATCGAAATCACGGACACCAGATGAAATTGAGACCGATTTTGTTCTTAAGAAAGACAAAAATCTTGACACCGAGGAAAAGGATAGAGAACTGGCCTCACAGAATGGCACTGCTGGGTATGGTAACGCTGTTCAACCAGCGCAGACCAACTGTGATGAAAAGCCTATCCAGGATGTTCATGGATCTAAACCTTCAGATTCCAAAGAAGAAAAGTCAGAGAGTTATTTTAAAAGTATTAGGTTAGAGAATGATAAAAATGACTTGATATCTACTCCAGTTGCTGCAAAAATAGGCCCGGAGAGAGATTTTAACAGTAATTGTTCAGGGAGTGATGCAAAAGATTTGGAGAACAAAAAGAGTACTTCATCTTCCAGGAGTAAGTCAAAGTCCCCAGAGTCTAAATTGTCTGGAAATAACAAGGAGAGAGACTCAAGATCTCATTCCAATGATAGAGAGACTAAAAGGAAATCCGGCTCACAATCAAGTTCTAAGCAGTCTGCAAAGAAGAAGAAGCCAAGGTCACGGACACATTCAAGGAGCAGAACATCCAAAAAGAGATCAAGGTCAAGGTCACACTCAAAAAGGAATCGCCACAGAAGAACTGAATCCAAGTCAAGTTCACGTTCCCATTCATACAACAGTAGGTCAAGATCTAGGTCCCCAAGACGAAGAAAAAGATCATTCTCTAGGTCACCAAGACGTAAAAGGTCACTTTCCAAGTCACGCCATAAATCTCCTGTATTTAAAAGCTTTAGAAGGGTTTCTCCACCTTCCTGGAAAAAAAATGTAGGATCTCTCAGGAGACAAAGGTCAAGATCATACTCTAGATCTGGTAGGTCACCTCCAAGGAGAAGGAGTTCTCCAGGAAGGAAACAGTCACGTTCAAGATCAAGAGGAAGAAGGTCACACTCTAGATCAAGAACTAGAACCCCAAGGAAGAGAACACGATCCTTGTCTAGGGACAGGAGACATCATAGATCCAGATCAAGGTCACACTCAAGAGGAAGAGGTCAAAGATCAGCATCTAGAGAAAGAAGGAGGAGTAAGAGTAGTAGATCTCGGTCAAAATCAAAGGAAAAAACACAACCAAGGAATCCTTCATCAGTACCCAATGTGCCAGTAACAGATAAAATATCTACTTTGATTGACAAACCAGTCGCAAGTGATCTTTCTGCACAGCAGACAAAAGTTGCACAGAGGGCTGGAGGGAAAACTATTGCGGAGCTTACTGCTTTCTGTAAAAAGCTACAGGATGAAAAGGAGAGTATAGACAGTGGTAACACAAGTGTAACAACTTTAGAAAAGAAAGAAGATTCTCAGCCAGTGGCACACCATCCATTTTTAATTAAAGAAAAGCCAGATATCACAATACCACCTGTTATCTTTCCAGTAAGTTAATAAAAGTAGTGCATGTACACCATTTTTTTTAGTGTGTGCATGTGTTTTATGTAAAACTGAACCTCAGGTCTAGATTGAAAGCACTAAAATTTTGATGTGTAGATATGAAAGGTAACTAGTTTGATGTATCTATTTATGCATGTGTTCTTTGATTAAGGTTTGAATTTAAATTTGTGGTCATTGTGAGAGAGAACTTAATCTTTCTTACTAATCTTCCTTATCTAGGTGAACAAGCCTATGGTCCCACAAGTAGGGTCATCCAAACCTCTGCAGGAGCAGTTTCCTGTGTCTTGTGGAAGTAAACACAGAGAAAAAGAGGGTGTCAATGATGGGGCTGAAATGGTTGCCAACATAGATGGCTCTGCAATTCAGACGCAACCAAAAGTAGAAGTATTTCCTCAACCTTCTGCTGAGGTATATAGCTGATGTTTTTGTTTCCTTTAGTTCAATTATCACTTTCATTTTTGATAATTCTGTTGTATGTACAAACTGTATGGGAAATATTCCCTTCTCCACTTCTTTCAGAAACTGGACATCAGTGACCTTGTTGCTAAGCGAATGGATGCACAAAGGCGGCTGCAGACTGACCCTAATGACATTGAGGCCCTGTTGGTTCTCCAGGAGATTCAAATGAAGATGCAGAATTGGTGCCAATCAAATGTTAAGCCAGGCCAGTTTACTGGAGAGCTTGTGAAGAATCTTTTGCCAAAGGAAGATTTGCAAGGAGGCTTCCAGGCATGGGCCAAAAAGGTAGATTTCTTTGTGTGTGCATGTTTGTGTGTGCATTTCTAATTTGTGTTAGATTCAATCAGAATTGGACAGAAAATATCCTTATGACTTACCTATAAAAGCAAATCCTAACCTGTAAGCATTCAAGAGGGGGGATTTATGCTTTTAAGTAATAGTTATTGTTTTTGTTGAACATGCACATGTCTACCAATAAATGCCATTTTAAATAGTATAGCTGTTGTTTCTGGTTGCGATGATATTGAATTGTCATCTTGATTGCAGGACATGTTTCACAATCTCTCACCAGTTTCTGGTGGTATTGGCATGAAGCTTCTCCAAAAAATGGGATGGAAACCTGGACAAGTGATTGGTAAAAGAGGAGAAGGTTACGCTGAACCTATTGCTCTCACTGTCAAAATTGATAGGAAAGGTCTCAGTGCTGGAAAGGAAAAGGCTACCAAGAAAGGTGCTCCTACTGTTCTGGACCTGCAAGGTAACTTGTGCTGACTGTTTTTTCACTGACTAGTGACATCACCATCATTGTCTGAGTATCATGATAATCATTAAGAAATTTTTTTAATTTGTTTTGGTGGAGAGTATAGAAATGGTGTATGTAAAAGGGAAAGACTTTCTCAAAGTTGTTTGCAGTTCATAATGATTTGTCACTCTCAGCTTAGCATTGACATCCTGACATCTGGCAAATTGCTGTCACTGACTTGGGCTGTTGTCTCTGTCCATATCATAACTGACAGACCAAGTTTTTACCCTCTCAATTTATGGCCAAAGGCTGAAGCAGGTGGGCCTTAGATTGAAAGGAGAAAAAAATGAAGGATCCATAAGTTATATAAATGGACTCTGAAGATAACTTAAGTGAGGTATTTCCTGTATCTTTAGGGTATGTCTGACAGGTTTTGGAAATGATTAGTAGACATGTATAATATTATGTAGAAGGACTGTTAAATGACTGACCTTAGTAAAAAGTGGATTTGTCTAGTTCAGTATATCCCTTGAGATTAATTTATATTTAAGCATCTTCCTACTGTCCGGCATTTTTTTTTCTTTTTTTTCAGAGGGGGAGGGAGGTATTGGGGGAAAGGCTCTTTTACTAAAGCAATAATTATTTTGATTAAAATTATTAGTTAACAATATTATATATTGTTTGAGTTTGAGTACTTTGTTATAGAGGCATTGGAATTTGAATTGCTTGTTGACCAACCAAATTGTGACCCAAATTTCTGAGCATTGTTTCTCAGTCGGTGCACACTTCTTACATGTAGTTCTGCCTTTTATTACGTTTAGTTGGTTTTATAATCTTCCTTTATCCATTGTCATCTTGTATCCCTTTTTAAGAAATATCATGGCACTTATGATTTAAAAACATTTCTGATATGTTTTCTTTTACTCTAGACATCTCTCTTTGGGTCTCTTGTGTAAGGTTGTATTAATAATGTGAGAACTTCTTGTTTTCACAGCAGTGATAGATTGAGAATTGGGGTTTACAACTCACAATTAGATTGTATTGTTTAGAAAATTACACTTTCTGTAATCAATGAGTCGTTCAATCAAATGCTAGTCAGAGATTTGATTTTGCATGCAAGGCTATGACATTTTGCAGACTGTAATTATGTTCTTGCTTGTTATTTGGTGATGGCAACTTTTGCTCCAGTTCTGATTTTGTCACTGTTGTACTATTTGCAGTAAATTGTTTACCCAGCTCACACATATTAAAAGATTCCAATAATGGTCACAGAGTGTTGTCACAGAGTGTTGTCATACAGCATAGAATGGCCCAGTGAATTGTGCCATTCTATGCTAATGCATGGAAACAAATAAATTTTTCCCAGCAGTAAAAGGCATCGACCCCTTTGAAATGAAGCCTACATACAAGCAATTCAATATGCAATGCCTCTTGATCCGATGTTGAGAATTTTAGCACCACAAGGAGATTGTACCATCAAATGATGATCACACAAAGACTTATTTTTGATGACAACAGGTAAATATTACTGGGTGTGTTTTGTGGCTGGATACCTTCATTCTTGAACAAGTCCTGACTGAATTTCAGAACCCTTTTTTTGAAACTTTTGTGAGTTCTAAAATTATGTTGACTCACTAGTATAATACAAATGAGTTACTCAGTTTTACTTGCAGATGAAGCAATTTTGTATGATTTTCCTTGATTTTCAAAAGCAATACTACACAATTCAAAAGCTGCATTTCTGAGAAGTCAGGATAGTCTTCCTAAGAATTTAACACATTTTATGGTATATGTGTATTTTATTTTTGATGGGAGAAAAAGGCAGTTGATCTTTAAATCAAAGGAGAAGTGCATGAAATTAACTTCGTATCTCATTCTGTCACCATTATTTATTTAAAAGATGTTTAAGAAAGTTCTCAGATAAAGCAGGCTAGTTCTGAAATTCAAAATTTAGGGTTCATTAATGAACATTCTTGACACAAAATCACCCAATTAGTTCTTTCCAAATATGGGGGGAGTGCTGGAGAAATCTTTGTGAACATCCACTTGTCAGATGAAAGGTTTTTGCACAAACTTAAATTAGTTGCCTTCAGATAATTATTCCTTGGGGATGATACCTGTTTTCATGATGAACAAGGAGAAGATGAATCTGTCCAAATTTGATTTTCTAGCCCCTTTGATACATGAAGGTCAAAGTAATCTTAGGACAATAATTGGAATGGGATCCTAGTCATCCAAAGGAAAAATGCAGTCTAAGAAATGGGGATCAGGGTTAGTTCATCCTTATGATCTTAATCACAGGTTCAAGGGATCAAGTCACTAATACATCAAGTTTATGATTTTTTTTTCTCATTTTTTTTTTTCAATTTTTTGGAAAATTGAAAGGAGCTTTTTGTAACAGAAGAAACTAGAATACTCATGAAATTTTGACCTGAGATAATGTCTTGCTCTTCAATGAGGTAATATTATTTGATATTTCTTTAGCAAAAATCAGTTGATGACCACTTTTTCTCCAGTCCTCTCTTTATTTTTGAAATGGACTGTAATGGAAGGTAACTATCCACCAATACAGTGCAGGTTATTAATTTAAAGCCTCAAGGCATTGTTACTCCTATATTGTACAGGGTCAATACAGGCTCTTTTGGAGCATAAGTTTATCTTCATTGGATTGAAACTTTCACTGTTGCTGTTTTGGTGGATAAAAATCTTTCTTTCCTTGGTATCTTGAACACTACTTCTAACACAGGAATTCCTGCCAAGAGAGAAACTGAAGAGGATGTTTAAAAAAATAATATTGTAAGCAGGGGACAAAACTACAGATTCCAATTTCAATACTTGAAAAACAGGCTAAACCTTTGCAGTGTTCTTTGTTCCCTCAGATGTCACTTTTGAAGAATGTAGTGTCTTGCAAGTTGCATTATAAACTTTTCCTAGGCTGTTAGTTGGCCCTCTTGTGATGTGAATGGAGCAATTATACAGTAATGGGGAGGTTGCTCATTATTTGTGCTAGAAGCAGAGGAGATTGCAGTTTAGCCTGTTATTGTCTCTATTGCTTGTCTTGCATTTTGTGTAGCTCCATCTTTGAGAGAGTTGTATCAAAGTGATGTTCATGTTGCCATGATGTGTCTTTTTCTCATAAACTTTTTTTTTCAATCATACTTTGCAGGAAAGCATCCTGTGTCTGCCCTGGCTGAGTATTGCAGTAAGAGAAAATGGCAACTGCCCGACTACACTTTAGTCTTTGATCATGGCCCAGCACACCATAAACAGTTTCTGTTTAAAGTTTTAGTGAACAGTGTAGAGTACCAGCCTGCAGTGGTGTGCGGCAACAAAAAACAGGCTAAAGCACAGGCAGCTATTTTTGCTCTGAAAGGTCTTGGCCTCATTCCTGAAGATGCTGAAATATCTGCAGTATAATGCAGGTTTTTTGATATACATATATGAGGTGATGGGTGGGTATCTATCACTAAAGAATTTTTGATGATTGCATTTTGTTCTAAACAAGACTGTGTCATGTGTAGATGTTCCAAAGCTGTGCTCTGTTACACCACAAGTCAAATCACTTTTACTGAATAACTTTCTCAGTTTCTTCCTTTCCACCTTTGTCTATCAGAACCATGGCCTTGAACTTTGTTACTTTCCTTAGATCTGTCGCTGTTAATCAGGTAGCCTCAACAAAACTTTATTTGGTCAAATTCTGCCAAAGTAAAAATTGCAAGCCTTTGTTGTCAATTTTCTCTTTGTCCACCATCTATTTGTGAGGTTCAGCTAAGAAAACAAAGACCTTTGAAACAGCAATGTTACCTCAATTATTGCTCAGTTTTGTTGTCACAAATGGTTCAGATGAGACTCTTGAGTTCATAAATCCTACGTCATGTTTGTGTTAAGAATGATTGTCTTTAATGCTTATTAATAAAATTAGTATACACTGAATATCAATGGTATTTCCTTGTCAAAACCTCTTTGTAGACCTACTCTATAAATATTTCTTTCTCTATCCCATACATCTAACAGTATCATCTTAGAACATTTTATTCTCTTTGTTCTCTCCTGTTAGAGATCCCCCGAATTACAAGGTAACACTCAAATGTGATTAGTCTAGTAGACAACAGCTCACTTCTCTAGCTCTCCAGCATCTCTTGTTTACATCAGCAATCTGCTAGAACGTATTTTACTTAGTGATGGGGGACATGGTTTGGTGTCTCATCCAAAAACCCTGTCAGGGCTACATTGAACGAAGCTGCCCCTTTAAATGGGTTTCCCTCTTAATTCATGTAAGAACAAAATGATGAGTAAATCACTAGGAGTGAAGTACGTTTGTTTTATTCTTGATTTAACCAAACCTGACAATAACTGGAAGATCTGCCTGTTTTTGGTTAAAATTAGTAAAAATAATAAGTTATACATTTTGCACCGTCATAAATAAAACCAAACCCACTCATAAAAAGTAACCAAAAATAGTATTAAACCACCTGACTAAACAAAATAAAAACCTCTTGACTGATACAATTAAAAGTATTGCAAACAATATCTGCACATTCTAGCTAATAACCTGAAGTTAAGATTCCTCTCCTAAACACCCTAAACTTTTTACTACAACTTAAAACCACAGAAATTGGCAAAAACTTAACCTTTCTGAAGTTTAGAAAAAAAAACTATCCCTATTACTACATTTCACTCACTCTAGTTTTTAAGTTAGGTCATTCTTCTTGCTCTGGTCCATAGTAACATAATCTGCTCAGGCTGAATTCTTAAAGTAATGAGTGAAATAAGACCCCATAACATCCTCCTAAAAATGTGAAGTCTGTAATTGTTGATCATGTCATCTAAAGAGTGAGAGTGACAATGACAAAGATGTTTGTTGATGACACTACAACAACCTGGGTGGAAGTCATCATCAGAATGAGAATCAAAACAATTTGATGATGTCAAAATAGGATGATAGTTCTTTTCAGGACTTCTCTCACTCACAAAACTACATGATCAACTTTTATCCTAGCTTTAAACTATCTACTGTATAGGTACCATTAATGTTTAAATACCAATCTATGATTAACAATCCAGCCTTGAGGATTTAAGACAAAATTATAGTTCCTAACCTTCACATATATGTTTTCCAAGTGGAGTTTCTATTGAATGGCAAGAACAAATTGGTGAGAAATCTGTACAGTGAAATTATCTGTCAACCTGTTACTTCACTTGGGCATACCCTAAGTTCATTCCAAACAAAAAGTGGGAGAACTCTAACAAAAGAAGAATGCAGAATAAGAGCCACAGAAATTCCTCAGCTGATTTCTAAGAAAGGTTTTAAGTTGGGTAAATTTAGTTTGTGGAGTGACCATTGTTGGTGTTAATATTTTTACACCTCTACCAGAGTAAAAATTCTACATGTTTGTTAAAAGGATACATCTAGATTAGTCTAGAAGCAAGTTTGTAGAGGATTAAGATAATTTTTTTTAACTAGTGCATATTTGAAAAAATATATATCAACCCATGCAGCACTTTTTAGACTCCTGATGATGTTCCAGCAAGTCTTCAGCTGAAATAGCATGTCCAATACCCAACACATCTGTGGGCCGCATAGGCAGTGCCTTAATTCCATCCCAGCCATCTCTCAGTCCCAGGTCTCCTCTCTCCATACGTTTATGTACTTCCTCAGTCACTCTGAAAAAAGCTTCCTCGATATTGCATAAAACCTTAGCTGATGTTTCAATAAACATCATATTGTTTGCTTCTGCAAATCGTTCTCCTTCCTCTGTGGAAACTTTCCTCATTGATTCTTTGTCAATTTTATGACCGACCAACATGAAGACAACATCACTTTCCTCTACGCAGTTCTTTGCCTCTGTATACCAGTCTTTAACATTAAGGAATGATTCCCTGTTAGTGATATCATAAACAATCAAGCAGCCAACAGTGTTTCTATAGTATGAGTATGTGATGGCACGAAATCTTTCCTGTCCTGCAGTGTCCCAGATCTGCAACTTTATTCTGACATCAGCTGAAGAACACAAAACAGAGAAAATCAATTCATTGTGTCACCTGATATATTACAGTAAATACTGTGATATTGAGCTGATAATATCTCAAGCCTGCTATCTGTTTTTCACACTCTTAAAATAGAGTGCAGTTGCCATAGGTAACTAATTATTGTTTTTTGGCAACTTGAAAATCTGTCCATAAAGTTTTGAATAGCTTTGCATCTCAGATTGATTTAAGAGCCCTTTTGGTACCCATTTATTCTTGTAGGAGCAAAGTTTGGAGAGCTTATAGCTTATAGCTTATTAATATGGAAATTGACAAATACAGAGAGATACATGTATTGAATGACAAGCCCAAAACCTCTCAAAAGGAGGTGGCTTATTTAGCTACTTCCACACTTCATTAAATCATGACCACACGAGTCCTCTATTTTATGTACTTAGAATATTTGGCTTGAGTCAGATTTATATTTCAGAATGCTGTCTCCCTGACTTGCCAGTGACTCTCCTTCAAAGAGATATAAATATCATATGAAAGGTTGTGCTTATTCATAATCGTGTTTAAAATGCAACAGCAATAATGTGAATTAACCAAGAATAAAATACTTCAACCATGAAAACCTGGAAAATATTTCACAATTTTTAAACATTTCAACGATTTTCTCAGGCATGGCGTCTAAAATATGCAAGCATCATTTTAATTCAGATTAACCAGTTTCACACTTCGTTGCCTAATCTCAGATTTTCAAGCAAAATAAAGCTAAATTTGAGACAATATTTAAGAATATGGCCTACGTAGTACATGACTTTTCAAAGAACCTGATCGATTTCAGTTAAACCACTTCACAAGAACAGTTGATATAGGCATTACCACTGTAAATATTTCCTAATTGAAATTCAAATATCCCTTACAAAATTAGCAAGTATAAATGAATGCATTTTCTCCAAGAGTCCAACAGGTGACGGCTAATCTTTTTACATAAAGATGTAAAAGCAGACTAATTCAAAAGCTTCCGTAAACCTACCCAAGGCACATTTTTTGTAGCGGTTCAGTGCAAATCTAATGGTTGAGACGGATATTCGGACGTTGATAAAATTAAACAAGGCATAAAGGACTCATATTCTAATAGGATTTAAGATGTACAACTAAAGCTGAAATGCAGCCACGACAAACGATCGTGAATTTAGAATTAACCGAATCCACATCACTTGCAAAAAATTTGTTTTCGTTACTACTACGATGCGCTAAAAGCAACGCCACACTTCCTAAAACAGGAAAGAATTCGCAACGACATTCTAAGAATGGTTTCATCATAGGTAAAACAATTGATAGTTAATATTTCCCGAAGATAAATTCGATGTGCGTTGCTGACACGCAACATGGCAAACGTTAAGTAAAATGGTTGAAAACTCACATGTAAGCATCACAACCCTGACATGAAAATCCACACCGACAGTTGGGTCGGAGTTTTCGATAAATTGCCCTTCCGTAAACTGCCGCAAAAGCGAGGATTTTCCAACAGTGCTGTCGCCGATTAAAATAATTCTGAACTGGTAAAAATATTTTGGTTTGAAGCGGGCAGCATCTGCAGATCTTTGACGACTCATCTTCAGACTTGTGCAATCCTCAGTACTTTGTAGAATTTTATTATTATGTGGCCATGTGTATTTCAACAGGCCGTGGGGAAATTGTTTTCAGTTCAAATCTGTAAAATTCTGCAACGAAAATAAACCAAAACGATTAATTGCATTATCGTTAAGCACAAACTAACTTCCTTTGACTAAAATCAAGTACAAAACAAGATGTACAAGCTGAAAACAGATCTGTACTACCAAATGTTGAAGTAGTACGTCGTAAAATATTCAATGTGGATCTATTACGACTACCGAGAAGGCATGGACGTAAAAACATTATCATAAATTGCTTACCTAAGTAAAAGTATGGGTAACATCGAATACCTTGGAAAGTGAAACCCTGCGAACTATCTTTACGCTTCCATGAAAATAACTTTACCGTCAGCGTTCGCTTTATCATAACAACCCCGCAGACAGTCATTCCAAATATGGTCATTATGCCCATAATTATAATTTGACAAGATGGCGGACGAACAAGTTGAAGGCAGTTACATCCGTCCACTTTTTGAGCGCATTTTTACGCGGTAAGTGACACTTATGATGTTTGAATTATTCCCTTGATTTTTTTTAAAAAGTCAGCGATAATTTTTCTGTGATGATGCTATTATATGCAAGTATCATATACGCGGCAAATTAAGAGTGTGTTGGAGTTCATGATTTGAGGAGCCCTCGATACGTATGGTTGCTGCGTGTGTGGTCAGCAGGTAGTTAGGAGGGGATATCAAGGGGTTGCCAAGGTCGTTATACATCATAAATGCTGCGTCCCACTTGCTTTTCAATCGTGAACTTGTCTCTATAACAAGGAACACATTGCTAATCGAGCCAGAGAGAGACCTGTTCAGCGACTCTGTCTTTTTAAGTTGTTTTCGTCTATCTTGAAAGACATCCCTCTCTTAAGATTGTTTTAATTTTAGCCATTTTGTCTGAAGGAGAGTAGTTATGAGAAGGACTGTTGTTCAAAAATTGTCTATCAGTGGTATGTTATAAGTCTGCTTTATGTAAACTGATTGGCAGTTTTGCTGTGATCTCATTGGCTGTAAGACCTAAGTAGCATAAATTGGTCATGGTTGATCAGTTTTGATCTGTTAGCTGTCATTGAAAATTGCCACCACACCATACATACAATATGACTTCTTAGAACAGATGTGTGAGTAAAAAAGTGAACACTAACAACTGGACCCTACTAGTCACAAGGGACTTATGCTTCTTGAATTTTTACTATTGTATGCTTCACTTTAGGAGGTTCCTTGGAATTCTTGCCCTTGGTCAGTTGTTGTCATGGCTCGTTTGTGGTACTGGTGTATTTAGTCAGCTCTTGGCATCTGATTATGGCATTGAGATTCCAACAACACAAAGTTTCTTGAACTATTTATTATTAGGACTTATACACACAACTACACTGGCCTGTCATCCTATGAACTTTAAAAAGAGACTTACTGAAACAGGATGGAAATATTTTTTAATTTCACTCTGTGATGTGGAGGCAAATTATTTGGTTGTTAAAGCTTATCAGTACACAAATTTAACCAGCATTCAGGTGAGTCACCATCGAAAATAAGAAAATTAAACTTAATATTACAAACATAAATATTAGTAAGTGGTGGGACATTATTGTTTTGATAGTTTCTAGGAAACCAACTTGTTTGTTGAATACACTAATAAGGCATATACTTCTTCAGGGATAAATTGATGCTAATATTATTACTAAACACCAAGTTTATCTTACTTCAAAGTACCTGCTCTTCTGTGTCAAGGGTAAAGCTGTATCAAGTGCTAAAGGGCCTACACTGGTATAGCATTTTCTCAGCATTAATTTTTTATGGAATTTTGCTATTCCTCCCACCCCACTTGATTATGCTGATCCATTACTAGTTGCTCCCTCCATTTCACAGTTAACCAACATCCATCTATAACCCAGGCTAAAATGAGGTTCATCAAGAGTTCATTGTCTTTCCCAGGAACATGACACCTTTGTCAGAACTCAAACTTGGATCCAGCTTCTTCTGGAGTACAACATGCTAAACACTATATCATTGTATTTCCTTCCTTTGTAATAAACAATGGCTTAATCAGCTTATTCATATGGTTTGAGGACATTTTTTCAAGTAGATCAATTGACTCTTTCTATTTTTGACAGGTCTTGGACTGTTTCTCATTAGTATCAGTTTTAGTTCTATCTTGGATATTCTTAAAAGTACGCTATCAGTTTGTCCATTACTCTGGTGTACTCATCTGTTTAGCTGGCATTGCTTGTCTTGTCATAGCAGATTACTTTGGTTCTCGCTATTATGGTCCAGGTGAGTAAAACTCAGAAATAAAAAAAATTTGTAAATTATTATGCCCAAATACAGTCAAATTATACTTTCAATTCTACGAGTGAACATCAAATGAATTCTCTTCACTTTGCACTTTTAGTGATTGATACTTTTAATCAGACAGGTGAGAAAAAAATTATTAAGTAGACACTTATCGAAAGATATTGTCTTGAAGAAACACCAAAGTGTCAGAAATAGGCAACTAGAGAAAGTCATCATTTGGGAGAATAAGCTCTCCAATCTTTAGGGTAAATGAGTGTAAAAAAAAAAGATCTAAAGAAGAATTTGTGGGCAGGCTTTTTTAATAGGTTTGGGTGTGTGTCTCACTAATTTGCAGGTAATTTATTGAATTGCAATGCTGATTATAGTGCTGTCCATTTCTTTAAATTCATTTTAGTTCTTCTTCTCCATCCTTCCTTAAATTTTTCTCCAAAGGTTTGTTTTTCCTTCTCTTGCAGAAGGCAAAATTATTCATTTGGTTCAGTTTAATTCCTTTTTACACATTTTCATTTGATTTGCAGTAAAAATCTTCAGCAAATCTGTTAACCAATGACCTAAAATTCTTGATGTCATGTTGTATTACACACTGTGTATTGATGTCTCTAATCAATATTATTTAGATTCCAAGTTGTATCAGCTGCCTAAATGTAAATGATTAAGAGGCTGATTTTCTTTAATTGATAATTTCCCTTATGATATTGCTCCTTTACAGGTAAAAAACAAGCCATAGGAGATGTTCTGGTGTTGTGTGGAGCCATCATGTATGGAATTTCGAATGTTGCAGAGGAGTTTGTAGTAAAGAACTTTAGTAGAGTTGAATTTCTTGGCATGATTGGACTCTTTGGGAGTTTTATCTCTGCGATTCAGATGTGAGTTTTATGCCATGAATTAATTATTATTATTATTATTATTATTATTATTATTATTATTACATTATTTTTTGAACATGTTTGTTACTAGTTCAGGATTGTAAGGGGTGAACCTCATTTTGTGGTAGCAAAGGCCTCAAAGTGAATCTCTCTGTTATTTTTGTTCTGCCAAACTTGCATTTATTTACATGGTCAGCTTATTGTAATATTTCTTCTTAGTATATTTTTCTCTCATCAGGATGATTCTTGAAAGAAATCAACTGTCAGCCATTGAATGGGATTATAAAATTGGTTGGTTGATTGAGCTTTTTTTAAGTACTTGTCTTTTGTAATGATTATATTTAATTGGTTAAAAAGATGAAATGTTATGAAAGACTGATTGCTCTAAAATATTTCCTTTGTGTTATAATATATAATTATTTTATTGTAGATTACTTAGCATTTGAATGCCATTAGTGAATTAATCAAGCCCTGAATTCCTTTTCAGTTTTATACTTCATTGGGTTTGGACTTTGTTTGTTTCTGCTGTATAACCTGGTACCTGTTGCTATAAAGTTCAGCAGTGCCACAGTTGTAAACTTGTCCCTACTGACAGCAGACTTTTACAGCTTACTCTGTGGATTATTTCTGTTCCATTACAAGGCAAGTCACTTATCTCTTAGTATTCACTTGACTGACCTTCCACATCGTTTATGAATAATTCCAGAGCACAAGCCAGGAAAGGGCTGTAGGGGATTTGACAAACTTGAATGCATAAACGAAGGGGGAAGAGGAAGCAAAAACATATTGTTTCCCATGCTCCAGACTCACTACATGCTTCACCCTCACTTCATACTTAACTGTTGGGTAGTAACATAGCTGTGAAAATAGCAAGATGGATTTCAGACAGACTTTCTTCTTACCTCTTGATCATTATCTTGTAAATTACTCAGGGGAAATCCAAGGGTATAATATAAGGTTAACCCCTGTTGTGGACTGTTTATTCTCATCACATGTTTACTGGATAAAGTATGGATATTTTAAGGAGATGAAATATGTAAACAAGTCAAGGATGGCTGATAGCAGTTCTTTAGAAAACATTTTATGACAGAATTCTCATCATAATGTCTTTGTTTCAGTTCTCAGCACTGTACCTTGGATCTTTAGCATTAGTAATATTGGGCGTCATTGTTTACAACCTTAAACCCACACCCAGTCATCCTAGCTCTACTGTTACCCAGTTCCCCTCCTACAGACAACTCGAAGAAGACTCACAGCAAACAGACGACAATTCATCTTCTTCATCATGTTGTTGTCAAGAATTACAAACTGGTCAAGTTGATACTGACAATGTATAAAACGTGATCATTGGCAGCCAAGAAATTATTTGTTGATATTTAATGTATGAATTTTTATATACATGATATATTTAACGTGTTTCAATGTAATAGAAGTAAAGACACTTTTTTAAAAATTTTTTATTGCCCGCACACCAAAAAATTGGGAGTGGAGTTAATTGCCTGAAAAGTGATGGACCACGAAGAGAATTGATAATTATGTTCATTTTGAGACCTATAACTTTGATTGAAAGGTTTTTAGTTTCACTTTTTTTCTGGAAACAATCTGAACATCGACTGAGTCATAGGAAAAGGTAACGGAAAGTCACGGAATAGTATAAGTTTGAAAAAGAACTGGAGCTTGGCTGTAATGAAGCTAGCTGTGTTAAGTTTTGTTAATTTAGCTTAAATACTCTTCTAATCATTTGTTAAGATAGGAAAAAATTTCACTGGCTTGAAGACACATTAACTACACAGTCAATACGCTTCTTCTGTCTATATACGTCAAACTACTTGTCCCTGTCATGCATTCCTACGACATCAAATACCGTTGTTGTATCATTGAGTTTGATAAAATGGCTTTGTTTTTGTTCTACAAAGAATGCACATCACTTTCCATCGTTAAAAAGTACACGTAGGCATTTCAGAAAATTCAAAATAAAACATGAATAGGGAAGGACAGTAACCAAATGACTTGGCCAGAATTGAGAGGAACCGACAAGTCGCAAGAGATTCAATCTCACCACAACCGCAAATACCCAAAATTCTCAGACATATTTCCCTCCTTTTCAGACTTCCGTTTTTGACTCATTTGCAACCACTTTACGTCAGTTTTTTTTTAGTTCTGATATTTTTCTTCAAAAAACTTTACCGCTCAAAGGCCGCCGATCAAGAGTTGAATCGTAAATACGTCTAAGTTGTTTTGTAAATTGTCAACATTCCCGCAGTTGATATCAGTTAATAAACCTAGGGCTAATAATTTCGAAGTCAGCTTTGTTCAGCAATTTCTGAAGAAGCTTTTCGCTGACCATCTTGTATACTCAACTGAGAGGTTAAAGCCCCCGACTAATGTATCGATACAGACCATTTAATCGTGAAAGGTGGCTGAGGTTTGAGGCTTCGACCTTCTCTAACCTGTAAAATTTAACTTGCAAACGATCCGGTGAAAACAGGAACTGCTGATTTCACGAAGTAATTGTTCACTCACGGAAATTTATAAAGGCTTATTGAGTTCTTATGGTTAACAGTTCAACTATATCTAGAGCTGTATCGTATACTGTTTTTTCCACTTACATTTTGTCGATGAAATGGTTTTTTTTTAGAGTGACTGCCTAACGAGAAAAAACCACCACACCCAAATGTCATTAGAAACGCATGATCAACGAAAACTTTTTTCATGAATTGCGGAAAACATTGCTTTTCTTGCATTGTCACTGCATTGCTCAAGCTCTTTCTTAAAAGAGTAAGGTATCACAGTAGTAAAAGGGGGGGGGAAGAAAGGGTTCGTTCTGGACTTTTGATGCACTCAGTTGACCTCATCGAGACCGTCGTTCAAACCAATGAGCTAATTAGGACCAATTAGGGACCAGAATATCTGGAGTGCGGTTTTGACCATAAAATAGGTAACATGCTGTTTTAAAGCTTTACTCTAAGGATCGCAATCATTGACTTAAAAAAATTCCAAAGGGAAACTAACGACATTAAGATATCTCGTGACGGAAAGAAAAAAAGTCATGGTTTATGATTTCCCAACACGTTCACATTCATTCAAGACCTACCAAAATCTCTTTAAAAAGTATTTGGAGGGCAGAGCGGAAGGGAACGCCATTTTTAGCATTTCGTGCCAAAGTCATTTTCCTTGCCTAATTAAAAACGGAAAAAAGCATTGATTAACGATCACGCATCACAGAATTCAATTTTATAATGAACGAAATCACTCATTGGTAAAATCTTCTTAATTTCAAATCTATTGCTGTTCAACATGCAAGTGCATTTTTTTCGTCACATGGAATTGAAGAAATTGCAGTCCACTAACGAAGTTTTGACGTGCTTAGATCATGTCAAACTTTACTCTGTAAACTCAATCAACTATCAAACAATCGACAATTTAATTTATGGTCATAGGTGAGCCGTTAAGAGGCAATCATTAATTATATTGGCCCTAAACAACTGATTCCACTGTATTTTCGTGTGGACAAGCACGACAAAGACAGATCAATGTCGTTGGTCAAATGATCAGTTTTTTTTTCAAGCTGATCAAGGGGCGAGGTTGCTTCATAATTTGCGAAAATATTCGGATGCCTACGGTAGATGTAGGACTCTTTCTTCAAATATGTTGTTGATGTTTGATATCGAAACAGGATCATTTCGAAACACGGCGAGGCATAAAACTATGCGCGTTTCGTAACTGTAGCTGGCACCTTGAATAATTTTTTTAATAAACAGTGGATATTCAACAGTTTCTTCACATAGGCGTTTCTTCAGGAAAGGAAATGGCTCAAGACCCAACGAGCAGGTGAAGATTATGTTGCGTAAAAGTGATCACGTCGAAAATATCAAAGTTTGTTTGGAAATCATGATTGATTACACGCTTTTATGGGTTAGGAATTTCGGAGTGAGTTGAAAACCAAGGAAATTGGCTGAAAGTTCACCACAAAACTGTTAAGTAAAAAACGAATAGACGGTAATAAAAGGCAGAGGCATTTCGAAAAAAACAAGTTATCCAAGGCCGTTAATTTCCTATGGCACTCTCAAATACAAACCCTTCAATATTTTCCGTAGCTGCTCTTATGTAATCGACGTGGGTGTTCGCTGACTCAGCTTGAGAAAGCCAGCGGATGAATAGAGCGGCAAAGCGTTTAATTTCCTTAGCATCTACCGGACAAACCATCCAAGATATTGCTGAGTATATGTAATGTTACGTAAAGGGACCGACCTGAAATACCAGAGCCGTGAGTGTCTAGTGTCTAAACAAACGAATGTCGAGAAAAAGTGATTATTGTGAATAAGTGTTCCAGAGAATAGTCTTTCATGGAGTGATGTACTTCGCTGCACCAACCGTAAAGTATGAGAGCTGAACAATAGGAGCAATGTTATGTCTACCTTGCATTGAAAATGAATGATTGTTTTACGAAAACGTCTGCCTTGAACTAAAAGTCATGCATACCGTTAGAAAATAAATAACCAGCCTTCGACCAGAGAATTGCATATGTAAACAGCATTCCTGCAAAGGATCCATTGATCAGTTGTTTTCAACCTTTAACTGAGTTAGAGCAAATTTTCAGGTTACTTCTTAAACGGTTCACCCTCACCGATCTTGACGCTAATTAGTGAATGAGACATAACTTCTATTGTTACTGAAGTGTTCCACCTAAGCGGTTATTAAGTCTGGTGAAGAACCTCTTCGTGTCTACCATAAAATAAAATTAAACATTCATAGATCACTTTTCCAACTTTACAGGCCATGACAGAGTAAGGCACCTTGAAGACCAGAGTGATAAAACTCCCCTGGTTAGCAATATGTTGAACGCATCATTCAGGGGGGTCTTTTTGTATTTCTGATAGGCCGATAATTGTCTTAATACACCTGAGAAAATTGAATAAGGAAAGAAGATTGTTACGTTGGCTTAAACAATTGGTAATTGTTATGATTTGAAAAGAATAAAGGCAATTATTTATATCGTTGTTATTTATAATTTGAGCAGCAGTAATTGAATTCGGACAACCTCTCGGAAAGTCCGTCTTAAATCACGAAATAATTGAGCAACTCCATGCAGTTATTGGTCAAAATGTATCTCGTTTTTTAAAGTGGTGAGATCATAGAAAACTAAAAGTTTCAAAAGCAGAATAATGCTCATTCTATCGGTTTACCGGCATGAACAACCCTCTTAGGCTAGTTGGGCGGACACTTAATTCCGATATGCATAAATTACATTTCGGCTCTTGTTCTACAAACCTTGCATTTTTGTTCCGTGTAACAACATCTGGCGTGGATTCCAACGCCGGTAAACCTACAGAACGTGAGTTAGTGGTCAACAGCTCTGCTCTCATGCGTTTTGGACAATCAATATAACTGTACTTCTGTACCCAATGTTAAAAAAAAACCCTTTCTTTTCTTTGAATGGAGTTCCAACAGCATAATAACACAGAGAACAAGAAATTACATTATTTAAACAGTAGATATATTTTTGATATCTTTAATTACCAGATGAATGGTCATCATTTAACATAATTTTTCCCACGAAAAAAATTTGATAACATCACGATGTCCTCTTCAAAGTTGTTTGAAAGAGCCACTATCTTGGAAGGTGATGACGTTTTCCTTAAGTTGCAAATATTTAGCTAATATTGAGTAATTTCACCAGTACAATTTAATAAAAAAGAGTGAAAGAAATCCACAACATTCAAATCCACAGGAAACAGAATTATGCAACATGACAACACTAAGTCATTAAGAAAAATTGATATTCCCATGAAATATTCGCTTGTATCTATTATTAAAACGCGTACGTTCGCGGAAAGGAAGATATAAAGACGAGTGCAGCAATACTGGCCGGTTATTGGACAGAAAGAGTAAATGACAGATTTTGAGTGCTTGCGGGTCGGTTCAATATAAAAGTAGACTAGAATAAAATGTGACCCATTTATTACTGCAGTAGAGCTTGTAGATATTAGACGAAAGTTGCCGTCTTGGCAGAAATTCAGCATGGCGAGGAAAAGTAAGATGTTTTTATTTATCGCAGAATAACTTGGCTGGATTTATAAACAAGCTTCACATATACAAGGCGTAAAGTGCAGGTTTTTAGGGAATGATTTTAACGCCTTTCTGTGTTTTTTAACCTCTTAGTTGTAGGCGCTGCTCTTATCCTTGTGGTTTTGTGTGTTAGCGGAGAAGTAGGAGGTGAGTACATGCTTTTATAAAAGTTATAGTTTTATCCTATTTCTGAGTTCATTTAGTCTGTTAACTCACTCGCAAGTTTTTTGGTTTTGTATGATGCTGTCGTGTACCAGTTACCTGGAAACTGGCTTGGCGAAAAAGTTAAATTTCAAAGTCGTATCTATTCAAGGATATTACCTCCCTGAGAGTGAACTAAATATGCGGTGAGAATTTGGGTTTCTAAAGAGACTGTTTTGTAGCATCGGCGGGGCAACTAAAATAACAGATTTATCATTGACCTCTTAGATAAGTTAATTATAACTAGAAAAAAGTCTTTTTCAGCTTCAAGTGTTTTTGTAAAGGCGCAAATTGAAAACGCATACAGCAAATTCAGGACGAGATATGATCATTGCACTCGTGACAAGAACTTTATTCGCTCTTAAGTTATGTAAACGTTTTTTCTCCTGGAGCCATTAACCACCTTCAGGTGCCGATTTCTATCATAGTTTTTAGGTTGTAGATAAAATTAGAACTAATAACGAATTGGTTCAGTTCCTGCAATAAGGCAAATATTTAATCCTAGAATGAAATCAGTCTTTTATTGATCAACTCATGAAGGTTATTATGATATCGTCATTTTTGTCCAATGGACTTCGATGGACTTTCGCGGCCCAGTTTGGGAAAGTGAATCTAGCAACTTGAATTTGATGCCTCCCTCTTTGGTAAATACGACAAAAGCTTGGCAAACTTCTTTATCCCTTCTTTGAAAGATATGATAAACCAAAAAGTAACAACGAAATAAACAGTCTTCTAGTATTTGTATTGTTCAGCCATGAAGGGTGCTAATATCAAGTGTCTTTCCGATGAAAATATATACCAAAAATACTCTTTGAATAAGAAAATGCCTGTGTGTTTCTGGTGTGTTTTTGAAGTATTTAAATCGATTTATGATATTATGTTAGAGGGGTTTTTTTGCAACATTACCTCGATCAGGTTGAAAAGTTTAAAAATTTGAAAGAGTATACAATTAGAAACTCATTGAGAGGTGAAATTAACTTTTCTTTTGTTAGTGGTTTTGGAAACTTCTGGAACGTCGCTTCCGTTAAACTCATATAGCTTCGTCTTATTGATTAAAAAAAAACTACACGGGTGTTTCCTTTCAATATCTGAGAGTGGAAATCCCTTTGACTGTTGTTGCTTGATTTGGAACCACCGCCGGAAATAGAAGTTAAGCTTATTTTTAACAGAAATGCCGCGGCAAACCACAATTGTGACTCACTCACTAGTCAGAAATGCTATCCTGAAGCCCAGTCAAAGCTTCACGTGACAAGGAAAAGAAATAAATGATGATGTACACTTTGGTATGCAACTAAATACTAGTAAGTTTAAAGATATGGTGGAAATTAAGTCTAACAGTGCATGAAATGACGTGCAATCACTGATAGAGGAAGTTGCTATTCATAGAAGGATAGGGGAACATAATCTGATGTTTTATCAGTGGAAACTAAAATAATTTAGCTTACCCAAATTCCGCACAATATGACAACAAACAACAACTTGGAAGGCTAATAAGGTCATTCTGGGATCAAAATAATTTCCAAGTTACATTAATAATTTTTTTAACTGCTAGATCGGTTCTGTCCTGGTGCAGTAAATCCAACAATTATTTCGAAACAGTTTCCTTTTTTATCACCAGCGGATTGACAGTATATATACTTGATGTATGTTCGATAAGTTCATGTTTCAATCCATTTTTAGTGTATGAAGACGAAATAACTCAGTCATGAAAAGTCATGCATTCTGTTTCGTTAGAGCTGTTGTGATGAGTGTCAAACTGCACACAGCTAGATACTACGCATGCTATGTTACTAGACTCCGAGACATTGGTAAAGCTACGTATTATTTTGAACACTACAGGTAATATGTTTCACCTTTAAAATCAATTTGAATATTTTTCTTCACAAAAGTATTCTTTTGAAAAAGGCATCGTGAAGTCACCAGGTCAAGCGTGCTTTCTTTTCATAAAAGATCTCATATTGTTGTAATTAATAATATTTGATTGTGAACGTGTCCTGGTCACGTGCAAAATTTATGAGCAGTGAAAATTTCTTCCTATGAGCGAAATATCGCTTGGAAACATTGAATCAGCGTCAATGGTTTTCGAAGTTTTCAAGGATGTGTCTGGGTGTGGCGATAGACAACTATCGCCATCTGAAAATAGGTTGAACTTTGGAGAAAATTATAATGAAAAATATGCTACTCACTCTCCTTGGCGTTTGAACTGCCTTATATTGGCCAAGTTTCTCGAGCCTGGCACATTTTTGTGCCGTCTTTGATGTCATAACTCTTATTAAGATAAACATACTAGAGTTTAGTGCTAGCCACTCTTCCAAGACGTCAGTGAAACAGATATAGCTGGCGTTGTTATGGTAGAAGACAGCCAAGACTTTCTTCTTGTCACGAATACATGAAAAATGATCCTGCATTGCTTTGGTTTTGCTTTACTTTGATCTTGCACCACAATCTCAATCAATCAAACTGTAACCAAGGAAAGTATAGCCAATCCCGACTTGGTCACTCGCGTTTTCTCGCGTCTCAACCAGGCTGTCTGTTTTTACGTTAAGTTCTCACTGGTTTCATGATGACGGAAACCTTTGCTCTAAGTGGTAGTTGTGACTTATTTGGTCTTGGTTTTTTGAAACTTGATCAGTTGAAAACTGCTCTATATGCGGTGAACTCTTTAGAGTAAAGGTTACTGCATGTTGCCTCTTGGACCGGCAATGATTGACAACAAGAAAATAGTGACTCTTTTTAAACCCACTAGTGCGTGGAGAGATATGGGTTTTGGCTGGGCTTACTTTATATGTTTGAGCTCTGTTACCCATGCTCTATGACTGATTCATCCTTTCCTTTCCTTTCCTTTCCCAGCAAATTTATGCAGTAAGAAGTTAGACATCATAATAGCAGCAGATGTGTCTGGCAGCATGGACGACAATCAATTCACACAACTACAGACATTTCTGTCGACGTTAGTGGATAACATCAAAATCTCCAAAACATCTGGTGCGCGGGTCATCGTCTTAGCCTTTGATGACCAGATTAACAGTCTGGCATCAAGCTTCAGTGATAAAGTAACAACATCTCGATCTGGGATTAAGACACAGATTAACGGCTTACAATTTACGGCTGGTTCTACAGTGATAGATACAGTCATAGAAGAAGCCAAGGATTTACTTAGCTCCGCAAACCGTGATACAGCACAAAAAGTAGTCGTTTTTGTAACTGATGGTGTTAATTTTAATGGAACTGATTCACTTGTTCTCCCCGCTCAAGAATTGAGAGATGTGAGTATAGTAGAGGAAATGATTAGTAATGTTGTAGTGTTTACTAGCCCAGTTGTAACATTGCAAATCGTACTGAATTCCATATTCCACTTGTTCGGATTCCGGATTCCATTCCATTCCTTTCAATCTTTAAAATTCATTTGATTTCGTATTAATTCAGTTCCAATCTAAGTTCACATAAACTTTAAATTTCAATCTTTATTTATAACAAAAAACTCGTTCCTAATGGAGGAGACATGGAGAGAGAATAAGAGCAAGGATGACTATAAAAAAGGATCGCAGCTATGGATTCCGGATTCTAAGCGAAAAAAGTGTCTAGAAAAATTGGACTCCTGATTGCCTTTCATGGCGTAATAGTGGCTGTCAGTTGTTAATCGCGAAGCTTCGATTGTTGCACGGCCGTTCAACACTGTTGAACGATAAATTCAAATCATTACAAGTCTTTCAGTCAGTGTTTGCAATATCTCGATTTGCTCTTAATAATAAGGAGCAATTTTTAACTGACTACCGAACTCGAGAATAATGCGTGATGACATTGGTATGGAAAAACCCGCACACCTCCTATCAAATGCAAAATCAAAACAATGAGAAAATTGAACAAACACGTCTCCTAGTGCTTCAGGAAATTTACATACTACTCTCTGAATTGTTGTTGGTCCTAATGAGATTTCCGTTTTTGATTAACAAATACTAGATTAACAAATCTAACCTGTCTAAGTTCTAAAATGATATCTGTTTAATTCCTCCCAGACTTTCAATGCAAGAGTTATCGGCCTAGGAATAGGCGAAGCTAACTCAGTCAACATCCCTGGGCTTCGAATACTTGCCGGGCAAAATGACCGCGTTCTTATTCTGACGTTCGAGCCCAGTTCAGGAGGCAAGTGCTGTGACGATGATGATGACGATGACGATGACGACGACGACCGCAAACGTCGTCGTCGTCGTGATGATGATGATGATGATGACGAATGTGATGACCGCCGTCGGCGTCGACGTCGCGATGAAGATGATGGCGGATGTAGCAGTGGTGTTAGTAACGAGCTCAAAAATGTTATAAAGCTAATTTGTTACGGCTGACCACGAAAAGAGATACAGAAGTAACTCAGCTTGGCTGATAATTCTGCAGAACAGCGCGAAACGACATAGAACATATGTCATGATGTTTTTTTTTGCTCCGAATGCCACAAGAGTGAGTTTATGGATGTTTTCATTCGAGACTGTTTCAGTATCAACACCACTCACTCCTTCTAATGGGCAAACTGTAGATAAATAACGTGAAAAAAAGTTGTCAAAAATTGCCAGAGCCTGCAGTTGTAATAACTCCTGACCTTAGCATTCAGTTGATTAATACCATATGTTTAGCGGAGTAAATTGTTGAGATAAGTTTAGTATTTATTTATATAAAAAAAGGCCCAACACTGTATTAGATATGTAAGAATAACATTGCATTCATTAGCTTTCAGCGCGTCTTTAGGAACATCGACCAGTTGAACCTGTTACAATCTGGAACGCTGGATATTGAATTATTTATCATTATGATATTTGACGAATCCAAGTTTAGCTTGGACGAAAAAAATCATGTATGATGCAGATTAACTCGACTGTTAAGATTAGTACTCTTTGAAAGGAAATGTTATGAAGTCGAATTGAGCGAGAGGTAAATTTGTCACGTTGGCGCCAATTGAAGAGTCTTGATCATGCGTGAAGTCAGTGATAGCAGAGTGCTGTGATAGACTGCTACTTCAAATAAAACCGGTTCTCTCTTCAAAAGAATTAAATTTTCTTGTTTGCCATTCCTGTTCAGTGACCTGAGCTCTTTGATTCATTTCATACTTTGTAAAGAGCACTCGTGCCTGAGAACAAAAACAGTCTGAAACCACAACAACAATAAACACATTCGGAAAGACCGTTATGACGGCATAACGGGATTCAAAATGATGGTTAAGCGAGATGTGAGGGCGCCTATCGTGTATTCTTTAAATGCAAGTTTCTTTATTTGGACTCTCTTCAATGTGCCCTGTTTGAACTCTCATGAAATTTTGTATTCAAAAGTATATTCTTGTAAGCGACCACGGACATAACTAGAGTCACGATTTAGGATGTTCCTTTATTTCTAAATTTCATCTCTATGTGGCTAGCTCAAGCTAATCAAACTTTTTCCGCGTCCCATGGTTGTCCACAGGAAATTACATGTCACGAGTTAAAATTTGTTCCAAGCAAACTGCCCCTCCTCTCTGAACCTAATCAACCTTCAGTATGGGTCTGTTTGCCTCATTGATATATACTGGCGTAATCTAGTCCTTGCAGACATATCAAAGATGCTCGATTGAAATGCAGGGCCGGATTAAAGTTAGAATCTTTCTTTCACGTTTGAGTTATTAGAACTACTTCCGAAAAGAAGAAGACGTTTATAATATGTTTTCGCAGTTTTTGAGAAGGCGGAATCCAATTTTTTTCATTGCACTGAAAACGGCTAAATGTCAGAAGAGTTTTGGCGCTAATGCGTGGAATCTCTAACCAGACTAACTTGAACTGGGAGTATATAATTTGGATTATGTAGTCCTGCCTCACCCAAAAATTAAATCCAAATAATTCACCAGCAAACTGACATGAATATATCCCGACGTGCTTTCTTGTAATAACCTAAGGCAGCAGAAAACCATTGACTCTTACCTAATGACACCCTTTGAACGAATGCTACGATACCCGCGAGGGCCTGAGCACAAAAATAACTCTTGTAACGCCTGGCAGTAAATCGTGTGAACAAAAGTCAACATGGCTACCGGTGGAGGGCAAATTATTAACGGTAAAATTCAAGAAGTAGAGGAGGAGACACAGTATGGAAATCGAGCGCGAATTTTCCGGATAAACAAAGATCTTTTGGTGCTAAAGCTTTACTACTTTTTCGCATTTAGTGCGAAAGCTTGTATCCAACCATTCTTTCCGGTGTTTTTACGCCACGTGGGACTATCAGCTGAACAGACCGGTTATGTGATCGGACTGCAACCACTGGCAAATTTCATTGGAGCACCCATCGCTGGCGCTTTAGCGGATAAATATCGAAAACATAGAGTTGCAATGTTAATTATGTGTATCGTTTCTTCTGCTCTTCGATTTTCTTTGGTGTTTCTTCGACCCAACGAGGAACTAAACGCGGCGAAGAACTTTTGTAATAATAGCTCATTTTCTAACATAACTGGAAAGGAAAGAACCGTACTTAAAAAAATTTATTCAATGATTCCAGAGAATCATTCGTCATCTTTTTTGGATAAAAACTGCACAGATTATGTCGTTGGAAATACAACAGATATCGTCAAAACTACAGCTAATCGGGACAACTACAATATGTTTGTTCTTATATCTGTTCTTTCTTTTGTATGGTCGCTATTCGATGGCTCGAATTCCATGGCTGATGCAGCCACTGTTAAGTACTTGACAGATATTGGCAGAGGCGGTGACTATGGCAAGCAAAGGCTGTGGGGTGCTGTAGGATGGGGTAGCATTGCAGTTTTGTCAGGGCTCACAATTGATCAATCTTCCCAGAATTCAAATCGGAGTCAGTTTTTCATAGCATTCTGTGGTTTCCTGTTGTTTAGCATTGCAGCTTTTGTAACAGTGTTTAAGTTGCCATTGGAATACTTAGGGGGTGAATCCAAGCCTAAGATTTTCCAGAATGTGTTCATCATTCTCTCTGACTGTCGCATTGTGACATTTTTGGTGGCAATTCTCATCATGGGAGCATGTTTTTCAACAATTGGTGCCTTTTTGTTCTGGTTTATTCAAGACATGAATGGCAGCCATTTGTTAATGGGACTAACTCTTTGCATGACATGTGTCTCAGAAGTTCCTGTTATGTTTTTTTCTGGGAAGTTAATTAAATGTATTGGCCATCACGGTGTCCTATACCTAACGTTTGTGTGTTATACAATTAGATACGTGTTGTACTCATTCCTTCACAATGCCTGGTATGTATTGGCTGTGGAACCTTTACATGGTGTGACATTTGGAGCAATGTGGGCAGCTACAACTTCCTATGGGGGTCTTATTTCACCTGAAGGGATGCGTGCAACAGTGATGGGTTTGGTTATGGCAACGCATTTTGGTCTGGGAAAACTTATTGCTGGCTTTGGTGGAGGGGCCATGTACAGTAGTTATGGACCAAGAATTCTTTTTAGAAGTCTGGCTGTAACAAGTGCTATCACATGCTTGCTGTTTGCTCTTTTGCAGAGGTTGATTAAGAGGAAATCACAAGTGCATTATTCAAACTTTCACAATGATTCTCAAAATGACAGTACTTGGGATGCAGAGATGAAGGAGATAAATTTAGATTCAGGCGATGAACTTTGATTTTGATTCAGTTTTTTTGTATTCACTTGCGTGAAGTGTATTGTGGAAAGTTGTAAACAATAGTTGACTTTTTAACTTGGATAAATTAACCAGAAACAACGTAAGGATCTAATTTCAGAAGGTTTACATGTAAGTGTAAGTGAAAAGTTAACAGAAAAGTGAGAGGATCATTTTGTATTGAGCATGCTCAATTTGTGTTGAAGAGTGGAACAGCACTGCATGCAGTTTGGATTTGAATTTGAAAGGTAGAATCTTGACTGTTTTTGGTTATTGGGTACTTTTTAGTGTGGTTTGTCTCTGACACTGAAGGGTGATCCATGCAGGTGTTGTGGAATTTAGCTCATGAATTTTTTTTTTATTCTGATATATTCAAGTGAAAGGATTTGACCAATAAATTGTAAAAGAAGGTTGTAGTATGAGGAGCAGGGCTGGTTACTTTTACTTTGTGTCAATTTGAAAATTGTGTCATATTTTTAAAACTTAAAGGTCAAAACACTGTGGATGTGTTGTGAAAGCTCTTGGTACAATTTTGCCTGACCTAGATATTTTGGTAAATACTCTATTTCAAACAAGATATTGTTATTATTACAGTGTACATTAAAATATTATTAATTTTTTAGTGGGTGAAAGTAAAATTCAGTGAAAGATTTGACTAGTACACATTTTGTGCCAATAAATAATGTATTTAAAAAGAAATTATTACAACCTCTTGTGTACCATGTTATTGGTACAAGCTTGAATGGTTAATGCAGCTTAACTATATTTGAATCTCTCTTTATGATAAATAGTCAATATGCCCATTTTATATTTGTATATATATATATATGTTCCCATTCCTGTCTCCCTAATTTCATTGAAAAGTCTTGTCTTCCTTTGACTCAGACACTGCTGTACCATTAACCATCTTAGAATGTCTGCAAAATAATAAGAAGAGGTTGTTAATATGTTGCTGATCTGCTAAAGTTTTATTAATTCAACAGCATTTTTTTATTTATTATTTTAAACGTAGTTGTTGCTTGCACCACTAAGCCCCAACTGACAAAATGATACAAACAGTAGTTACATTACAGATTTACAAAACTTTAAATGCTAATATTAATCACAAAAATGACATTACTTAGAGCACAATAATCTATTAACAATACACTATAGACTAAGAAACAAAATTACTTCACAGGCACTGTTAAATTTGCAATACATCATGCATTATTGATATTATACAAACACCAATGAAATACCTAGTGAGCTTTTGTTATCTTTACACGTAAAAAGATCGCTGTTGCTATGGTTTTTGTACTACCTTTAAAAAAATTAAAGTGACATGATCTAGTATTTCGTTGTTGATTATATAATAAATAGAATATTACATGGCTGTTTGGAGACACAAAATTTTTTTATGGGTTGAAAAAAATTCAAATTTGTACCTCCGCGCGGTCATTGTAAAATCCTCTATGTGTATATGCGTATAAGGATAAATTAGTGGAGGAGAACAAACAGCAACAGCCACAACAACATCAGAAGATTATAATTAAACTAGGGGAAAGTTTGGAGAAATTTTCCATTTCATTTTTAACACTGTTATAAATTGTGAAATGATTTATAACAGCAGTTTTAATTTTGGAATGAACGTATCAAACTAGTCAGCCACCTTGAGTTTCTGTATGGATTAAAACCCTTGCTTGTCTTGTCTTGATGGAAATTTTGCGGGGTTCAATATATGCGGCCTGTCGTCGATCCGCTAACGCAGAAACCCGTAGAAAGGAAAATCCCGCAAAATAAAACGCGCGTTACTCTCTTCAGAATAACTTGTGAAAAAAGGAAATTTTGAAACATTACCATGTTTTATGTGCTGGTGTTTTGTTCATAAACATAAAGTCGTAAGAGTTAGTTCTTGATAAGAAATTTCATAATAATTCGTTTCCACAAAACACAAAAAATCGCTAACGCGCGCAAAATAAAATTTCCCGCAACGTGTTCGTGCTAGTCGTCTACTTTCATTCTTTCAATCCACACACCACGCCACTGTATAGGGGCAGTTACTTAAATTGCCAAAAACCAACATGATATAATTATAATACCTGTGTCTAATCGCACACTTTGCCCAGCACTTCTCGAATATGGTCAGCGAGATTTTCAAATCTGTCCACAAATACGTAATGGTCTTCCCCAGCCATAATTATAAGTTCTACCAAATCCACTTCCCAACCAATACCGACTGCAACAATTTTTGCGTAGGATGATTTCTGGTAAAAAGCATTAAGGTTGACGTTAATAAGGCAGGAAAAAATCCTTATTAACTACGCTACACTCCGTTACAAAGTGATTTCTTTCAAGAAGGTCGTGAGGTCGGTAGATGAGTGTGCGCTTGGTTCTCTCACGTTGTAGAGCAACAGACTACCCTACCCGAAGCTGAGGGTTCTAGCTCCAGACTGGACCAACCCTCAGGGTATTTAACTAAAGAAAATGTGCTCTCCTTTCGATGACATCCGCAAATGGTTACACTTTCTAGTCCTTTAGGATTAGGATGATAGACCGTAGGCTCCGTCTCCTGTATCTTCTCTGTACTGGTTAGAAGGGCACGTTAAAGAACCCACATACTTCTCGCAAAGAGTAGGGCGTGTAGCTCCTGGTGTTACGGTCTGGCCTTGTTATTTTTTATACAGGCCCCCTTTGAAGCTGATCTGGGCCAGGCTGTCTAAATATTTCAAATAAAGTAATAAATAAACTGACCCTTTAGGTTGTTAGACCTTATCGGTAAATTCAGGGGGGGGCTCACTTTAGCGTAAGGCTATAGAAGGGAGTCTTCAACAAAATAAGGGGGGAGGAACAAACTTGGTCAATTGGAATTTCCGAGTTTACCTGGATGCTTTCCTATCTCATCGCTCTTCAAACCAGAGGTGAGGCCTTATGCACCTACGGACAGCCCTCCCCCCTTCCTTCTAAAAATACCTTTAGAGCAGCAACAGGTGGCTTCAAGTAATCCATGCCGCCGAAAGTCTTGCCATCAGTCAGCACTAAAACACACCGAGGTATGTCGTGGTAGTCACGAGCACCATTATTTGGCCTGTATAACCAATAGGCACCCCATAAAGCTTGGTCAGAACGGGTGGCTCCTGAGGGGTACGGCATGCTGTCAAGTTTCATATCAAGGACAGATGAGTTGTGGTATATTGTGTCGTTAAAGGTGAAATCCATGTAAACATGATGATCGTAGTGGAGGCAAGCGAAATGAGTACCGTTCGTGGAAACGTTGAAATAGTGTGTGAATTCTCTCAAGAATGACTTAACGAGCTGAAAAGATTTGTTTCCGATGCTCCCAGAAGCGTCGACAACAAAGGCAATGTCCAAGGGTTTTTTACAATCTGAAATATGGAGACAAGTTCATGTTAATATAGAGCACATGCCCTAAAGGGTTTGATTTCCTCATAGCTTTTACATATAAGATGGACATTTGACCTATTCCTTGAGTCTGAATTCTTCCGAAATTCAGAACGTGACTAAATATGTTGTTTGGTATATTTGTATGAGGTAGATAATTTGGCTTCTTTGTCAAAGAGGATCTTATGGTGATTTTAATGTTACATTACCTAGAGGTATTTAAATTGACAGAAGATTCCATCTGAGATTGATTAGCAATGACAAGGGTATTTTCTAATTCGCTACTAACTTTTCCGTCGCGTATGCGTAAATTTCAGCATGGATTCATTCGTGTATAGCTGCATATTACTGGTATGGAGGAAGTGGGTTTGCTCGTTGAAGAAAATGAAAATCGCTTTTCTGTGCATGGTGAAATAAATAATTCCTTACTTATGGTTTTATTTGCTTTAGTTGGCTTAGCTGTTGATACAGCTGTTATTGGCTGAGTTGTAACTGGTTTGCTCGTGGTTGCCTCTGTTGTTGGTTTAGCTGTGACTGCTTTAGTCGGAACTGGCTCTGCTGTGGTAGGCTTGGATGACACAGCCATGACAAAAAAACGAAGCAGCAAATACCGATATTGGTTAGAAGTCAATTAAAGGAGGGAGAAACTGAATAATAAAGCATAAACCAAAACAAGGATATCCCTGTTAATTACCAACTCCCCGTGATAAACATCCAACTCTTTAAATAATCAAACGGGGTAAGTTTCTTAAGAAACTGTGGTGCTTCGTCGTTGGGAGAGTACAACAGGTAATTTAGTGTTAACAACTGAGTTGAAAACGTAAATTGGCTACCGTAAAGAGTTTAAAGGCTGACGTTTCGAGCGTTTACCCTTCGTCAGAGCGATTGACGAAGGGCTAACGCTCTTACGAAGGGCTAACGCTCTTACGAAGGGCTAACGCTCGAAACGTCAGCCTTTCAACTCTTTACGGTGGCCAATTTACGTTTTCAACTCAGTTGTTAACACTAAATCATCTGTAAATAATTAGTTTGATAGTTTAATCACGTGTATATCATAATTGAGCAGTTTTAAATTGAGCGTGGAAAAAAACCAAAACCAATATAATGCCAGTGACCTATCAGAATTAAGGTTTAGACTATCAGTAGCCAATAAGTACTCAAAGTAAGAGCAAGCAAACTATTTGAAGCGCAAGAAAACGCAAATAATCTAGTCGCGATTGTTTTTAGTTTTGCATCTGATTGGTAGAGAAGATGGCGGTAGTCTTCTTGACCAATCACAGAGCAAAGCTAAGTAAAACCAAAGCAAACCCGCGTTAGTTTCGACACTCAATAGCTACAACAGTGCTATCACTTGCTCTCGGGTGTCACCTTTTCTTCACAAGTGTGAATTCTGTACGTCTTATACTAAAAATAACAATCACACTGTTTATTAAGCCATTTCCCACATTGAAAGTTCGTGGCTTCTCTTTCAGTCACACTTACTTCTTGTAATCCATAAATGAAGTTTGTCCATTCCTTTCCACTGCATATCCTGTGAGAGCCCATCTTTTGACACGTTCGGAATTTTAAGTCTATACAACTTCTTTTCTCTTTAAGCGGACTAGCAAAGTGGTCTCCTGCCCAGCATTCTCCATAATATTGAATTCCAATGTACTTGTAGCCCATCTCTTTGGCTTTTGTCGCACAACTACAAATTAAACTAATAACAAAAATAGAAAATAAAAACAACAGGTTTAACCAAACAAAAAAAGCAAACGAACATACGAACGAGTATAAGAAACCAGGGTCCCAATCACTTAGCAAAATAAACAACAACTGTGCATTGGGAGACTAATGCTTTTTTGACTGGTCACGAGAGTGGGACAGAGGAAGTCTTCATTAGGAATTGAAGCTTACCCACTCTCAAAGGGGAAATACAAAACGAGATATGGTAACATTTGAGCTCTGTCATAAAATTAAAAAATGTTTTCCACCTTGTCATAAGGGGCATACGAAGAAAAAAATTCTTCCTTCCCATGAGGAATCGAAAACATATATGTTTTTCAACTATTACAGGACTTGCACAGTTGTCCGAGATAGTACCGCTGATTAACTAAATTGACTGAAAAATACTGTACTCTCCCGATGCATTCAAGATTTTGCCTGTGAATAAAAATGCCCGCCCCCCTGTTTCAGTGTCCTAAAGTACACGCCCGAATAGAGCCCACTTTCAAAGTGAACTTTAATGAGGCACTCTCTGGAAGTATTGCATTGTTGCCAGGATACATAAAAAAGGTATTGTCACTTTGAAACATAAGTGACATGTGACTACCTCGAGAAATTCTCAGCTTAATAATCGTTAAAATAATTCATATCATTTTTACCAATTGAAGATAGCTTTACTGCTCAAAATTTCTTTGTACTTCACCATCTGAGAGAAATGAAGCTTACTTAACTCAAGTTGTTGCAATTACCTGGGAAGCTCACTCGTATAGTTTGCCATGAAGCCATCTGTGCCACGTTGGTTCATGATGAGATTTGGAAGAACTCTCTTTCCTCTATAGTCTTTATAACAGCCCATGGCTGTTAAGGTCATAGGACAACCTCGACCACGTGCTAAATAAAAAAAAAAGAACGTCCTTACATTGAGACATATCTTCCATGTCTTCCCCTTTTCTCAATCTTACTTTTACGTTCAAATTATACTTCCAACCGTTTCAAATATAAAAATATTAGTGCCATGACCGAACGCTTTTTTTTACTATAATGGTTTTTTTCCTTGTATCGACTTTATCTAGAAATCAAGTTAAAAGCTAAACAAAACACCTCTTATTCTTTTTAGTGTCAGCAAGATACTAGAACCTGATTTTTAGAGTTAGGAGGGTAAAATGCTCAGAAGCCGCCATGATCACACTGGAGAGATACTTCAGTGACATAAGGCATATTATTGAAGAGAGATATCCGTAATTTTAAACTTTAGTTATCATAACTTAATACTCACCCTCGTGTGTAAAAGATGCGAATACGAAAACTATAACCCAGACCGGAATTGTGTCCATGATTTACAGTTCTATGCTAAAAGTGATGGTGCACTACCAGTTGGTTTTCTAATGGTTGTTTGATTGAAAACTGTTAATAAATCCACTTAACGAATCGTCCATTAAGTGCTGGGTTTTATTATATAAAGGCCAAGAACAATGACATGAATCATCACTAAGAAACCATGGGCTGTTTTTGAAACTCTCGCTCTTGATAACTACGGTGGAAAGCCTTAAAATCATGGGCGAATCGTAATGGTAGCGGGGGAGTTTACATTGTAGCAAGCTTACTTCAGATCTACGCTTGAGTTTTGACGTAAATGGTTGTGACTTAAAAATTATCAGTATACCCAGTTAAACGATGCAGAAGATAAATCTCATCTCAAGCTATTTGATCGTAAAAGTTCAGGTTTCAAAGTATGGTAGCATTTTTTCTAGCGGCTGTACATAGCATGTTTGGAAAAAGTCTAAATGTGTTATTTCCATGTATTTCTTCTGTAAAACGTAATTTAGGTTCCTAATAGTTCACCAAAAAATATATTGGGTAAAAATGAGATTGTTGTATCATAAAACTCTATTTATAGCAGCTCTAATGGTGCTAATAGTTTACTTGTTACACATTTTTGTCTTTCGGAGATTTCCAAAAACTGTTGACTAGTTTCCAAACATTTTTCTACACAAGTTAGTAATGTTTATCGGAATAAACATTTGAAAAGCTCTAATCTGATGTACATATACCCAACAGTGATGGTGAAGAAAAATTGAAAAAGAATTTGGCTTTGATGATAGGGCACTGCATTACCTTTAGAAATAATTGGGGGAAAAGGTCACAAGAAATTGAAAAATAAGTGAAAAGAAACAGTTAAACTGAGAGATAAACGAAAGGTAAGTTTTTTTGCGAAAATATTTCTTGAACAACAAATTTACGTTCACTGAGGTATAATGATGCATACACGTGCAGTCCCTTGAAGTCACAATACACATGAGCCTATCAAATGGTTTATTAATCCTTTAACTCCCATGAGTGACCAAGACAGAATTTCTCCTTACAATATCAATACAATATCAACCAGATAAGTGAGGAGAATAAGGAAAAAATATCAATTTGGGGATAATTAGTTGATCCAATACTAAATTTTCTGAACTAGTATTAAAAAAAAATTGTATGGTCGATAATAAGGAGAATTACAAATTTTATCTGGGAGTTAAAGGGTTAACTAAAAAAATTTTGTCAACATGGCTTGACTATGTGAATGAAAATTGAATTGTGAACTTTCTTGGGCTTCAAAGAATCAAATGTGGACTGCTGATTTGATCTACGCCAACGGAGAGATGTTTATTTCTTTTAGGAAGGAAGTTTTAATGAAGTCATTGAAATGCTTAATAATGATTTTAGTTTCCCTAGAAACCAATGATGAAATATTAACATATCGAAGAACGTTCCTGACGTAACCACATAATTAACCGAATTCATCTCACGACTAGGATAAGATAGTCTAAACTCAATCGTTTTATCTGGTTTCTCTTTTTTTGTTTGTTTAATTTGGTTTTTGCATTTTAAATTTGGGAGAAGGCTTGGGTGACTTTGAAGTAAACCTGTTAAAGATGTGGTCTCACCTGAGAAATTTTACCAAGTCATTATACTTTAAGAGACCATATATACAGGCTACTTAGCTAATTTCATTCTGCCGAAACAGAACTGACATATTTCTTCCAAGAACAAAGACTCTTTGTTGTCATCACTCACGGAAATTACGATTAGTTTAGAAATATTCCAATTACCGTACAATGTAGAATGTTGCGACCATAATCAAATCTTTTTTGCATAATATTGGGTTTATCCGGAGTACTAACTTTACGATACATGCGCTTGTGTGTTAGCGAGAACGCACACATTCACTTCAAGGGCAGTGTTAACTCGAACACTGACCCAGCCTTGTGCTTGTTGTCTTTGCAACGTTAAAATTTAATGAGGCGAATGAGTTAGACCTCCATCATAATTTTGTCTTTGTAATTTATTCATTCATTTCATGCAATAAATTTTGTTGTTTACACTGACCCCGGTGATTGTGTTTACTTTTACCTACTGACTAATGAGTTCTTTTCTACCCTGAGCAGATTAAATTAAGCCATTTTGTTTTCATTTCTGAATAAACTGGATCGTCCTCTACGTGGGTATAATTTTACAACAGCTATTGTACTCAACTTGTGTTTAAATGACCAAAATTCCTTTTTGAAAACTCATAATTATCGAGAAGGTTCAGCGGTCATGGCAAGGAATCACTAAAAAGTTGTTTTAGTATTTTATTTTATTCCTGCAAAGATTATAATATTTTCGGGCGTAAATCCCGCGCGAGCGGCTCGGAGGTGAATAGCAAAGATTACTCGGTTTTTGAATAACCAATCAGAGCGAGCATCTACCGCTATTCACTGTTTTAGTATATACTTTACAAAAATATTACTTGCAAATGAAATGAGTCGCTGTCAAATGGGGTCAACTATTGATTAAATCAATCGAGAGATGAAACTAGTTCCTCTTGGGCTCATTTTTTGTATAAACTTCTTCTCGGTCACTGCTGTTACCCGTTTACCTTTTCTCCTTTGTAATAGCGTATAAAAGGTGTGTTTTTTTTTTACTTAACATATAGTTCGTTCGTGTCAATAAAGCCATTTTCTATTTGGTACTAACTAACTTGTTAATTCCAGAATCAGGGACTCGTGAATAGTTATGACAATTAAATTCTGAATTACCTAATGCTTTTTCGGCGCTGGCAGGTACCCTTGTGTTACTTTAATATGGGGAATACTTGCGCACAAAGACTACATGTTTTCAGCTACATGCATTTTACTTTTCTGTTTTCGGTTTAAGTGCAGATCACCTTATTTTTGTGTTATTTATAAACGCTTTCAAAAGTCAACGAGTTCTGACAAAAACTTTTTCTCGGTCGTTTTGTCTGCTTTGTTCTCTATTTTTAATAGGGCTTTATTTGATATATATGAGAATAATTTCATACCTTAGGTGCGTCTGTTTACTTCAAGACTCACCTCAAAGGTTAGAATAAAGCAGCCGCTTTCTGGAAAAGCGTTAAAACGGCTGAGTTACTGTTCAACTTTGTCTAGACTTATTTAAGTGTCGAACATCTGCTTATCACCGATATCTTCAACGTAGGATTTGCATTAGAGCGCTCAATAGCTCATGAATATAGAAATGGCTATAAAAACAAATAGGTGTAAATGCCGCCTGCGGGACTAAGGGTGACTTACCAAATTTTATAAGTCAGAGTTGGCACCAGTCAAAAGTTTCTCAAATGAGGATTTCCATTTTAAGTATTAGGATTAGAAATTGTCAATATTGATTCCATTTGCCATGGCATTCCAGGAACACGCTATAGCAAATGAGTCTGCGGTTGTCTCCTTCAACGTCACAAAAAGCCGCAGCTTTTCAACGGAGAGCTTCTCGTTTAAAGTTTTTAAACTGTTTTGTTATTCGATTGTCTTTGTCTTGGGCGTCTTGGGAAATGTTCTGGTTTTCCGAATGGTCATGAAAAGAAGAAAACTGCGAACTGTTAGTAACATTTTCATTTGTAATCTTGCCGCAGCCGACATCGCTGTCCTCACTGTGAATCTTCCATTTCGCTTGGCATATCAAGAAAATTCTTACATTTGGCCTTTTGGTGCCGTGTTATGTAAGACAATACCGACGTTAGCTTACGTTTTTATCACCGCTTCATCGATGACTTTGGTTCTTATGACTATAGACCAATATCGAGCTATAGTCAAGCCTCTGGGTAGAAGATTTAACGTAAAAACCACCAAATTTGCCATTATGTTAATCTGGACTTTTTCTGTCCTCATTGCTCTTCCGTTCAATTTTGCGCTTAGGGTGGTGAAACGGCGGGACAGTCAGCCGGTTTGCACAGACGCCTGGCCCAGCGACAAGTTTGAGCAATTCTACTTTTTGAGCCTATTTGTGGTGCAGTTTGTTATACCCATGACAATAATTGTGTGCTGCTACACTCTCATATGCGGCCATCTTAACTCGAAAACGAGACTAGACCACCTTACATGCACGTCAACTAGGCAACGCTCAGATCGAAACAAAAAGGTAAGACCAGCCATTTTGAAACTAAGTTTTTTTAAAATATTCTGGTTTATCTTTGCAATTGTAGGAGATTTGTCAAATTTTGTTAACCTCCGTCTCGATCATTCTCAGCAAGTTATCTTGTGAAAGAGAAATGGGTCATCAAAGTTAGCTTTTATTTCCAGCATTTCAAACAAAGATATCGAAGTAACCGTGATACGTACCCTTAATTGACTGCAAATGTATTGTTTCGTTTTTTGACTTATTTGACCTTAAAGGCACTGGTTATTCTATTGATAAAGCTGGCAAGTCTACTCCAATACTGGTGTTGAAATAAAGAGTAGGCTTTAATGAGCCGACATCTGGATCGAGAGAGTTACTATTAATAGTCACTCAAACCGATAGAGCACGGTGCCCGAATCGCAGAACATTTAGGACTGAGAGCTAATATTCTACAGATTTTCCTTAAAAAAATACACAGACGTTGCGTTTAAAATAATAACCTCGTGAAGAAAAAAAAAACCAAAACAGAACGATCATTCACTGGGTGATCATTTAAATGCATATTGACTTCAAAAATCTGCATATCCGCAACTTGCCGAGGGCTGGAGTACATTCGGTTTGAATCAAGCTTTGAAACCAAATAAAAATTTTGCTTTTACGAAGTTTCAATTGACTGAGATGGTCAATACATTACAAATTGAGCCAACTAAGGTAAAAATTTATCAACGAGGAGATAAGCTGATCGGCCTTACCGGAGCCTACTTATCACATACCGCTCCGATCGTTTAGGAGTGCTTCGTTACTGATTGTTCATACGTATACACTATCACCAAATCGTTGGGTTTTCAAGATGTTTACATCTCAAGATAAAGTGTCTTTTACTTGAGCTAACTGTTAGTGTGGGTTTTTATTAAGAATTTCACTAGTCGGCGCGTAAGTAAGATAACATATCTCTTGTGTGATCATGACTCAAAAAAACAGAAAGCCTGACTGAACTAGAGAATATCGGTTGAGATGAAAAATGTTTTCTAGTTTAGCTAAGCGGGAATCATGTTGTGGAGACAAATTTTGCTGCTCGGAAACAAATTTGCCTCTAAAATATGTCATAGATTTCCAGCTAAGGCACCGTGGCAAATAATACATTTTGGGTGCATTTTGCCAATTTCATCATCCTGGACACATGTCAAGAAGAGTTCTGAAGGTCTCTTCTGAGTCAGTGAAATGCTTTTCCACTGAGAAACACAGGCACTTTTCTGGAGAGGATCTGGCAAAAAGGGATTTCTCAGTCAATCTTCAAGTTAGTGGCAGGCTAAGCGCCAAGGAAGAGGTGCGACAAACGTAACCCTCTTTACACTATTTTTCTTTTTCTATAGGTGATTAAAATGTTGGTCGTAATAGCAGCTGTGTATGCTCTTTTCACCTTGCCGTATCACGTAACGTGGCTGTTAAGTGTGTTTGGTTATCCGAACTCCGTTGCAAAGAAACTGTGCGTTCTGTTAGTAATAGCAACCAGTGCCGCTCATCCAATCATTTACGGAACGCTGAACCAAGAATTCAACAAAGGATTCAAAGCGTTTTTCAGATGTTTGAGGCAAAAAGAGAATGACGAGTATCGGCTGGACAGTACAATAGGCACCAGGAGATTGATTGGAACAACCACACGCACTGATCACGTGAAATGGCGAGATATTCACAAAAGAAAACAAACAGAGGAGGATGAAGAAGTTGAGAAACAACTTGTAACTTGCGTATGAGAGTTGTGGGAAACAGAGAAAGGACGCAGTAAAATAATCCCTACCGCCCGAGGAGAGAGATAGAGGAAAATCAATAAAACGAACAAAAAATAGGTGCGCTCCCTAAAAAAACTCTCAAGTACGTAGGGGGGTATTTAACAAACGATAAGATATGAACTGTCCTGAAAGCACCCACTGGCATACAGTCTTTTGCGCGCGGAGGCCATTGTAATATTGAATTAAACTGCAACCTATAGTGTCCAGAGATTGACGATCATGATCATAGTCAATATGATAAGAAAGGAAATTGTAAACAAACGACTAAAAGAAAAAGATAAGAGCTGAGTTTTGCTACGAAACGCGAAATTTAAATCAAAAACAGTTTTTACCATAAGAAGACGCTGTCGAAAGCATTAACTCGAGCCCGCTTGAGGAGTATACAAGGAATGAAGAGGCTAGTTCTTTTCTTGAGAGCGTGCGCGTAGGTATTGGGGCCATTTGAGGGTAAAGGGAGTGCCAGTTACTGACTGCCTTTGCACTGGTGGATGAAATGACAAATGATAGGGATTATGGGACCTAATTAAAGAAACTAAAAATAATAATGTACTCAATTTGAGAAAAAGCCTGATATGTTTTATAATCATAAGTTCACATAAATGCAAAAATTATGTGTATCTTTACTTTGAGGAGAGCCACTTGTCAGGAGCTAATTGCTCGGAACCTCTATACGTGCTGTACGCTTGAGTATGTCAATGAATCAAAAGCTTTTTTTAAGCCAACACAGTATTCATATCTCTCGATGGCAGCCTCACCATGAACAATTACCACTATTCCTTGTACTGTATCCCAGCTGGTCATTATGTTTTGATATTGTGAGCATTGTTGGTAATTCAGTTAGGAGTACACTGTAAAGAAGATTGTCTTGCTAGTTGTAACAAACTACTCTAAAATTCATTTCCAGTATGCAATACTTGTTTTAAGTCACCAAAATTAATCAATATTCCTTTCATATTGTGTTATAATGTTTTTTTGTTCTGATCACAAAAATACGTTTCACCTCCTATTTCACTATCCAAATCAATTTCGCAAAATAGTAATTTGAAAGCAATTACTCCGGCTTCTCACCCAGCGGTAATGATGAAGCCATTCTCGTGTCACTCAATAGCTTTGGTAATATATGTGATATATTTAGATTTATTTTTGGGGCATGAACAAGGTCACATTGTCACCGCAGGGTGAAAATAGTCGATTTCGCAGAATAGAAACTCTTCTTAAATGACTACTTTGCGAAACGAATTAAAATCTTCCTTAACGATTAAGATTTACTCCAAAATCCTTATGAAAGTTATCTTTACTTTAGTAGATAATATGCCGCATTATTCCTTTAGTTTCGCCATATTTCGCTTGGTTTCTTTTCGTTTCGCAAAATAGAATTTGCCTTCCCTTTCGACATCGTGGAAACAGGATTCTACTTCGAGAAACGAGGACGACGGTATGATCTCGTCCCCAGTTTCCACGGTCTACGCAAGGAACGCCTGGGACCATGACCCCACTTTTGGCGACGAAACACGAAAAAAAAAACAGCCTGCAGCTTAAGACTCTCGCCGCTTGCGGCAAGACTCGAGTAAAAATGCGGAGTCTTGGCTCATTGAACTTCTTGACTTGTCATGTCCTTAGCTCCATGATCGTTTCCCGTCTCTGTTCACGGCACATTAGAGTTGTAAGATGCTATTTGTAAGATGAGTACGAGGAATACATTAACTGGTGTCTCCCAAACTGTTTTTTATAAACCCTAGGTCCTTCATTAAGCTGAGTTTTGATGTAAATTTGCGACAGTTACTCCTGATATATTTGATGATGCCGATGTAGCACTTGAGATTACAAAGCCTACAGTTGAAAACTGCATTTTTGGCCTAGATAGGTAGATGTCAATAGCTTTACTTTTAGCTAATATGCCTTAATTTGACTTATCTATCACATACTGAAAGCTGATGTACATCTAGGAGTCAAGTCTATGACTTAGAGTAATGTTATACAGCGTCGTCCCGTCCGCCGCATCGCAAGTATCTACAGTCAGATATGTCCCACGCTAATTTGCTTAAAACCTGTTCTTTCAAGGCTTTTTCTTTGTCGATTTTAGAAGTCTCCTTCGCAGTTTTCCCGAGCAATTGTGGATTATCTTTGTGCCTTCTCACTATTCCTTCTCTTTGGTTTCCTTCACTATTGTTATTCGCATCGTTATGTGAACTCTCCGATCCAGCTCGTTGCAGGTATGGCGAAATGACACCAGAACTCTGTCGACGCGGGACTTTCAATGAGTCCTTTGCATCACCGAAGTGTTGCAAAGAGAGCCTCCTCATTTTGTCAGCTGCAGTTTTTATTTCAAGCTGCCTTATCATAACTTGCTCGGCTACTTTCTCTTCTTTCTCTGAGAGAGTAGAATCTTCGTTGCCCGAAGTTAAGCCTGTGGTTAAAGAAGCACTCCGATTTTTCCTCATGCAACTCGTGACACTTTTCGATGTGTTTTCGTTTTCGAATGCATTCCGCTTCGGCTTAGACTCAGCATCAAGTCGAAAAGCACTAGGACTGTCCGCTTGTAAATACTTCCTCGAGGAGCCAAGCACTGGCGTTCTGCACTTTCTTAAATCAATTTGAAGTCCACGAATACTGCTATCGCTACAACTTCTACTACTGTGCGGTCGCTGAGGAAGAAGAAGAACAGGACTCGTGACACCGTGTGTGGTGGTGGTTTTCGTTTCAGACGAGTCAGGCACAGATAAGTTGGATTCCAAACCGCTAGATTCTCCAGGCTCTGGTTTTGAAACGTTTAAAGGGGAATCAGTAAAACACCTTCCTATTTCATTATGGTGGAAGTCATTGTCAGTGCAACTATATCGTCTTCTGGACAAACCCGTAGATTTAGTTTGCAAGTCTAAGGTAGCAGGTTTCTCTAAGTAAGTTGTTAGTTTGACGTTTTCTTGGCCACTTGCGTCCACTTTCCTTTGGAGTAACTGGTCAGTGGTCGTCTCTGAATCTTTCTCCTGACACTTTCTCAGGGCAAAGTCCAAAGAAATGCCTTCTTCAGCCTCTGAAACTGACTGCACATAATTTTCTCCTAACGTAAAAAGATCTGCTGCCTTGTGTTCGGCAATATTTGTGACAATTGCCACAGAATGTCTTCTCTTCCTCGCCTTCTGAATCGCTGGTAAAGCACTAAGTGAAGGGTTCTCATCTCTAGCGACTTTGTCTTCGAGTTTTGACGAGACGCAAACACGAACTACTTGTCCTGGGTTGAACTCTTCCACTGCGATAGATTTTCGTCTCAAAGCGGTTATGGTTCGTTCCACGCCAGATGCTGTTATCTTGTTTTTCTCTCCCTCGTTGGTCTCGCAAACATTAACATCTACAAACTTTGACTTGTCTTCGCTTTTGTAAAACGATCGTGAATATTTTTCTCGTCGTATCTCGTACAGTTTCTGGCGAATGATTCGCTCTTCTTTCTCCATAACTTTCAATTTTGTGCCCAACATTTTGTCTTCGACGTCGTTCTTTCGTCTGGCAAAATTTGACGATTTTTCAAGCTTCAGAAAACGAAATGTCTTTCGGTTATAACTCATGATCTTAACTCTCCCTCAGGATTCTGAACGGGACACGATAAACAAAGTAATTAAAATCGTGACAAAGCGGCTTCTGAAGCTTATATTCATAACTTTGTTAATCTTTAAATCGATGAAATTGTCCTCAATGGATATTACGCTTGTCTCAAGGGTCTTAACAAATAAAACTTTGTTTGTTTAAGGGTGCAATAATAGAAACCAACGTGATCACCCTTTCCTTTATCATCAAAAAGTCATCAGAAATTTTAGCACTTCCATAAACGACGTTTTGTATTTCTGCGTCTCAATCGAAGCCGAGAAACAATTGATTTGCCACATCGAGTACATTTTGCTTTTCACTTGTTCAAATAATCAAATATGACTTTTCGTGAAGATCTATTGAACACAAGTGTTTTAAGAGCATTTGTTTCATTCTTAGTGACTTCTGCAGTTGCTTTTGGTCAGGTGAAATGGAGTTCTAGTGTTTCATGAAATAGAAAAACATCTGAACAAACGAGTTAGCGGCATCTTTTTTAGTCTTTAGATATGAACAATAAAACTATTGCTTGAATTAAGATATCGAATACGGCAACACCCACCATGGATGATGGCCAATTCTTCCATAAACAAAGTTCTTTACTGCTCAAGCTATTGTAGTCTACTCTTTCTGTCCAGTCATCACATCCTAGCTAGGACTTTGATCCTATCTATTCGTGGTTCTTTTCGAACTTTGATCTTTTCATTGCATTGTTATGGATAACAGAAAGATTCAGTTACAATGAACTCGCAAGAGAGCCGGTCACGAGCGAACAGCAAACTGAGCCAGCCATCTCTGTCGGCTGAGTTTGAGAAAGATTTGAACTAAGTTTTACACACATGTTTTTCAGATGACACGTAATTGCGTGATGGAGGAGGTTGGGTGACGTTATTGAGATGTACAGCAAGTTCATAATTTAAGTTTCTATAATTGAGCGACTTTAATTGCCTATTGTCTTCAACAAATTATAAAGCATCGCATGCTGGTTTTGCCGGCTGAGTACTTTGGTACGTACAGTCGATGTTAATCGAGCAGTACATAGATTCACGGATATGGAAACTGCTGAAAGGACCTCTGGCTATCAAAGCTTTTATACGGAAAATGTTAGGTCGGTCGTCGCGCTCGACTGGTGAAGGACAACTTTAAATTATTTTGAGAGACATACCAGAAAGAAACTAAAAATTCGGGTTTAGCGCCGGAATCTCAGCCCTTCCCAATTCCAAGAGAAGTTTTTAGCTTCGTTTCACCAAATAACCCTCGCTACGCACTCTACCGTTCGAACCTATCGGCTGAATGATGTGCAGGATTTATTCATGGTCTAATAAGTTAATAGATTCTCGGCTATTTCTTTGTGCCTTGCAAGTGGAAGGGAGAGTCCACTTTTCAGGTTCAGGCCATGTCATGTATAATACATGCTGTGTATTAGTTAAAAGTTTACTTCATCAGGGTAATTTTAGACTGAACGACAGATTGAAGGAATATCTTTTTCTAGAATTGATGCAAAGAAGTAGTTATAGCTATTTCAAATGGAATCTCGTTATGTTTCGTTCGACGACGAATTTCCACGAGAATCGAAACTGCCAAAGGGAGACCGGAGGTAAAATGAAGGCTATCATGTTTATGTGTCAGTGGAAGAGTAAGCGTCGGAGATGCACATGCTTTGCTCTAATTTGCGTTCGCCCCTACATCGGTTTACGCATGCTTTTGTTTCGCTAAATGAAGGAATAGATAACGCAGAGAATATGAATGAGATAGAACTATCTTGTAACATTGAAATTTCGCAACTCATTAATTTCTCAGCCTGTTTGGTAAAACGGAGCGAAATAATACACGGCTGAGATAGTAGTGGAGGAGAAAAAAAGCGAGGGAGGAGAAGAAGGCGCGCAAACGCCTTGAGCAGGCTAAAAGTTTGTTTGTCTTCTTTTATTTTATTGTTGGTTTCATTTTCTTTTCCTCTCTTATTTTGTTTTGAAAATTACGAAATCAAATTATTTAAATGTCTATGAGTTACCTGAACACACAGGCTAACTGAAATAAAAGTTAACAACATTTTAGATTGCCTCTAAATGTGTGAAATTTACATTAACGAATTATACGAACAGAGATTTGTGTAACAAGCCTTTAAATTTACCATTCTGAACCGTCACTACACTGCAGGAGAAAGGGGCCTTTAAGCTGCTTTTGTTTTTATTATTGATAACGGTTCTTGGAACTGAAATCACGAGATTCAGGGCGCAAGGCGTAAGCCAATATCCTGGATTAGCGAAAATTTAATAACTAGATATATTGGAGGAAAGTATTAACAGTATTACTCAAAACCATACTTTGCATAATTACCCCCTCAAAGATTTTTATGATTCAAAGTTCTTTGCGACAAACATTTTATTACCCGCGTTATTTTGGTTGTGATATACTCGCCTCTCCTACCTCTCGGCTCTAAACTCCTCTTTTCAAATTAGTTAGTGAAATTTTGGAAAAATAAGGAAGTTAATGACGAGCTTTTGAGACAGGCTATATATACCATACGATAGCCGCCATGCAATGGGAGTTTTGAGACGGTTGCATGAACAGCCCAAAAAAGCCTTCGCAATGAAAAAAGCCTCTTAATACGATTTAAGAAAAGTGGCTTAATGGACAAGTGGTGTGAAAATAAAAAAAATAAATTAAAAAAAAACTGGGCCGGATTTTTATCTTGTTGTTCTTAGCCCACGAGAATTTGACCCCAATGGATTATAAATCTCTGAGGCTAACCGAGCGAAAATTAACAAAAAATTGATGAAAACAGGAAAATAAAAGAAGAAAAGTTATCAGACGAACTGAACAAACAACTAAATCAATTATTAATCAATTAATCATTGAGTCATAATTTAATTTATTAATACAATAATCCCACTTCAATACAATAAACACCGACCTCCTCAGTCACTCGTCACGACAGAATTAGAGCTCTGAAGAATGTTGAAAACAAGGTCTCATGATGACTTGTGCACGACCTCCTGATTGACGTCATAAAACTGCACAAAACATCACGTGGGGAGCACGGACGGGAAGAGTAGGTAAAGAGCAACAGAGAGCTTGAGACAGTGGGCATGGCGGTTGCTGAGCGGGAATATTCCACCTTTTTAAGCTGTATAGGTATCTGCAAGAAAAAATTGGTAGATCTCACTACAAAGTGTATGGTCTGGGAGCGGTTTTAACGGGTCTATAAATAGATGTAAATTTTGACCATTTATGGTCGTGTGATGCTAATTGGGGTGTGGTTTCAAGGGAACAAGATAATAATGCGTAAAAGAATGTCTTTCCAAATCCAAATGAATGATGACAAAAGAGTAGCGAGGTTATACAATTCGCGCTGAGTTTAAAAAAGGAGGAAGAAACCCATCTCGTTGTAATGGAAAAGAAAAACTCAGGTATTTTCCCTAATAAAACAACTTTTACGTCACAAAATGGCGTCGGAAAACTATCACGGAAGAATCCCTCGAGGAATATTCAATCGATCCCTCTTAATGAGGCAATGAAACTGATAAAATGTTAGGCTACGAAGGGGCTAGCGTTAGCGGAATTCGAAAAGAAAACGAAAGATGGACAAAACTTTGAAAATGCCAGCCCATCAACGTCCCATGGAGTAATTAATATTTGTCTTTCTTGCGACGTAAAGCTGTTTTTAATCCTTACCTAAGAATCACGATAAATCCCATGAGCTACTGACGCGGTCATTCTTGGGGAGTTTCATCTATTGATCTACTCACACACATGCAACAATCATAACCAACTTCAGGGGCTCCTTCCAAAACAGAGTTAAAACTAAAGTATTTGTGCTCAAGGTGGCAGCTCCTTCATATCGCGTCCTGGCTTTTGCATGTACTCCGTTCCAAATAAGATCGCATTTATTTTTAAAAAAAGTTGATTAACCCATTAGTGTGAGCTTGTGAGATTCTTAAATCTTCTTCTGGCCCCCTCTGCGCAGTCAATAAGAAAGTAATCAATAATAGACCATAAAATGCCGAAAGGTCTAACGACGTCGGGAAAATCTATTAGAAGTATTTATAGACTAATTAGAACAAAAAATGCTATCTTTGTGCTGAAATAATCCGTCAGTTGACCGTTTTACAAGCTTGGTGAAAACAAAATGGACAAGACAGCATGAAGCAAGGTCGGGGAAGGTATTACCGTAGTGCAGATTAAAGCCAGCTTAAGCCGGGCCCTTATGAGCCGGAAGCTAAGATTACAGTTACAGTTGCTTTTATAAATATAAATTACTGAACAGATTGTCAGCGAGTTTAGCCTAAGATGATTGAAATATGAATTCTTGACACAGCATTGTAATGATATAAGTTAAGGGAAGATTTGGGATCAAATCAAAAGATTCAAATGCAGGTGCGATTTAACGAGGCTCATCGAGGATTCATCGAAATCTTAATCCTGTTGTGCCGAAAAATTTTGATTGCGATCTCAGTTCACAGAACCGTAATGTTTACCGGGTCTGTACTCAAAGGAGTGCTCGCTGAACGAATTGTTCGACTAAAGCTTTCTAAGCAGACCCAGCCTTCATGGCACCGAGTAATGCAAAGAATTGTAACTCTGAAATCAAGGATATCTGACGTAGAAAAAGGAGCTTTCACAGTGACGAAGGAAAATATTCTTTAGCCATTAATCGAGTGTGTTGTTCGCCGCAGACTAATCCATGTCTCGAAGGAAATGATTACTCTCAGAAAAGGAACATTTGAGCATAAAAGACTCATTCAATAACTTCTGACCATTGTCAACAACATTTTCTGCGTTGTTAATGATATAAAAAGGTGTAAATTAAAAATAAGTAATAATTCTTATGGCTAAAGTAAACTTTACTTTACGCGATTTCTCCCAGAAGGTAAATTTGCCACTTTCATAATTATGTTACAGTTAAGGTCAAGGGAACGATTTTGTCATCAAGTTTGGGGTCGGCGTCAGTTCTATAACTCTATATTATCCTACGAGAACTAATCTTGTGACGTTATGCCGATCACAAGTTACATTCTACTTAAGCAATGATGGGTATTAGTCTCACACTGTATCATTTTCAAGCAATCTTTTAACCCTAATCCAACTCCTTAGGAAATTCAGATTATTTCTAAATGTTTACTTTGTATAAGATTTATTTCAGGAAACATTTAATCGACTGTCTACGAAGCGAAGGAGTTTGCCGAAGAAAGAATCGAAAAACGGTAGGTCACAACCAATTCACAAAGAAGGGTATTGCGCTCTTGCAACATACTGAGATACTAAAAATTTTGAGAATCTGTAATTTTCCGTTTATCAAGGTCCCATTTACCTGTGAGAAAAGGGTTTTTGTTTTCTCTGCATTGTTCAAACAAATGACAAGAAACATCTGCTTGTTTCATCGTATTTACCGTTACTGACCAACCGCACAAGTTTATTCATGGAGCACGCAATGTTATCTAAGCCACTTGTGCTCTGCAATAATATTTTGAAAGCGGACTAAATGGAGAGAGCGTGTTGAAAAGAGGTTTTTGCAAGGGTAAATCGACCCCGTCAACAATTTGGCACTTTATTTTACACGCGCCAGACCATTACATTGTCCATTATCACTCGAAAGGACAGCGTATAACCCCAAAATTAATAACCTCAATCGTTACTTTCGCCGACAACAACAATACCGCCGGAGGCAATCACGACAGACCAGGACTAATTGAGCACAAAATTTGAACCACATCAGTATGTTTTGGATTCATTTTCCTGTAAAAAAATAATCACAGGTGGCTCTGAACGTGAACAAAGGTCTAAGCAAGTGAGATGTTTGATCAAAGATCTTCTGTAAAGGGACTGTACCTTCGCGCCAAAGATCACATGGAAAAACGTTTAGAAAAACTGTACCCGCCAAATAGCGCAGCCTAGCGGGTAATCAGGAAAAAAATGACTAGAATAGCAAAGAAATTATTTCATTTCTGTTTGCTGCAATAAGCGTCTAGAATAATAAAATCCAATACTTACAGGAAAAGACTCTGTAGGTGAATAACAAATTTTGGGTTTCCAGCGGTTATTTTAGCGGGATAACAGCTTGTTCACAAGTGTTGTTTTCAAATTATCGCTTAGCCGGCTGTCTGACATCGCGGGACAGTATTTCGTCAATTTTCTTGGAAGGTTCTGGTTAGTCGATATTTTTTAGCTAATTACACTAAACACCGGAAACTTCACGCTGAAGGACTTGCTCGATGATTGGATAAAAGCCTTGCGATAACAAGCTCATATTCCCACGCTCCCGTGGTGGATAAGTCGGCGCGTTTGATGGCGGCTATGTGGCTCGTCACAGGAGCATACTCTGGTATTTCCGAGGAGAGTGATGACTGTGGTATATAATAAATCTAATTATCACTGTTAATTGATATAATCGACAGATAGCCTCCATCATAAATTACACATCTTGTAAAGTCGTTTTCACTCCAGACTCAACTATCTGTGCAGCTTTACAAGACAAATCACAGTTTTAAACTGTCATGCACCAAACAGTATCACACGCCAATGGAAATCTCTCCTCACGAGCGAACGCCTTCTCTGTCGAATCGTTGATATCCTCAGGACACACAAACCAACAGACATCGATTACAAGAATGGCTGCTTCCACAGGACGCAGATCACCCGAGAGCGGAGAGCACGGTGAGTTTCTCCACCGCAATCGGGTGGTCGAACTCACACACATTTCCATTTGCTCCTTCATCACTTTATTTCTTACCTTCCCCTTCTCAGATCCAGCGACTGAAGCGTTAGGATCAATGCAGGCCATGCAGAGCCGAGTGGGTTCTACAGAAACACTGGAATGCGAAGATATCGTTATTGAACTCCAGATGCGTGATTTATGGCAGCGTTTCTTTGAGTTGGGAACCGAAATGATAATTACCAAAGCAGGCAGGTAGGATAATAACCACTATTTAAGTCTCTTCTATCTCTATGAAGTGAACCTAAAAATGCATCGACACAAGGCTCATTTTACGTTAGAAATATCGTGCAGTATTTGTGATGAAGTCCCTCAGTCAGACAATGCGTCTAGAAGAAATGATTCAACGGTGAATGAATTTCTCATGTCTTGCTGTTGTACGTTTTCCGCGTTGCCGTTCTAAAGTTTCGAATGCTTTGGCAACGCCAGGTCGCGAACAGGAAAGATTCACAGTAACTCCTAAAGGAGGTACAGATTCCTCTAAAATTTACCGTTTTTTGTCATCATTCATTTAAATAAACAACCATGCAGCAGCTTTTGATACTGACGGAAACGACTGAGACAAGGAAGACCACTGAAATCCGGGCGTAAAATTCCTTGCCCTTGGCATTCCAATGTGGGCGTTTTTTGAGAAAAACCTATGATTTACATTGTCACACTAAATGATAATAGAAAAGCTAGTGACAGGATTCTACATGGACACTGCCCGGAACTCCGTTGGTAGAAAATTAAAGATATCAGTATTTGTTGATCGCTTAAGACTCGAAAATCAGAGGAAAATTCTCAGGGTTATAAACAACTGATAAGTGAGCTAAGCTCTTCCGTTGTTCACACTTCTGGTTTCTGTATCTTTGCACTGTCACTTGAGCTATGAAATTAAGCTTTTAAAATTAAATGGTACAAAATTGCCATAAAAAGTCAGTTCCACCCTATAGAGCCTTGGCCTGTATCTTTGCGTGATCAACCTACGTTGTTTTTCGGATAGCCAAAGCAGAGACGAGATTGAAATGAAACGCATGCAGCGAGCATGTATTATTTTCCATTATTCCCTGGCTTACGAGTTGATTGAAAGTCATCAACAGAGGTCGTGGTTTTGAAATGTTATCCAAACTATGGGAAGTTCTGCTCACAAGACGAACGTATCGCCCAGTGTCCGATTGAGCAAAAGATCCATCGAAATGAAACAAATGTGTTACCAGGAGAAAGGAATGAATAATCGCGAAATGTGAAACCGAACATCTTTAATCGAAATATTTGGGTTTTTTTTGTCCCGATTTTTCCTTTCTTTTAGCTGTTTTCTTCAGTTTAGTGTCATTTTTTTTGTATTTGCTCGTTTCCTAGAATAAAATCTTGTGATGTGCTCTGATCAAGTCTGTTAAATTTCAAATAGGTATCGTATTTTAAGCGTCCAGTCAAAATTGTTCCCTAAATTGTCAGATTGAAAACTGACGCGCTAATATCTGTTGTGGTCTTTTTTTAGCCTTTATCAGTGGCAATTTAACTTGATGAAAACATCGCTCTGACGATTGGAGTACTTAACTCTTCAAAGAAGCTGTTACACCTCAAATTTAGGAATGATAACCTCAAATTCATTAGAACAGATCTGGTGTAGAAAATTTCTCATCCAGTGGAATGAACTCTTACGATGTTTGAAATGCCACTCATCTAAGTTCCTTAGCGTCCTAACGAAAATTTTTTTGCACCCGTCTTGCATCAAATGCGATCTGGCTTTCAAGGCACTTGGCACGGATTATCCAAATTAATTAAAAGGGTGGCCACGGCGAAGGTTATCCAGAATGATTGAAGTACTAAACATCCTACAAAACAGGAAAAAAGCTGTTCTAATTAAATTCGGTTGAAGGGTCGTTTAGCTGTCCAAGGAAGGAACGTCACGTCAAATAAGATTACCCAGATGTTTTGAGAAGGTAGAGCGAAACATCTGCACGAGGAATGTTTTGAGTCATATCTATGTTAGATGTCGAACCTGTTTTGGGCATGAAGGTCAGTTTTGATACTTTGCTTCATCACCGATTTCAGATTTTCTCCACGGTCGCGAATTAAATCGTATACGTATACACGTTCCCATTTCAACGAATAAATGAATGAATAGATAAGAGATTGAATGAATCAGTGAATGACGAACGAGAAAATGATTGAATGAGTGAAGAAATAAAGACCGAGAAAATAATAAAAGACCTTTAGACTTTAATAGTTAATATGATATTCATCCAAAAAAACCTTACTGAATTTTCTCTTAATATATCTAGCTCAAATGAATGTTAATTGCTGTTGTAATTTTCTGTGCAAGGCGCATGTTTCCCGCCATCCGAGTCAAAGTTTCCGGACTGGATCCCAAAAGTTACTACATGCTCATGATGGACATAGTACCGCTGGACAACAAACGTTACAGGTGAGGACGATGGTAAGCGTAAGACTCAAATCCAAGAACATGATCTAACAAAGTACTCACAGGATCCTTGATTGAACGATGCTACAATTAGAAACAAGAGAGATGGTAAGATCCGAACAGCAGGACGCGTGTCATATGAACTTCGTAATAAACCACGCTCACCGTGGAGTCTCTGTGGCTCAGTGGTAGAGCATCGAAGCGCGGAATCCGAAGGTCTGAGGTTCGATTCCTCATGGGGACTCAGAATTTTTTCTTTGTCCCACGCTCGTGACAAAACGAAAAAAACTTCTTTCGTTATGCTTCAATTGTTCAAAGATTTCCCTCGTGACATTGCTTTTGGGTCCGTTGGTTTTCTGCGACATAGAAAATTACCTTACAAAGAAACTGTGTGACAATAATTCGCCACAATGGGCAAACATTATGGCGGTAAAGCTCACTAAAGGTGGTATAGAATGAATTTCATTTACGAGGAGGAAATTGTCAACTTGAAAAGTTGAGGCTGAATTTTCGAGACGCAGTAACCTTCACGGAGCCTTTTTAATTTGTTCAAAGACAAATTGATCTAAGCACCATTTATCGCTGATATAAGCCGTGAGCAAACTTAACAGCAAAGCACACTACAACAGGAATGACACAAACAATATTTATCAGTAATTTTGTCGCGAGTTCCTTCATTGAGGGGTAAGTTATATGATTCATTTAACTCACAGGTATGCATACCACAGTTCCAAATGGGTTGTGGCGGGAAATGCGGACGCGCCGATGCCAGGCCGGGTGTATATTCACCCGGATTCTCCCGCGCTTGGCGAGGAGTGGATGAGACAAGTAGTGTCATTTGATAAAGTCAAACTGACCAATAACGAGCTGGATCAACAAGGACATGTGAGTGGATTTATGCATTTTGTCGGTACTGTCGCTGTATCATTTGATGATACTTTATTAAACTGTTCGGATCAGTGTTAAAATGGTGAACGGTTAAAATGGAAACTCTTCCCGCCTGCGTACAACCGTTTGTGTGCTCACATAACAATAATTGTATTAGCTTTCATCAGGAGGAAAGAAGACCCTTAAAGTTCGAGTTTAAACTTAACAATGCCTTTCTCCATTTTAAGATCATACTTCACTCCATGCACAAATATCAACCAAGAATTCACATAATAAAGAAGAAAGATACCTCAGACACGGTTGCTGTGGACGTAGAGAAGCCGTCTTCCTTGAGGAAGACGTTCGTCTTTCCTGATACCGTTTTTACGACGGTTACCGCGTATCAGAATCAACAGGTACCGTATATCAAGCATTGTTCCCAACACCCATTAGTTTGTATAAAGCTAATACAGTTTACCGAGTATGGGTTTCGTGCTTTACGCCAGTCAATGATTACTGTCTTCAAATTGGAAAGTAGTTTAATTCCCGCTGATGGCTTTGACAGTGGCTATACCTAAAAATGGGACTTTTCGTACAGCTGATAGATACAAACAGCACAAATACAGCATTGACAGATAACATTCTCGGCAAAATTCTCTCATTTACCAGTTTTTTTCTTTTTTTGAGACAATGCAAGCAATCGAGAATGCTATAATTTATAAATATGTATTTTATTCTTGTTTTAATCATTTATTTCGGTTATGTCGTTTTCGCGAAAGCATTTTCATATTGTTTAGGAAAGTTAAACAATGTTTTTAGAACGATGTATTTTTTGGTGGTAGCACCAAAAAGGTGTCAAAATCCATCAGGGTGTAAATTTAACATCTACAACAACAACAACGTGTTTATCGCTTCATCGTTTTGGTCGATTTTCAAAGGCAACATTGGCTAAAATAAAATAGCGACGGCTGACGTCCCAAAGTAGGCTTTATTGAGTTTGTTAGTCCTCATTAGCTTTTGCTTCAAGCTCGAAGAGACCCATATTAATCTAATATCCTTGTACACCATCAATTTGGAACTGAACAGAAATTGTCTGAAAATAATATTTTAATGATTTTCTGAAGGATTATCTTAAAAAGCCCTGCTTTTTATTCTCCTGACGAACAAACAAAATCAGTTTCATCGGAAAGGCGATTTGATAGGTCAAAGACTTGAAAGTCCGCATTTGTCCCTATCGGTTTCGTCTCGTCAAAACTTCTGTTTTTCTCATTAGAAGGTTAATTCGCGTGTGTGGGCAGATGTTCTAAGAACAAGACTCCTTCATCGTTTGCCTTTGAGACGTACCGTGTTATTTCATTCATAACTTTGATTCTGGTTGCCAATCGCTTTCCTATACGTTATGATGTCTTTTTGCAAAATTAGAGTGGTGGCATTATTAACCGTTGCACTTGGGGCGACTATCAATAGTATTAAACGTGGTGAAAGCATCAAAACAACACTCCAGTAAAGACTTAAAGGGTGTTTTCCTTTGATCAGGCGCTAACAGTATGTTTTTATAATTCACTTTCGGTAAATATATCCCGGCTGGAGTAATTTCAATTCTCGTCCGGTCGCTTAAGCGTTGATTACTCCATCGATGTAACGATAATGCGCACGGCTCCTTTGATCTGGGGAAGTATTTTACATTAATTTTGTTAATGGCCTCAATTATGACTTATTTTTCCTCTTGCCGCCGTATTTAAGAGACAATAGAAGTATTTTTATGATGTTGTTTGGTGAATAAACGACATGTTATTTGCTTAATTCACGAACCCTAAAACGACAATCATTTTTATACTCGATATTTTCCTAAAAACAGTCTTTTTCTCGAAGGCATCAAGAAGAAGCCGTTTGAATTAAAAATACTAATTTCTCACATTTTTCATTGGCCCATGGTGCTTCCTTTTTTATATATATATTTCTTTGCGGATAAAAATAGGAAAAAATACAAGGAAAAAACTCGGAAAGAACCCTTTACTCAGAAAAACACAGTCAGCATATTGGGAAAGATACAGTATGAGTAGTCTTTCAGCTCTAAAAAAATTCACTTCCATTTTATTATATATATATATATATATATATAAATATTATGAGAGGAAAAAAGGACGCAACTACATTTCCCGACAAGCCTGTTTCGTGAATCGCTTCACTCTTCAGGGATTTAAACCCCTGAAGAGTGAAGCGATTCACGAAACAGGCTTGTCGGGAAATGTAGTTGCGTCCTTTTTTCCTCTCATAATATTTATTCTGCTCTGCTTCAACGTATTGAGCACTGTTCCACGCGAAAATCGACTTGCAGACTTCCTATATATATATATATCACTTTTTTCATCCATGAACTGAAACAAGACACGGGTTATGACGGCTTTGACTTAGAATTTCTTTCATTTTCTTTTTAGCCAAAGAACTCTAAGTTTGCTAAACTTTACCTCGTCTGTCTGTAAGACTGTTTCGGTAAATGGATTAATTAAAGAGTTGTGACAAATAACATTACATTATATTGCATTTTTTTAGATTTGCTTTGTGCGTAAATCTGACTGGAGATTTCGTTCTATTCCAGATAACTCGATTGAAGATTGACAGTAATCCTTTTGCAAAAGGATTTAGAGACTCGGGCCGAGTCAGGTGAGTAACAAGACTTGTACTTAAATTTGCCACAAATATTTCAGTTGGGTATAAGAATAGGTTGCCTAAAAATTTCGTGTTGACAAGATCAGCCACAAACCTGTATGAAGCGGTCTCCAACGGGGAATAGCGGGATGACCTCTTAATAAAAAAAAACGATACACAACGCCCCTTCATGTCAAAATTGATTACTCAATGTACAGAATGTCGCTTAAAAATACTACTTACTTTGATTTTGGGGAAGAAACATGGATTTAAAATTACTTTAGAGATTATTTTTATAGTTCCGCTATAAGTGACCGTTGGATACAGGTGGAAAATAATGCAAAAAGGCTGGGTGACCACTTAATTGAAGGTCCATTTACCAACTTGGATATGCTTTGATATTGTGCAAAATCGATTTAAAAGAAGTTTTTATTTATTGTGTTTTTATATAAACAGGGATCCAATGGAAGAGATAATGCAAGCTTATTCATACTTTAGACCAACCGCAGGAAGAACTTTACATTATTCAAACTTCAGGGGAAGAGATGAACAGCTTAGTTCCGGTGAGTCGACAGTATTTGGATCTCTTCTCCTTATATCGATCTGGTGGTTGCGTTTTTAAAACTGACCAATTCACAGTTTATTCCTTCCCATGACAAAAAACTCGGATCCCGATTGAAAAAAATGCCTCTTTAAAAGGTGTTTCTTTTACCTCCATTAAAGGCACGACTACAATCAGGAGATAACGGCAAGGAGTGTGTCTTCCGATTGCCCTTTCGACCACATTCAGAGCCGCATTGATATGCTCTCGTCATGTTTATCTCTTCATTTTTATTATTTTTCCTTTTGGGCAGATCAAGGTTCTTGTTCCCCGCATGCATCAGTCCCTGTACCATCTCCTTATCAGAGTGTTCCTCTAAGTCCTACGATGCCGCCTCAGACATCAACATGTCATTCAAATACTGCTTTCTCTGCCTTCAATGCGTGCTTATCGTCATTACCGCACGGCGCCATGTTACCTACTCAGTATCATGTGACACCCTACTGCTCCGCCACAGAAACGTACGGCCACATGCTCCACACAGCGGTGTCACCGTTTTCCACCCGCGAACCCAATGCTGTGGTCAGCCAATCAGATACGGGCATCCCACTTAGCCCAATTGTTACTCATCAGGCGAGTGGCTTTCAAGGAAATACGTATGCTTCTCCACATGCGTTCACGACACATACAATGTGAATTTCACGAGTCCTTATTTTCGTTGTGTACTTTTGATTTAAAAAGGTATTTTAGAAATCATCAGTTAGTTCGCTTGATATTGAACAAGCATCGATAATTCGAAATATTTTTTATGAGACAGTTGGAATAGTTTACCAGACTGATATCAGGTGTAAATATTGTAAGTTAAATCATTATAACAAGAAATTGTTACAGTTTCTTAGGTTACCGGCAGAACCTTTTTTAAAAATTTAAAGACAATTATTTGTGATTATGAATATCAGAATAAACCATGTGTTGATTTTTGTAGTTTGGAATATCAATAAGGATTATTTTTGATGCTGGGTGGAAGAGAGGAACCCAACAAATTTTGCCCTTTTATTTGTTCAGTCAGCGAGCTTACTAAAACTTGGAAAATGATATTTATCCAGAAATATTCTTCTTGAAATGGACCGGTCCCACATCTTACTTCAGACAAATTCTTCCGAGTATCTCCTTATCTTCGATGTCCGTTTTCTTTCAGAATTCAGACAACTCGAAATGTCATATGCCCGTGGTTGTTTTTGTTCTTTCAGCGGCGTGGTGCGTTCCTTGTTGGTTCTCATGCCACGGTCTTACATGACATTGTGAACAACTGCTGGGCCGGGTTTTCGCGCGGCAACAACAACCTTTAAACTGGCAGATCATTCTAAAAATTTCAGCTCTAAACTCGCTGTTAAGCGCAATATGACAAATGGGGTTAATAAGAGAATATGACATCATCATGCAAAAAATGAACGTCCCTTTTACTGACAAAGGACTAACGATATCATCAGATCCCAAAATCCACGCCAAGCTGTGCTGATAAAAAGGATACAGAAAACAAAGGAATAATAGAACCTCTATGACTAAGATGCGAGCCGCTCTTTTATTCCTCCGATGGCGATTTTGCGAGCTTTGGGAAACATCAGATGGGTTTATCGCGGAGTCTCTGCGCAACTTCAGAATGATCTTTATGTACGCTACCGTGAAAAATACCCCAGGAAGCCATTGTGTTCCTATGATAAGCAGCAGGAGCGTTACTTTTATCCAGAAATCTGTAGCCACAACACCACAACTACGTTTATCATCTATTTTCGTGTCAATCGATAAGGCAAACCAGACACTAGTGAGTAACCCTAAGACCCACGAAAGGACCACAGCGCCCTTGGCAATATTTATAGTCATCTGTAAGAGAAAAATGAAACCAAGGATTGACTAAGAATTGAAACTACCGTCACCATTTTAATAAGCCCCCCTCCACTCTAATACCCTCCCCCTCTGTGAAAAACCCCTCTTTGATTAATCCCTCTCTAATAAGCCACCTCCTTCCAGCACAAAAAGTCGGAAGGTAATTGATGTAATGTTCTTCATCCGTGATCTCGGTAGCGTCTCACTAAAAAATATGCTTGTATGAGAGTATGTTTTATTAATTACTACATCTAGGCGACGAGAGATTATAGGCGACAACTCAAAATAACGATAATTAATCGCATTTTGAGTAAATTGTTAATAGGCCCCTCTCCCCTCTCTGACAATTTTCCCCTCTAGGTGGGGGGGAGGGGGGTCTTATCGTTAACGATATTAGGCGTCAGTTTTAATCGCAGCCTAGTGGCTGAGAAAGATAGAACATGGAATCGTGATACTCATTAGAATAAACGCTAATAAACGAGGTAGCCGTTTTGAGATCATGTACTGTGCGCAAAAATGTCAATTCTTTTAATTTTTTAAGCCCTTTATGAATGTTTAATTTGATGGCAATTTTTTAATAAAGATTCTCACAATATTTCTCTTTCATCAAATGAAGATGTCAAATCATCACTTTGAGATTAATTTTATTGTAATTTACCTGTTTTTTCAGCGGGTGTACTACAGCCTGAAATCGTTCCAAGCTCATAAGCATTAAAGTTATTATGGAAACCGTTAAACTGCTCTGGACAATCATGAATATCCCTTTACAACCAGCACTTCCTAATAACCTCGGCCATTCGCCTTGCGAGGAATAATCCAAATAAACAGGTACAAACACGATGATGCGTAACACGTCACCCACAGCTAAGTTCAGGTTGAACAGATTGGCAACGTTGGCGATTCTCCCCTTTCGCAAAATCACCGCAAATAAAAGGAGATTTCCAAGGGCCCCGAACACAAAGACGTTAGATAGCCACGTTACTCGTATGATATGGCCAGTTGAGGAATTCATTTCGCCGAAAACTGAAGGTCTGCTCTTTTTTTACACCTGCAATGTAATTTTGAAATTTTAGAAGTCTTGGCTTGACTTGGTAAATATCAATATTCCTCTGAATAATACTCTTTTGCTTTCACAATACTCGCTTTTTCGCGTTAGTAAGTCTTCCTTTTTTTGAACCAACCCAAAATGCAAAAGACGTCCTTATAAGCCTTGAAGACTAAAGGTCGGAGATTTCAGTTCACGTCGTTTCAGTCACGTAGCAGAAGATGACTTTGTTACGAAATCGCTCTTCAGTACTCGTTTGTTAAAAGGTTCTCGGTGAACTTTGTATTGTATCTCTAGGCTTTCTTCTAATTTCCTTGAAAATAACGTCCTCGCTCATAACAAGACTTTCAGCGTAGTTTGGTAACTCACCTTGACGCGAATCTCAGATAAAAAACCACGAACGAAATCTTCAGTCACAAGATGAGTTCACTCCTTCTCTCACGTTCACAGGCTTGTTATCTTTTTGTATTTCAACTCGGAAATGGAAATTTTGTGTTCTAAAAACACTCCCCACAATTCAAATTGCTACAGCGGCGAACGATGATTGTTTGTAATCAAGTTTTCCTGATCTCTGTTCCAATGCAAAGAGGCTCGTGATTGTGTTTGACTGCAAATGCATCACAGTTTAATTTCATTCGTTTTATAATGAGGTCTAAATCAAACAGATTGGTGGTCGAGTTTCTACGTGTGGCAGATATGTCAATATTGTTTTCACAACTGAACTTACCTGAAGAAAATTATACGCTCGTCATTGGTTCCTGTTGCATTGAGATAATTTGACATATAATAAAACAATGGAGAAAAAACCGAACCTGGTGTGAATTTAAAGTCAGTCGCGTCATCAAAAAATTGGCCATAACATTGGAAACAGAATTAACAAAAAACCTTCCCACGTAACTTTATTTTCAAATTTGTTTCAGTTTTATGATCTAGTTCATTTTTTATGAAGGTATTAATGTTCTGCAAAGCGAAGGTTGCATTTTATAAATAGCAGTGTCATTATATATTTCACCGAGCAATAAACATTAATTCATAATTACAATTTTTGGTCCCTTTATGATCTACCTGCCGAGGAAATAATTAAAGGAACTGTTGGTCACCACATGAATAATCATTGCCAAAACGAGACACCATTTATCCCAAGTTGTAATCACATTTCTTAATTTATTTTTCGAGTAAGTATGATTTATTTTTTTCTTAATTACAACTGAAGAAAGAGAAGAGGTGTAGAAAATATAATTGTAAAGCGTAAAAAAAAAAGAACTTGATGAGGAGCCTTGTTATAAATAACGAGCGTCCCTTAGGGCAGGTGTTTTATTTTGATGGGAATATCTCTTGTTTTCCCAAGGCTTTCTCTCAATCTTACAATTTCAATATCAAACGCAAAGCCTGATAAACATCTATTACTTTATGTACGTAAGAGCCACTCCGTAAAATGTTGACTTTCCTACGTATATTTATTGTGTGCGATAATAACTACGACCACAGTACCGGTTCTAGATTTAATTTAAAAATTCATAAAGGCCAGCTAAGAAAATAAAATGCCTTTAGTTGATATTTGACATCTCTGGAATCCATATACAGCTATATTTACAGTATGAATATCAACCATTATTTTTTCAGGTCACCGACAGATTTCTATATATATTGCATTATGTATTTGTGTTTGCAGTTAATTTTTCAGCGTAGAAAAATACCGCAGATAATAACAGCATCTGAAAACAAGAATTAAGGGATAAAACTGTCTCAAAGATAATGGTATCACATTGGACCGAGAGCTGTTTTAACTATTAAGTTTACTGCAGCATACATGTTCCTGTATTCCTTTTTTGGTATTCCAGTTCCAATATCCCAACCACAAAGCAAAATTTTTCATGTGAAGGTGCTATGTATGAGCTGTTCTCCTTTATGGAGTGTGTCATACGAACTGCTTTCATCCTTTCAATCATCTTGTGAGATGTCTTCTTTCGTAGCAGTCCAGCAGGTTTTCTGCCTTCTCGTGTCTGTCGGGCTGTAATCAGGAGGGGGGATCAAATTAATATGAGCGAGAGTTCCTCTTCTCCTTGGGCTATAACGTCCAAGTTCTCCTACTTTTTCATCCAAATCCTGCTCGCCGGTAGAGGTCTTAGCACTCAGTCGGCTTATGACTGCCAAACCCAGAGAAACGTGACCAACTGCTTTAAATTTACCCGACAGCTTGGTGCTTTGCATTAAATCCACGTTGGTCTTCGATGACTGTGAGTTGTAGGGATTACCACGCTTCGGCTTTGGTGATAATGGAGCTGTAGGAACATACTGCGTTGGACTCAAAAGCGATCCTGAGTCACCGTGACTAAAACTATTAGGAAAAAGAAGATTTGCAAGGCTATCCTGAGTAAAATCACTCAGAGATCTCCCCCTAGTTTTAGGAATTATATCATCAGCATCGACAGCTGCATCATCGTCTTCAAGGGACGTTTCCTTGTCATTTTCTTCTGTCTGAATTTTTATTTCCTGGTTAAATCCCTCGTGTAAAGGATCGTTCTCATTCAAGACTTGTGGGGTACAAGATTTTAAGTTTTCATCTGTTTTCCTACGACTATTTTCATTAGGGCTGCTGTGGGTTCTTCGAAAGAGCACTTTCTCCGGCACCGAAAGAAAACATGTTTTGCTTTCCTTCACAGAGATGTCGTGACTATTTTGAGAGCCAACACTAACATCATTTGATATGGCCGTGTTGGCCCACTGCGAAATAGTTTCTGGCGATTTTGCTCTTCTTAAGGGAATGGGACTTTTGGACACAATGGGAGGAAGTTTAGAGGTGAATTGTGACGAGCAACCAGAATTGCGTCGAGGAAAATCTGAGGGAATTCCACGCGCGTGCTCTGATCCTCTGCGCCTGCAGGATCTTGGAGACAAAAATAACTTGAAACCGGCATCGAGAGTCTCTCTTGTTCTCCTTAAGTCGAGCAGTTCCCGCTGAAGTTGTTTTTCCTCTTTTTCATACCTTGATAGCTGCTGACAGAGCGTGCGATCTGCCGCCTGGTTTAACTTCTGTGCACGATTGTCGCTCTCAGTTATTGTTAAGGAGCCACTTCTCTTCTTTCGGTTTGACTCACTCATTTTTTTAACCTGTGGATTTGACAATAAGTTTCAATTTAAAAACAACTTCACCTAGATAGATGGAAATCAAAGAGAAATTTGAACGAAAACAAGATATTCCGCTCAAATAAAAGAAGAGAGAGGTAGGTCAAGAACTTAGGAGGTGGTTTTCGGCTTCATTTACTTTATCAACTTATTATTATTATTATTAGTATTATTATTATCATTAACGAATAATACACCACATATTTACAAGACTACCCTTTAATTGTAACTTGACGAGAAAGAAAACTAAACTAAATGACCCTTACGACGAAGAAAACTGATTTAACCAGAACATGAGCAAATTTGAAAAAAAGATAACGTAAAGTAGAGCAAGTTTTTACAACGTTTTATTATATTTTTTGTGCCTCTGCGTATTCACGCACACGTCGGTATTTTAACACTTGTTGATTAGTCTTTTCGTCCATCTTACGTGTCCTTTTCAGCTTTGCCAAATCTGTATCCTTGCCTTCTCTAAGGATAACATGTTATTTCATATTTGCATGTTATGTAATATTTTAAAAAGCCCACTCAGATTTATGAATATTTCTTCTCTAAGTGATCCGTACAGTTCGACTGTGCACACTTTACTCGAGACTTTTTGTTGAACACCAAAGCAGACCGCGACCGCTGTCTACATCTCAGTTTGATTTTCATGATCAGAAAGAGGCTGATGAAAGTGTAAACATTAGGTTGGTATCTCGGTGAAATCAATTCATTACAGAGTCTGTTGGTAGATTCAAACGAATGAATGACTAATTACAAAAGGAATTAATCTGATCAGAATAAATAAAGAACCACGTTGCAATGCATAGTACCCTTTGCAAATCTCAATTGACAAACAGACGTCCCCAGAACACTAATCTCCCTTAACGTTTTCGCCCTGTACGTGTACAGGTGTACAGCTAAATAGCTAAAAGAAATCGTCAGGCATTCAAACAATTCTTAAACAGTGTTGACCACTTTAGCGATGGATAACTATATCAAGCTTTTAACCAAGGTGAAGAAATTAAAACATAAAGGAAACGATCCATCTTCATGAATCAAGTAATACACAAGTTAATTACTTAGTAATTTTAGCCGTCAGTGCAGAACATTGATCCTAGATTCCATCATTTTGGGTTTCTATCAAAGTTTCCTTGTTCGTTAAGTTGATATTGCAAGTCAACTTTCGGAAGCGAGCAGCAGCCGCAGTCAATACTTTAATCACGTTATGATTGATATGAATGGCACAGTACTTAAAACCATTCAATCAAGGCATATGAACCATGGATTGAGATTATTAAAAACAATTCTTTCTACATTCACCTGTAAATACTTGACTAGGGCGTCAACGACATTTGGTTCTCCAACTGAAGTCGATATGAACAGTATCTCGCGGTTTTAAATGGTCTTATATGCTACATGGTACATAACAAAGATAATTACTAACTATACGACGAAATTATTTGTGTCGTCAGATTCTGGGACAAAAGAAGCTCTCAGTCTGGGTCTGTTGTTTACAAAGAATTGTTATTTAAATAAGGTTTTGGTGCATTTGTAAATGCTCTAAATTTTCTTCTTTTTCGTTACCCAAGTTTTCACGAGTCGTCCGCTTTGCCATTTTGGGATTCTGTCACCTGACGCCTTGTGACATCAACCCTAGTTATCTGTACACAGGTTAAACATTATAATTGATTTAAAGTTCAGTCAGCATCATTACGTTCTACGTTAATAATCATTTTAAAACTTTCTTTTGAAAAAATTGCACTAAAATTGTTAGACCTCTGGAGGCGTCTTATTACTCAGAGGCAATTAAGATCAGCCTACTAAAAAGAAAGCATTCAAGTCTTCCAATATAATTG